AACTGAGCTTCAGAATGGCTTGAAGCATTACAACAAAGGTGTAAAGGAGATAATAATTTCAAGTGTAACTTTAAACAGACATGAAGATGACTTAAAGAGAATACTCTTAAGACTATGACATGGCCTGATCAATCTTCAAAACTTAATTTCATATATCATCTTTGAACTCATCTCAAAAACATATTAGCAAGATATGAGAGGCCACTCAAAGAAATTACAGAATTGTAAAAGCAGTTAAAAAAGAAATGAAAGGGTATTGACAGGTTTGTGCATCAAAGTTTGATCAAAAGTTTACATTAATGTCTTCAGGCAGTGCTTAGGACAAAGGGTTGATTAATCAAGTACTATGGTTTTTAGGTTTGAAGGCTTTGGATTGTTAGTGACAAAAGTGTATAAATGAGTGAGCCTGATAGAATTGCACATATCTTCAAAACAAAGCATGAATATCTAATTAAAAGATACTCATTTGAAAGCTGAAAAGCATGGCTTTCTAGTGCTATATTATTCGTGAGCATAGCAGCAGCCAATCTGAAGATAGAAGGGCAACAGTGAAAATTAAGGTGGCTAAAAACTTACATTAGTTAAACAAGGAATAAAAAGTGTCATAACTTCAGAAAATGCTAAATCATACATTATTCAGATGATAGTATATTGTTGGCCAGATTAGATACAGTGGAACGTGATAAAATGCAAATGTTTGAAGTGTTTCGGAAGAATTCAATTGATTTGATGAATATTGACCACAGATACAGTACTTTGATTGGCCATGAATATTTGCACTTATTTGGATCAGCCACCTTTCAGATTCAAACTCCGATTCAAACCCAGCGCTCTATGTGCATCAGCAAAAATAACATTTTTTGGCCTAAAAGCATGATGTTCTGAGGCTCCAGAACCTCAGGAAGAAGATCTTTCAATTTTAGAGGAATGGAATTGAGATTAGCTCAAAGTATTGTGTGCACAATGCCAAGCTATGACATCTATCATTCGGGCAACTAGCTAGTTGCATTAACGACAAACATCATAATATGGTCTTATTTGCGCATTGTGACAACTTAAAGTGTGGGAATTTAGATGGCTGACATCCTGTAGCCTCAAATCTTCGCTTTTTTGAGCCAGAAAATAATCTGCATGTTGTTCTCATTGCAGGGCATGAAGATATGTCATGTACTATGTATTATCCATGTGGTCAAACATTATAAAAAGTTGAGATATGGATCAGAATTTTTAACATTTTACCATGGTGGCTGAAGACTCAGATTGTCTTACCTATTCTGCTTGTCTAGATGAAATGAGAATAGCATTACAAAGTTAAGCATGAGCATGCAGTATACTCTATAATGCATGTTTAGGTATCAAAGTGTCAACAATGTCCAAGCCTGCTAAGGTTTTACAGTTCAGCCACAGCAGCACTGAGTGTTATTGTAGAAATGCATTGTTAAAGCTGTGCATAAATCATTTATATACTTCAATATGTTCTATGAAGCCTTTGATCATCTTTCCCTTCTGCTATGCATTTCTCAGGCAATAAAAACATATGTAACACCCTCAAGAAACCATCAGCCACACTTGAAGCTGTGGCTCAGCCACTAAAGGCAAATAAGAGCAATCAATTTTACCACAGTGGCTGAAAACTCAGATTGCATAAACTATTCTGCTTGTATAGATGAAATGAAGAAACAGCATATGGAGTGAGTTATGAGGATACAGTATACTCCATTGTGCATTGCAAGGTTTCAAGTTATCACTGATATCTAAGCACGGAAAGGGTTTTCACTTTAGTCACAGCAGCTTTGAGTGTTACTGTAAAAATGCATTGTTGAAGCTGTGCACAAACTATTTGTACACTCTATTAAGCCTTTAGTCTTGCTTCTGCACATTTTCTGAGCAATAAAAGCATATGTAGCCAGCTTAGAAAGTCATTAGCCACACCAAGAGCTGTGGCTTAGCCACTAAAGCCAAATAAGGCCAATCAATCTACTCTGATGCGGAAAACTTCAATTGCACCAATAGGACTTATTTGTGTATGCTCAGAATGAAGAAGTTGAAGTGTAGAGCAATAAAATGTAGAGATCTATTCTTATTATTCAAGTAGAGACTATAATAAGTCCGAAAAACGTTAAATCATTCATTGTAGATCACAAAATGGTGAATGCTGTGGTTTGAACCACTTTGAAGCCATTGAAAGCCGTGGTTTGAATCACTTTCAAGCTATTGAATACAATGGTTTGAACAGCTTTGAAGTCATCAGCCCTTCAGGCATTAACTCTAGCAAATTCAATGCAGTGATTGGCTCTGAATATTTGCATCTATTTGGATCAGCTGTGTTATGCAGGTTCAAACTCCGGCTTGTATGTTCATTAGAAAAGATAACAAACAGCAGTAACAACAAAATGTTATGCAGTAAGAACATTTTGAAGAAATGCCCCTCTCCTAACCTCAGGACAGGGGCAGAAAATGAAACCACTTTGTAATGGTCCACTGTTTCACGCTTTGCTTAAGTATCTCATGGGAATAAGAAAATGCTATATAGACACCCTAAGTGCCCAGTCCTGTTCAAACTCTTTCTTCGTATCTCAGAAATCGTAATTTCATCATCTTTGATCTAAAAAAAGTGAAAAAAATTTTGAAACTTTTCATCATAGTTTTGTATGAAAAATGATACAATGATTGAAGAAATGATTATTAATATTTCATCCAATCTCCTTTCAATCTTTTCATCATCTTTCACAACAAAAAATGTTAAAAATATTATAGATACTTTTATCACAAATTGACAGTGAAGATGCTTGAAAAATTTGAACTTTTTCCTCAATACTTTTATCATCTTTTACCTCAAATTATTGATTGCTTCACCCAGTGATATTGAAGAAAAAGTTTAGATCTTTTTACCATCTCTTTTAACAATTTATGATAAAAGAAATTTAAATTATTTTTAACATCTTTTGTTGTAAAAGATGATAAAATATTGAAAGAAGATTGAATGAAATATTAATAATCACTTTTTCAATCATTTTATAATTATTTACATAAAATTATATAAAAAGTTTTAAATACAAATTTCAGTCTCTTTTGAACAAAGACTTTGAAAATATTAGGACTTGACTTTATATACAAAGCTAGTACTGAGGTATGAAGGTTGATACTCAGGTTTATATGTTAGCATTATACTATTACTATGGTCAGAAGATAATACTAAGATTCTAATGTTAGCAGTATGCTAATACTAAGCTTTAAATGTTAGTATCATGCTAGTACTGTGCTGGTATTAAGGTTTGGAGATTAGTATTAAGATTTGAAGAATGATACTATGCTAGTACTCAGATCTAAAAATGAGTACTAAGGTTCAAATGTTAGTACTTTGCTAGTGTTAAGATCTAATTGCTAGTACTATGATAGTAATATGAAGATTTAATTGCTAGTATCAGGTTAGTATTGTACTATTATTATATTACTATCATGCTAGTACTAAGGTCTGAAGATTAGTGTTAAGATTTAAATGTCAGTACTGTGCTAGTCTGAAGTTTTCAAATGTGATACTGATATTTAGATCTGAGTATCAACCTTTACATTCTGATATTGGCTTAGTGTAGAATGATAATAATGGGACATGATCACAATATGTTCATCATCTTTGATAAAAAAACAATAAAAAAAGATATCAAAATGTTTTATAATCACTTTGTCTAAAAGATTGTAAAATGATTGAAAAATGATGGCTAATATGTCCTCTAATCTTTTTCTCATTTTTTCATCATCTTTAACAAGAAAAGATGACTTCTTTGTTGCATTTAACCATTTTAAAACTCATCTTTCATGAAGCAGGATGCTTGACAGCATCATATATATGTTCTTTTGACTGCTATTATTTATGTTGTACACTCCGTTGTATACTGCACTCTGCGCAGTTCACATGATAGAGAAGATACAAGGAAGGGCAAACAAGTGTGTGTGCTAGTCTAAAAAGACTGGCATGCTCCTAGCTCAGATTCACAGAAGCAAGGGATGCAGAGGTGTAGGCAGTAGCAATATGAAGAAAGGCCATCTGAGTGGCTTCACAGACATCACCATGGCTTATCAATAAGCTAGTCAGTGTGAAAAAGCAGTCAATGCACATGTGCGTGTAGTGAATAGCAGGGCAGGATGTAACTGCAGGTGTTAGTGAATTTGAGCCTGCAGGTGCAATGGGATTGGGCAATGAAATGAGAGAAAAGATAGATACCAATGTGCTCATGTCCAGTAAGGGCTTGAACAAGTGTGGCTTCAGTGAAACACTCCAAATCAGAGAGCCAAAAAAAAAACAGGATAAAGAATGATAAAGGGCGATGTTTTCAGGCCTTGCACTTAGCAGCGAGTTGATCAGAATGCAAGAAAGCCCACCATCAGTAAATGGTCACTCACTCATGCATTCACTATTTTATTCACATTATTGTCAGGAGAACAGCATGTTGTGCTCTATACATTTCTGTAAACTTTGTACAGTATATACCTCTTTGAAGCACAGATACACACTGATCTTTCATGTCCTGTCTGACATCAACATCAGTGACCCATTAATATAACTAATGAAAGGCCCTGAGCATATGTGTACTTAGGGCAGGAAAGGTCATGGAGGCAAGGTGGGTCACACTAAGTAAGGTAGACTACATGTTGACGTCCATATTGTCACCATGCTCTTCAAAAGGTTGATCAGTGGGAGAAAGACTGCTTGAGCCTATGCCAGCAGTGCCATTGAGGACATCGAGGATTCTATACTCTGCCTGCTTGGGGCATGCAATGGAGTCCACATGATAGAGATCATGACAGCTGACACATCATGAGTGCAGGCAAGGATCAGAGGCAGTGCAATTCTCCTTCATGCATGAGGTGCATTGTAATTGATGTGAGTCTTCATGATGACAGCCAGTGCACACATGGCATCAGAGTGGTTGGCTACACTCTGTGAATAGGTGGCTGTAGGCCCAGCATCTTGTACACTGTCAGAGGTGCAGCTTCTTATACTAGTGCAACATAGTGACAGGAGCACCAAAAGTGAAGAGGGAGGTGTGAAGGAGAGTGGCTAGAGCAGAGCCATCTGGGTCCTCAAATTCAAGGGCAACAGATGAGTGAGCATCATCAATGAGTTCAGGTTGATGTGTCGAGCATGGAGGTTGGGTGATAGAAAGGCACTTGATGACCAGATTCTTGCTAAGCTCCTCTGCCAGAGCAAAAGGAGAGTGAACTGCTGCACTAGAGCTGGTCTATATGTAGATATTGTCAATGAGAACTCAGGACCGCTTGCTATCTCTGACAATGGAGTCAATGTGGCTGAGTTTCAGGGCAGATTAAATAGTGGGGAGGTGGGCATCAATGTGAAGGTGAGATGTGTTAGGTGAAAAATTCAAAAGAAGGTTGAAGAAGAAACTTTGGATATGTCACGAGTGCAGTGAGCCCTTCAGCAGTGAAGATTATGATCAGGGCATGATTAATGTCACTGAGGATGGCAGAGGGGGTGGCAGAGATGAGATATTCAGAAATATGACCTGAGAACTAAACCACATACTGTATCAATGCAGATGCATGCTTCTTAGGTGCAGAGGCCTTAGAGGCAGTTGGGGAGGGTTCAGAGCATGCACAGGAGGAATTAGATGTGAGGGAATGGATGCCACTGCATAAGACTGCCCCTTGGCAACCTTTTTCTGAGGTGTTGCAACTGGAGGAAGCCAGCACAGCAAAGCCCCAACTTACACATGTCTCGAGGGCTGTGAGCTGGATTTTCAAATTATTGTAGAGGGCAGCAATGACAGTGGCAATGTCATCGACTGCAGTCTGAGGAGGTGGCATGAGGGTAGGGGTCTGAAGTCAGGATGCCAGAGTGTCATGAAGGGCCACATTGGCCAGCATGAAGGCCAAAAAAGGGTTAGCAGAGTTGAGGTCAGAAAACCAGCCAGATATGGCATTGATTACCTAAAGGGTAAGTTTCAAGTCAACCACCATCTTCCCTGCTGGTGAGCCAGCAAGGTGAGATTTGTCAGTAATCTGTTAGAGGGCAAGTTTGAATTCATAGAGCACAGAGGAAGAGGATAGGGAGGATGAAAGCCTGGCAGGCACCATAGACACTTGCATAGATGATGGTGGTTGCAGTTCAAGATCCATTTGTTTATAAATAACTGCATAGTCTGATCCAGTATTACATTAGACACTGATATTTTCATAAAGATTGACAACAACTGAGATGCAATCATCTTTCATTGTGTTTATGAGCTCGACATTCACATTATTTAATTTCATTAACACTTCTCTCACTCTCTCTCACAGGGGCAAAATTGATCACTCTGCTAAAGTTCAGAATTTTGATTTCGAGCATGGTGACTTGGTACTAGTCTGGCATATGCAAATCAATATATGTACATATCAGTTCCCTATCTGGGAGGGTGCATCAAAAAGTATGAGGGCTGAGCTATATCCATTTAATTTTCTGATTTGTACAGTATACTGTATACATGCCTTGCAATCAAAAAGTATACTCTTTTGCTACTATATTTATTTGTTCATGGACTGCTGTATAACACATCAACACCAGCAAGCCTTAAAAATGACAGGGCTGATTGTTCCTGCATACTATCTCACTGAAGTGACCTGAGAAAGATTTGCCACTTTCATTAAAATGTTGTTTCTTGTCACATTGAATATTCCTATATAAGATGTCAAGTTTCATCACTTTAGCCATTGCACATGTCCCACTTTTGTGCATTGGCATAAACAACATTCTCGTGAGCCCTTTATCTTTATGAATATCTGTGCTAATGATGATGCTGAACATGAACATGATAAAAGGCTCAGACCACCAGAACAGAATTCTTGTTTTGAGCCTGACAAAGTTAATATCAAGCCACTGTAGTTTATCTTGTGATTAATGAGTGATCACATAGAATGTCCACTCTTCAATGGAGAATGTTAAGAACATACACATCTGACTATATATATGTCAATGTGTGCACTTCACAGCTGATTATATGATGTTATTGAAATGTCTCACATTTGTCTTCTGCTAAGTCTCAAGCAAGCAACTGTATAAATGCTTCAGATATGAGCTTTGCAATATTAGACACCAGTTGTAAAGTCATTGACATCACCATTAGAATGTGGTGAGCAGAAGCCATGTTTTACTTACTTCTCTTTCTTCTTTTATGACATATGATTTGCTGTGAACCTTCAATGATAGCCAATGTGCACCCCTCATGCAGAATTACTTCTGCAGTAGATGTCACTTATCTATCTATGTATATAGAATTTAACCTCTTTAACATTTGTTTTACTTCTGCACCATTCTTCATACCATCAAAATGATGGTACATGATGCTGCTGCTCTTCTAATGTACATAAGTATCAAATATTGTTTCTGCCACTGCAATGATTAATGACTGTATGAAATCAAGTGGCAGAAACATTCTGTTTAAGATCTGTAACTATCCCAATGTGGACATTACTCTTATATCACTCACTGAACAAACAGATGCACAGGGTCATCTTAACAGTGCTATTAACATCCTTCAGGTAGACCACTCTGATCAGCATTGGCAATGTACATTCATTTTAGCAATTTCTGTGCACCACAAACAGTGTTATCTTTAAAACAGGTGCAATGAAATTCTTCAATTGACATGCAACCTGGTGATCTAATATATTTCAAATTAGTGTTCCTTATTCTCAGTGAGATGTGGCCATGGCTTACCTCATCAATTCTCAACATGCCACATTTTTACATGTCTTACAAGATTACAGTCTTCTTAACCCTAGACAATGCTCAGATGAAATTGCACAAGTCACTCACTTGCAAATGGATCATGGCATTGTCACCATATGCAGAAGCTCTGAGACCACTGCACTGTGTTCCATTACACTGACATTGAGAAGCTTGTTCTGAAACTTTGTCAGTGCTGATCTCACCTACAGCATGGACTGGCATCAAACTCACCTTTGTTGTGGCCTGTGTGATACCATATATCTTGACAATGATGAAATGCTGGTGACTGACATATACATGCAACATGGATATGACTTCAGTACACATTATTAATATTTTGAATCCTTTTATCACAAATTGACAGTAAAGATGATAAAAAGGTTTAAACTCTTTGTAAATATTTTCATTATCTTTTAGCTCAAATTATTGATTGTTTCACCCAGTGACAGGTGACTGTATAATCATCTGCCTTAATACACTGAGTGAAGCAATCAATACTATACGATGAAAATAATAAAAATGTTAAAGAAAAAGTTCAAATTCTTTAACATCTTTACTATCAATTGATGAAAAATAAAGTCAAATATTTGTGACATTTTTTCTTATAAAAGATGACAAAAATATTCAGAGAAGATTTCAGAGAAGATTGAATGAATATTTATTTTTATTTTTATTTTTATTATTTATAATCTTTTATATAAAGTTATAATAAATGTTCTAAATGTTTTCACTCTTTATTTGTCTAGGATGATGAACATATTGCGACTGTGTCATGTGATCATATACAAAGCTAGAGCTAAGATATAAAAGTTAACACTTAGAATTACATGTTAGCACTATGCTAGTGCTATAGTTAGAAAAAAATTAGAATTCTAATGTTATCAATATACTAGTACTAAGCTAGTACTAAGATCTGAGGGTTAGTGCTAAGGTCTGAAAATAGTACTATGCTAGCATTAAGGTGTCAGAAAGTAGTAATAAACTAGTACTATGCTGGTGATATGCCAGTGCTAAGATTTAAATGCTAGTAATACCATTTGAGCCTGAGTATTAACCTTCATATTCTATTACTGACTTAGTATAGAATGATAATAATGTGACATGATCACAATGTATTCATTATCTTTAACAAGAAAAGAATTTAAAACTTTAAAACTTTTTTTATAACTTTTTTTGAAGATCAAAAATAATTCAAAAATAATTGCTATCATTTCCTCAAATCTCTCTCCAGTCTTTCTATCATCTCTGACAAGAAAAGATGCTCAAACTTTTTGAACTTTTTCTTCAATATCTTTGCTATCTTTCATCTCAAATTATTGATTGTTTCAACCTTGTGTTATAATGTGATCATGTCACATTATGATCATCTTACACTAAGTGAGTACTAGGATATAAAGGTTAATACTTAGGTGCAAATGTTAGTACTATGCTAGCACTATGTGAGTATTATGCTGGTATTAACCTTCAGATGTTGATACTAGCACAGTATTAACTCTAAAATCTTAGCACTTGCTTGATACTAGCATAGTAAGACTCCTGAGGCTTTAGTACTGGCATTCTATTAACATTTGAACCTTAGTACTGACTTAGTAGTGACATAGTAGTGACCTTTGAGACCTTAGTGCTAGTATGATATTAGCATTATATTAACAATTGATAACTAATTAGCTTAGTATCAGCATATTGCTAATGTTAAACATTAGTATTATTCTTCTGATCATAGTACTGGTATAGTGATAGCATATGGATCTGCATATAAACCTCCATACATTAGTAATAGATAAGTATAGGATAACAAGAGTGACATGATCAAATATATTTATTATATTTGACAGAAAAGAATGAAAAATAACAGAAAGTAATTATTTCATCCAATCTGCTTTCAATCTTTTTATCATTTTTAATATAAAAATGTGAAAAGTATCTTAAGTTATTTTATTAGAAATTGAAAGCGATGATGCTGAAAAGCTTCAAACATTCATTTATTATCTTTCATGGATGAAGCAAACAATAATTTAAGAGTGATAAATAAGAAATTATATAACATTGAAAGAATTATTGATAGTATAATAAAAAATTATCACAATCTAATTACAATTCATCTATGATAACAATTGTGCTATCAAGTACCCTCAAAAGTATATTCAATTTAGATGATATAGTAGAGGTACTGTGAGGTATTGATTATGGAGCTATAGGCTTTATTCTGAACATCAGGTGAAGCAATTAATAACTAAAAATGAAAGATAACAAATACATTAAAGAAAAAGTTCAGATTTTTCAGCATATTTACTGTTAATTTGTTCAAAATGTTTTTAACACCTTTTTCTGTCAGAGATGTTCAAAAGATTAAAAAAGAGATTAAATGTAATATTAGCAATTGTTTTTATTATTTTATAATCTTTTATACAAAATTGAGATAAAACATTTTAGATTCTTTTTGATTCTTTTCTTGTTGAAGATGATGAATATATTGTGACCATGTCACATCATTATCATTCTACACTAAACCAGTGCTAGAATATGAAGGTTAATACTCAGGTTCAAATCTTAGTGCCAATGTTTAAATCTTAGCACTGATACAGTACTAACCTTCAGACCTTAGTACTAGCTTGATACTAGCATAGCACTAGTGTAGTATTAAACATTTGCACCTTAGTACTAACATAGTATCATGGCAGACATGACACAGTTTATCAATGTGGAAAATTGTGTGAGAATGTCAGCTGATGTTTTACATTTATGACAAAGCTTTGTCAATTTAGCATTTAAACAGCAAATAGTGCACATTCACAGCCAAAGTGAAACATTTTCAACATGAAATGCCATAGTTGCAAATGTTTGTCACATGTGTAAGAAATCAGTCAACATTCACACACAATTCCTCACATTAATAAATCACATTATGTCTGCCGTGTATTAGCATATAACTAACATTTAGATCTTGTAGATCTTAATACTAGCTTTATACTTGTACAGCATAGCATAATACTAACCTTCAGACCTTAGTACTAGCATATCGCTAGCATTAGAATCTTGGTATCATCCTCCTAATCATAGTATAGTACCAATATATAAATCTGAGTATTAATCTTCATATCTTAGTGGTAGCTTAGTATATGATAACAAAGATGTGACACAGTCACAATATATTCATCATCTTTAATAATAAAAAAAGTAAAGAAGATTCAAAAACATTCATCAAAACCTTATCTAAAAAATTATATAATGATTGGAAAAATAATTATTAATAAATAATCTTATTAACAAATTAACAGTGAATATGCTTAAATATTTTAAACCTTTTCTTCAATACCTTTATCATCTTTCATCTTAAAATACTGATTAATTCATCTAGTGAGATTCTAAGTAAAACATGCTCATATTGTGTGTTTATTATAAGAATGTCAAAATTAATTTTATACATAAGCATGTTATGCAATTACAATGAGAACTCAGAATATAAAAATGCATGACATGTTATTATAATTTATTATTATGTTAAAAGGGGTGCAGAACCTACACAGTCCTCTTAAGATGCAGAGAAATGGATGATCAGCTGCTATAGAGTCTGGCTTGACTCTTCAGTATCCTGCTTGAGTTACACATCATGCATTGTATTATAATTATTGCATGTGTTAGTGTTTAATTTTAAGAAGTCTAACTTAAGCTTGATTTTCAGTGATGACAGTAATATTCAACCTTTTGTGTCGAGGAAAAGCAACATCTTAGACATATCACTCTTTAATGAGTTTTCTTCTGATGCTAAAGATTTGCAGTGACATCATTTATTTTGTTAACTTTAGGCACAACCCTGACATGATCGTCTGACTGATGTGTGATGTCATTATCTTCAATAACTTTCAAACTGCAGTCAATTACTGACATTGAGCAGTATATTCAGCTTTATCTAGTGATACAGATGTAAATTTTATAATTGCTTTACAAAATGTTGAGAGCTCAAATGGCCCTTTTATAGCATGACCTGAGATAACTACATTTAATGTCACTTATAATAAGCTGATTGGATTTTTTTTGAAAAGAGTGACACTCATTTTTTGCAGAATCTGTTATTCTTGTCACATTTCTTTTTGATCTTAGAGCATATGAAGCTATACTAAAGTTAAAACATCTTTTTCTTCAAATATATAAATCTAGCAACTATGTGCATTTTATAAAAAATTTAACATATTCAATAACTGGCATTTTCTTTATTTTGAAGTCCTCTTTAGACTGAATAATTTAAATGAAATTAATATTGCACACTTTAAGAGATTTTAGAAGATACTCATATCATATTTTGTAATATTTCTAATACTGCTGCCTCTCTTTCTCAATAATCATGCCATGATCATTGCTGATAAGCATGCAGTAACCTTAGCAAGTATAGTATCATTTAAAGGTGAGCTCTAAGTTCTGTAGCTGCTTACTGTGTGATCATAGTCTGAGACATAAATGTGAACTCATTCATAGTTCAAGAATAAGTTGAGACTTTTAAAGTCAGATGACTCCTTCACAATTGATGTGACATGTAGTGAAGTGGCATCTGTCATATATAATAAGTAATTATAAATGTCCTTGTATTTTCATCTGAAAATATTTTCAATTCTCTTATCTGAAATTATGATATAGCCTTGCACATCTGCGATTGAAACTTGCTGATGTATAATTGGCCTACTGTTACACTGTATGCTATGCACGAAAAGATTATCTATTCTAAGGTTCATTTCAGGTGTATGTAGATGAGATGAGCAATAAGTTTTCTGTCAATCTGTCACAGTATTTCTTTATTACATGTCCTCACATGACATCTCACACACCACAAGGCATCACGTGCTTCACCTGAATCCCACACCACAGACACCGCAGACATGATGGCATTTGCAACTATGGCATATGCTGAGTTAGTCTTTTGCCGTTGTAAGTGATATTTGCAATGGTGTCATTTCGTATCTCAGATTGTGAAAATGCAACAGGTTATTCAGTGATCACAGATTAGTTACAAACATTTTAAGATATGCAAGCATTGTGCATATTTAAACAATATGTCAAAATTTAGCACTGTAAAATTTGAGTTGCAAATTATACGTATTAGATGACATTTGCAAGTCCGGCAGATGAAGATGCAAAGGGTAGATTCAGTCAAGGAGGTCTATATTCAACATTAGAATCAATACATCTCACACCTTGTACCAGACTGAAGTGATGGTGTTGCATGTGTTCATGTAAATTTCTGCTACGGAATGTTGAATATAGGCCTCCTTGACTGAATCTACCCTTTGCATCTTCATCTGTCGGACTTGCAAATGTCATCTAATATGTATAATTTGCAACTCAAATTTCATGATGCTAAATTTTGACATATTGTTCAAATATGCATGATGCTTGCATATTCCAAAAGTTTTCAAACTAATCTGTGATCACTGAATAACCTGTTGCATTTTCACAATCTGAGATACAAAATGACACTGTTGCAAATATCACTTACAAAGGCAAAAGACTGACTCAGCATATACCATAGTTGCAAATGCCATCATGTCTGCGGTGAGATGTGTAGAGGTCAAGTGATAGTCTACACCACATATTTAGGTCTGGATCTTTTGATGATAAGATCAGACTGGTCTATTCCAGGAATACAATAGTGATGCCCATTTGGGAACAAAGAGAACAAGGACTATTGTTGAAGATCATCTTAGCAATCTGCTAACAGTTTAGCCATTGTCACGATGAGAAAGATCATCTCACCATTGTTATGGATGAAGACTGATCTTCTCACTTATTGTTCTAGTTTAAGACAGATCGTCTCACCTATTGTTTCACATATAGTTTAGTTGCCTATGATACATAGATAGTCAATTCACCTTATAGTAGTGGTTATGTAATTGGGCCCCCTGTATGTGTATATAAGACAAGCCATATAAAGGATGAAACTTCAGATTGTTTCTCCTCGTCTACCATAGTAGTCACTTTACTGAGCCTAACCAGCTCCATTATATCTTTATCACCTTTTCAAGCATGCTCTATATCAGTGAGTCACTTGTTGGCTTAACAGCCAGCTAGGGTATCAGGGGAATAAGGCAGCACTTCACAGTGACTGACTTTTTTGGTCTCTTTGATCTTTTGCCCAGCTAGCGCTGTGACACAATCATTGAATATCAGAAAATAAAACTATTATGCCTCTAGATCTTGCAATGTTCAAGAAGTAAATACTTATTGATAAGAACATGTCATGACATGTTCACTGCAAATTATAGACAAAAGTCAGCATGCACATTAAAGCTCTCAGCTAATGGTTTACGCACATCAGAGCTGAACTTTAAATAATGGTTGAGCTTGCTCAAGGACATTAGGATGGAAAGTGCATTGTATTTTCCTTTCAATGCCAAGTCAACACTTGGCAGTAAGTCAAAGATTAGATAAAAATTAACCTTGATAATTGATATTAGAGATGATCAGCTGATGCCTCTCAGGTTGTTGCTGTCTAGCCAAATACTCATGTGCATCTGCATGTATGTATATATATAGGGCATGGTGTGCAGTGTGTTCTGTCATTTTTTTCTTTCTCATTGAGACCAAGGTGATGATTTGACAGTCACAGAGGGGCATCAGCCCATGAACTATGACAAGTACTAAGGTCTAAAGGCTATGTTATACTAGGTCTAAAGATCAGCACTAGGGTCCAAATATTCACACTATGCTATACTAAGCTAGTACTAATAGATCTTAGTACAAGCCCTTTAACTTTCTCTCAATGCCACTACCTCACTTATGTCATTCTATTCCCCTCTTTTTACCACCACCACTATTTGTGCACCTTTCAGTGTTTCAGCATAAACTGCATTTAGTTACCAGTACTTGACATCAGATATACTGTAAATGTGCAAAAAATGAGATCATCTAATCACAAAAGCTTAAGGACAGTAATGTCAGTTGAACAATTTTTGCAATTGATGTTGGCTATTTCATCAGAACAATGATGAAACAATGGTGCTTTGCAACAGCCTCCATCAACACTGCAGGATACAAATGACTTAAGGTCTATTTCAAGACCAAGCATAATAGTAGCAGCATATACATAAGATCCATCTCTCAATTCTTTTTGATACTCATGACTGACAAAAGTGTTTGTCACATCTAAAGACTGATTTACAAGTCTGTCTTTTTCCAAACCATTGATCTCTGCATGCAAAGCAATGGCCCTCTTAATAAAGCTATGGCATATTTGTCTCTTATCTTTGTCAAGGTGTATTTATGGGTTACAATATGTTTTTCTTCTAGATCTGATATTCAACGAGGAATTGTACAGATAACACATGCTTAGTGTAAATATCCACCTGCTGAAGTAGACATGTCCCTGTATGACCGGTCGACCCATAGAGCTGCTAAGGGGTTTAGGCAGCTGAGACATGCAAGAAAGCAGGCGAAGATCATGATCAGGCTGTTGAACAATACCACAGACAGTGACAAGGAAAAGGCAGGGAAAGGCTGATGAGGTGGCATACTGCATGCAGCAATAAAAGGCATCAATTACCTTTCGTCCGATCCAACCTCTGTCCGTCATTGCCCATATGGGCAAGCTTGTCAACTTCCTGCACATGAGAAATTGCTGCCCAAAACACACATTGATCATACAGAATCTGCAATCAAGCGCTGCGGCTGCTCAATCCATATCCTCCACAGCTCCATAAAACCGATGAGCTCAGCGCCTTCCACTACCCGATGATCCGCGCTCCAGCTAATGCGCACCTTGAGCCTTCTCGCGCCTTTGCCGTCCTCTCCATTCACATCCCACACCCACTTCGCCCGCCCGACAGCTACGATTGCTACGCCGCCACTTGGCACGAGCACGGGGGACGCAGAGTCGACATCACCTACTCCGCCGACATTGGAGATAGTGATTGTCCCTCCACGCTTGGGCATCTCAGCCGACGTGAGTGCGCATGGCACTTGACGCCCGAGATGCGCGAAATGCTTGAGCACTGAGGCGATCTCGTAGACGGTGCGTGTATTAACATGCTGAATAGTTGGTGTGTAGAGACCGGTCGGTGTGGATAGCGCGATGCTGATATCGGCGTGCGGGCGGATGGTTAAGGTGGGCTTGTCAGCTGCTGAAGAATTCGGTTGAGAGGTAAGAGACGAGCGAAAGAGCGGCCACTCCGCCATAGCCTTCGAGAGTGTCTTCATCAGGAATGGTAAATAGGTAAGACGAGTATAACGCGCAAACTCTGGGATCGCTGGAGGATCGGGAGGCGGGTAGAACGATGCTGGCGAGACAACAGGCACTGGCGAGTGGCTCTGTGGCTTCTGTAGATAATGCTTGGGTATATGAGAATTGAGCATGGGAAGGAAGTCGTGTAGGGTCGTTAGGTCAAACGTGCTCGTGCACCTATACACCGTGTTCGACGAAAGACCACTGTTAACAAGACGGAACTCACCCGAACTGCGGAATCTCCAGACTCTGTTGACCTGAATGAGCTTAAATGTCACCGTTCCGAGGAACTGAACTGACTTTCGTCATTGCTTTCCACATGTTCAATCTCGTGCGGCCCAGCTCGATGGTGATCTCAGCATCTGAAGCGAGACTGGCGGCAGCTGTCTCCACCTCCGAGGCTTTCGACGCAGATCCTGCCAGATAAGCTTCGACGTCCTGCTTCTCTATTCTACCACCCTTTCCACTGCCTGGAACCAAGAGCGTCAAGTCTACGTCTCTCTGACGAGCAAAGTAACGGATTGAAGGAGTAGCTAATACGTCTTTGCCGGATGGTTGAGAGGTTTCAGACGACTCGCTAGAATATCTGGGATCTAATGGATGCGGCCGCGACTTTGGAACCGCACGTTTGACTTCTCCCTTTATGCTTCCGTCCCGGATGATCGAAGTGGAAGGCTGTTCCTGAGGCGGCGGCGTAGCACTCTCCAGGGTCGCCAAGGGAGCAGAGCCAGAGTGTGCAGCGTCAGATCCGCTCTCTTCCACCTCGATGATACAGAGCCCTGCACCGACTTTCGCGACGTCACCTTCATTGACAAGGATGTCTCTGACAACGCCGTCAAACGGGCTGGTAATCTCCACGCTGGCTTTGTCGCTCTGGACCTCACAAAGAGGATCGAAGACCTGGACTGAGCTGGCAGGCTTCACGTTCCTGATAGCAGGTTCCTCGCGACAGTGAGAGAAACATAGATGAGGAGAAAAATCGGACGGACCATTTAATGACCTCGCATTCGGTGATGCCCTCGCCAATGTCGGCCAGCTTGAACTCCTTGAGCTTGCGAGCCGTGGAGGGAAGCGAGACGCGCAGGTAACGAGCCCGAACGCGAGCGACGGGGAACAAGACGCGACGAAGCAGCATTTTGGGGGGGGGTAATGAGCGGTAGACTAGAGGTTGGGAGGGATCCATATTTAATCGAGTGCGTGATTGAGGGCGACAGGCCAATTGGGCAGTACTTGTGACCTGGGATAAGCGCTCGTCTACGTGAACGCAACGCGACGCGTCGAGCTAGCATTCCGTCCAATATTCATCCTTTCTGCCTGTTCCGGGGCAGCCACGACCTGACGTCCTCCACTCGCGTCTTTCCGCTGCGCACCTCGCTATATCATCGCTTAGGACGCCTGCTTGTGCAGTGTCGATATAAGTGAGTGGCAAAAGTTCGTCAATCACCACCTCTGTTACGATCTAACGTGCATTCGTTGCAGCCCTCTCGCGTGCATTCTCCTGGGCAAGTGGCAATTCTTCAAGGCCATCATTTAATCCACCTTTGGCTAGTCGCAGAGCTCCATCTTCTCGGAACGATTGTCTCTAGCCATGGCTGCTGTCGAGCCTGCAATACCTCTGGCTAATGGTACCGCGCATGTCAATGGTAATGGCGTTGCGAATGATGGGCTTTCCGAACCTGCTCTACCTTTCGATGCTTCTGTATTCCGATCGTATCTACTTGCGCTCCTGCCACCCGTAGTGGGGGCATACCTGGAAGAGCTGGACTCTCTGTTTGACAAGGATTTCGACGAACGCGTCTCGCGATTCGGAGAGGAAGGTGGAGGAGTGATCTATGTTGTCAAGAAGAAGGACGAGGACGAAGGTGAGCATCCTTTCTCGGAGTGTAGTTCTCCGTTGACGTCCAAACATAGCAGATGATGCCCCGCCTACATATACATATAAGCTGACCTCGCAGCTAACCTATGACCCTTCCCACGTAACCACCCTTGCCATCATCAAGCGCGGTCCCACATTAGACACGGCGACTCCCCTAGCTACGCAGCTGCACATCCTAAATCTCTTCGGAGGAGACGAAACACCGTACGAGAGTTTGCATGCCGTTGTGAGCTGTGCCGTCAAACCATGGTTCGAGGCTTTCGTAGGTGCTCGAGGAGGGAACAAAGAAGGTGACTCCAAGATGGGTAAGCAGTGTATGCCATCGATTGTGTCTGCTTGCTGACCGGTGATATCTGCAGGCATCCCCATGACGAAGAAGAAATTCGCCGAGCTTGAGCTTTCTCTACTCCATTTGCAGCAAAACGTCGAGATCCCAGAGACCCACCTAACCATTCATCCTATAATTCAGAGAACTGTAGAGGAAGCTCGGGCAGCAGGGAGACGGCCCAGTATTTCAGATATCCCTCCCAAGCTATTGAATGATAGCAGCTTTCTGAACACCCTGCACGGCCATGTGAACCAATGGATCAAATCCATCCAGACTGTCACCAAGCTCAATCGCGACGTATCTTCTGGGACTGCATCCCAAGAAATCAACTTCTGGTTAAGTCTCGAGAGAGCACTAGAAGGGATTGAGGCCCAGCTACGCAGCGAAGAGGTCAACATGGTGATGGATTGCTTGAGGAACGCAAAACGCTTCCACGCCACCGTTAGTTTCATCGCCGACACAGGATTGAAGGATGCTACCGATACAGGTGAGTCGTGCCGGATTGCTCCATTGACGTGCATTCATATCCTGCAGTGCACAAGTACAACCAGCTCATGAAAGACTTCCCGCTGAATGAGCTGCTTTCCGCCACCGATCTTGAGAAGATACAGGAAGCTCTCGTTCTGATTTTCCAGCACATCAACCGCAAGCTGAAGCTCTCGCCGTATCCCATCCGACGTGCACTCCCGCTCGTAGAAGCCATCTCTCGCGACTTCAACGACCAGCTCCTGCGCGTTCTCACTTCACATCGCTTGCTGTATACGCCGTACGATACATTCGAGCGTCTAATGTCTCAAACCGAAGGCATATTCCGTACCTGGACTGACAACATGAAGGAATTTACCAACGTCGCCCGTGAGGTCACCCGCAAGCGGTCGGAGAAGTTCATCCCCATCAAGATCGCCGCAGCCCATGCTAAGCTGCAGGAGCGCATCAACTACCTACGGAACTGGCGAAAACAGCATGAACAGCTTGCCGCGATGACTGCACCCACCAAAGGCCTCAGCGGAGTCGGCGTTGAGATTGGAGGCATCGATATGGAGGCGGAGGTGAAGGAGGCGTATGAGGTCATCAAACGCATCGACGTGCTGGACGTCTCGACCGGTAAGCATACACATCCTGTGTTGCTTTGTCTGGATTCTAAATCGGTCTAGAGGGAAACGAGATCTGGGTGGCTGCGGAGAACGCCTACAATGAGCGCGTGGCTCGAGTAGAAAACCAGATCATCGCGCGCCTGCGAGACCGACTTGGTACTGCACGGAATGCAAACGAGATGTTCCGTGTCTTCTCCAAGTTCAATGCACTGTTTGTCCGGCCAAAGGTAGGTGCAGTAGCATCAGATTCATATGTCAACTAAGTACTGTCGATTGCCAGATTCGTGGAGCTATTCAAGAGTATCAAACACAGCTTATCGACTCAGTGAAGGAAGATATTAAGAAGCTACACGATAAAGTGGGTTGTGCCTCAGGTGTAACTGCCCGGTGATGTTAACCTTCTCTGCAGTTCAAGACGCAATACAGGTCCTCCGAGGCCTATCACATGTCCCAAATGCGTGACCTGCCGCCGATTTCTGGCGCCATCATCTGGGCGCGTCAAATTGACCGACAGTTACAGGCGTACATGAAACGCGTTGAGGACGTTCTTGGTAAGGGATGGGAACTGTACGCCGAAGGACAAAAGCTTCAGTCAGAAAGTACTGCCTTCCGCAAGAAGCTAGATACTCGACCAGTGTACGAGGCATGGCTACACGACATCAACCGCCGAGATATGGGCGTAAACGGGCGGCTATTCGAGATTGTCCGGTTACGCGGAGGGAGCTTCCAGCTGGCCGTCAACTTCGACCCACAGATCATCACCCTGTTCAAGGAGGTCAGGAATCTGCTATGGCAAAATTTTCAGGTCCCACATGCCATTACGAATATGGCGAAGGACGCTAAGCGAGTCTATCCCCATGCCGTCAGCCTCATGGAGACTGTACGTACCTATGGACAGACCCTCGACCTCATTGAGAACAACAAGGGGATAGAGTGGCTGGTTGCAGAATATCGGAATGAGGCGCAACGCATGGTCACTCGCGGTAGGCGATAATCGACAGCGATTAGGATGTCTCGACTAATCATGAATATAGGCATGAACATCAGATGGGATCACTTCGTAAATCAGTATGATACAGCTCGATACGTCTCGGGCGGTGATCCCCGCGACAATCGCCACATCCAGTTCGTTCAGGAGTTCGCTAGTGTGGTGTCGATCTTGCAGGTCTGCTCTCACCCTTGCCAGTGTCAGCTTCGTTCGCTGAAGCACAAAACTAGGACAAGACGAACAACGTAATCGACCTATACAAAGACATTGCTCGTTCCGTAGAAGAGCTTTCTACTTGTCCGTACACTTCCGAAGCCTTCATAGAATTGTTGGGCAGAATCCAGGCAGCAGTGCGTCCGCTTTACATGCCACATGATGATTAGACAATGACTACCAGTAGATTGATCGGCTGAATCTAGAGGGATACGCAAACCTGGAGCACTGGGTAGCAGAACTTGACCAGAGGATCGAAACCGCCTTGCTTCAGCGCCTGACTCATATCATTCAAGTCTGGTGTTCGGAATTTGACCGATCGGAGGACGCTGACGGCCGACGTGAGCCTTTGCGAGATGTCATGATTAAGCGTCGAGGTGACAAGCGATTGCGGGATGAGAAGGTGAGTAACACCATGCGATATCCATCGGCACTTACTTAGATCTATCTGCAGTCTCTCGACGGTGGGATGACGTTGAAACCCATTGTACATGAGATTCGGATCCAGAATCAAGTAATCTTTCTCGACCCTCCGATTGAATATGCGCGCCAGACTTGGGTCCAGCAGCTACACAATTGGTTAGGTGAGCTACAACACGCACTCAAACATTGCTCATCTAATGTTTTCTCAGGAGTCGTCTGCCAACTGAGGAGGATCCAGAGCTCGCGATATGAGATCGGTTTGCAGATGCAAGGTGTAACGGCTACAGAAGCGACCTACACGTCTCTGGTGCGTCATGCGCAGCGCAAGCTCTTTGTAGGATTGTTGACTGGTTTGATTCGCAGTTGACACGATTCACTGATTCGACTCTGGAGCGGCCATTTGCACTCATTGAGCAGAAGGTTCAGCAGCTCAAGGAATACGTGGCCAAATGGTTGCAATTCCAATCTTTATGGGATTTGGAAGCCGAATATGTCTTCAGTCGGCTCGGCGACTCGCTGGCGCATTGGCAACAGCTGCTCACGGAGATCAAGAAAGCTCGGTCGACTTTCGATACATCGGATACACAGAAGTCATTCGGGGTCTGTGTAATCGACTACGAACAAGTGCAATCACGAGTCAACGCCAAGTATGACGCATGGCAGAAAGATATCCTCAATCGTTTCGGTGTCAAACTGGGCAATGCGATGAAGGAGATGCACGCCACCATTATGAAGGCCAGAAACGAGCTTGAGCACCAGTCAATCGAGGGCCTCGTGGGGGCTTCCCGAAGGTTCTAGCCTCACGTTTGTGAGATCTGATTTTCACGTCCAGATGCCCTTTCTCGCATCTCAACACCGGCATTTTCGATACCACGCACCGATTGTCATATACGTTATCATGCGGATCACCTGTATAATCATTCTGTTATACCTCTAGTATCAAGCGGGCCTGTAGACTCCTACGTTGCTATATAATGAGCGGTGCGAATCATCTTTTCGCAAGGGAATGAGGAGACAGGATCGTTGCGTTTGAGTCCGGGATAGTTCGTCCATATGGCATAGTAGACTGCGTCGTTCATGTTACCATCTTTTGAGGACACGATCACAGGCTCGAGCTATTCCTTCTTTGATCGGAACGGCGCGTTTTCGCGCTGGATCCTTTCGGACCGTATTCTACGGCAAAGAACAAATTCTCAAAGGATTGCTGGCAATGAATCGCTCGCATTTACAACTTCTTGCTCTCCTTAACAAGCCTCTTGCCCGCTACTGCCGGGTGTGCTCGTTCTTGCGGCATTGATCATACAACTTATGGTGAGCGATATTCAGTTTGTCCATCGTTATAGAGCAAATCCAAATGCTAAACGGGTAGGATCAAGGTCGAACTATTTCTTTGAATCTGCCCGTTCGATGCATGTCCAAGATCATTACATGGTGTCAGTCTCGCCGCACCCATCTACCGCACATTCTCCATCCTTGAATTTCTTCATAGCCTGTAGTCCAACGTCATCCAAGAACTCTTCACTGGCTCATAGTGGAGCAAGGCTGTTAGTTTCAAGAACATACGTGGTATCCTATAAGAGTTCTGGTTGGCAAAGATGTGAAGCATCCAGTTGACTTTTACAAATGCGTGATGAGATCTTCTTCCCGCTGCTTTGCATCAGCTTTTGATATTGGCATTTGTTCACTATGCACATAGCTGCTTGTCTCGTGAAAGGAACAGAAACTGCCAGTGCTCTTGACTAATACACTAAAAGGCAGTAGTACTTACACTTCGGTACCACCGGTAGGATATATGTTGGCGAGGATGGGAGCTCAGGTAAGCCTGCCAGGGATATACTTTGCTGCGTTGTCGAGAACTGCATCTCCCCTCTAACGCTGGTCCTAAACCTGACACTCTGAGTTTCATAAAGGTCTTCCCAACGTAAGGAGCACATATATGTCACACCAAGGGAAATCATTAGAGCTGGCCCAAGTGCGCTAACTGGAGACTGAACCCTGCTAGCCGAAATGATCAGCCTTTGAACAAATAGATGCACTGCCAGTCCGTACGAGACACATATAAGTGGTTGCAGTCACTTTGATTCCGATCCGTTCATCTCCCCCGGCACAACCTTTGGTGATCCGACCGCCACACTGCCATACTGCGGCACTGTCATACCATTGCTATCAGGCATTATCGTACGTTCCGAATGCAGACTTCCGACCGACGACGGCGTTGAACATTCAGTGCCGCTCTGCACTGTATCGACCCGACTCCTACTGGTTTGCGACGGTGTACCGCTGTTGTTTCGGCTGAAGAGTGGCATACGTTCGCTCGTTGTGGGGACAGTGTTTTGGGAGTTCCTTCGACTGACATGGTATTCAACGATGCTAAGTGAAGAATGAAGTGACTTAGGATGACCGATAGGAAGTAATTAAGCGAACGCACCCCCGCATCACTGCCGCGTTCTTGAGACGCCTTGCACGGCGCTTGCTTTGGTTATCTTCATAGCGGTCTGTCTCATCTACAATCTCCTCTGATATGATTTCCTAAAAGCGCGTCATTCACCATATGCATGTATGGATATCAGTGAAAAACGAACCTCGATGATGTCTGGATCAGGACCACGAACGTCATGATCTAAATCAAAGAAAATCGCTGCAAGACGTACCTTCGAGAGTGACCACGCCTATCGCGCCACCCTCCGCTCCAGGAGTTTTACTAAGCAGTAGTAAATGCGCGCGGCCGGTCTGGCTGTTTTGAAGTGGTCAGACGTCGATGGACGTGCGGGTAAGGGAAGATTTACAAGTAGTCCAGAGCCTGGAAACAATTGATTGACGGATCCGCCTCGGGCAAAATTGAAAGCGCAAACGACGAAACGGGCAGTCGTTGAGAGGGGTCATATATGATCAACTGTAGGGGATTGTGTTGAGCACCAGCGTTGCGCGAAAATCAAGACAGGAACACTGATGCGGACCTTCTTCAAGAGCAGTAGTCCTTCGAATGCAAGCGGACTTCCTGGCCTGTGCACTGGAATGCGCGAATATCCGCTTCGCAATCTGGACAAGAATATTGAAGATAACTCGATACACGGCATGGTATGAGGCTCACATTAAATCGACGGTATCGTGGTCGAGAATCTGATCTGAACTAATCGTAACAACGTCCTGCACTCATCATCGTTCATGATGCATATTTGATAAGGGACGAACTGAATGCATCGATTACTTACCTTCATCGGTGTCATAATAGTTTCTGCGTGTTTATTGTTGAGCTCCAGCACGCCGTTCAAAATACTAATTTCCTCGTCGCGTAATGGCTCTTCTCCCTGACGATGAAATGCCAAGAAGGATCTAATAGTCGGATGAGCATTAGGTCGAGAACTGACAGAACTATCTCACTTCAACTCAGCCTTTTTGTACGTGTGCGCGTCGTTTCCGCCCAGGAGGTAGTCTAAAAGTTTCGCAATGGGCCATGCGATAGGCGCTGTAAGTCCTAGGATTAATGCCATCACGGAATTTCTCGCGAGCAATACTCACCGAATAGATACATCATGCCCAACACAATGGGAGCGCATGATGCGCCAACTGAGAGGCCATACCGGACACTAACGGCCTGAGGTATGATTCTTGACATATAATATTAGCTTCCGTTAGCAATACGTTTTCAGTTGTGAGAACTCACTCGCTGTGGAAGACAGTAAAATGGCGTTCGTGAGAATCATATTGAATCCTATTCTGAGCTTACGTACCCAAATATCACTGAAAAGTGACAAATGTGAGCCTGGATACATCACGTATCCTGAAAGCAACACGAGGAAAACGACAAGCTGGGCCGTGCAAGAGCAGACAAAGCAGAATGACGAGCAATATAGCAAACAAGCGCATGCTAGTGAGAGAACGCGACCTAAACCGTTCGAACCCACCTATCATTGTTGTAGCAATGATGACTGCCGCTAAACCCCCACCAAGCTGTTTCATATTTGAATGAGCGACAACACCTGCATCGGACGATGCGGCTTACAGCACTATTCAGGAATACAGGCAGACTTTCGTTTACGATCTAATGGGGTTCATGAGGAACACTCTCGCGGTACTGCTGGGTGTACTCACAACATTGCCTAAAAGCAACACCTATTCAGAGCGTACATGTGATCTATTGGTTTGAAGGTAAGCGAAGACTTACCACCAATACCCAATGGCGGCGATGAGTTAGAAGTCGCAGAACTGACGCGTATGATGTAAGCACAAAGACATGCATTGGATGGGTGGCGCACAGACCCTTCTGCGCATTCTTTCTCTCGACTGGGTCATCCGACGATGTAGCGAGGACGCGGAGGTGCAACTCATCCAGTCCCATCAGACCCAGAGTTAACCTGTCCATGGCAATCCGTGTGGCGACGCGATTAGACTACGCACCACCCTGCAAATGAAACTGATGCATACCCCGCGAACACACCACCTGCAAGAACGAGAGCAATGCTGACAATCAGCTTGTACCAGAACTCGGAAGGTCCGGGCTCCTCTCCGAAAGCTTCGTTGCCTAGCGGGACCTCGTAGGTGGTTGTCGGACTAGCATGGATAAGCTGCGTGGCATGTAGCAGCAGCAAGAGAAGAAACTGTACGGTTGCCATGAATGCAGAAGGAAAGCCAGTGAGGAGCACAGCCGGGCGTCTACTGACGCGTTTAGGTGACTTGCCGATCTTTTTCTTTCTCCTTTAGAAAACATATCGCAATATAAGCGAGATGGGGATCACGTGCTGGCGTAGATTGTCCTCGTTGTTTTTGAGATAAATCTAGTTTGATATTTCAAGCTCATGTATTGTAAAGGGGGATTTTACGGGACTGAATCGCATTTACACAGTCAAAAACGGGCCCAAGTCTGGGGTGTTAGTCGTGGGCTGAGATGCAAAGAAAGTACCGAGTTCTACTATGAGAAAGATGTGGGATTCCCTTTATCACATCTGAGTTAATATAAGCAGCTTTGCGCAAATTAATGCCCAAACATTATTCACTTGCCGGAAGGCTGGATTATTCAATTCAATTCTAAAGCCTTTCCTGCAACAAGAACCGTGTGATGCAACCTTCACTTACGAGGTGTCTCAGTTCTATCTCGCGCTTGGCGAAATCTTACCGTTTCAAAGGCGCCGTTCCTACTTCTACTATGCCCAAGAGCCAGAGTCGAACTTATTCTCCGGCGGAAAGTGACCCTGACCATCGTCCTGAAAAGAGGCCTCGTCTAGAGGAAAATTTTCAAACCATGGGCCCGATTCATTCTTACCAGGGAGCTACAGAGCAAGCGGACGGCAAGAGTAAAGAGACACTGCCACAGTTTGCTCAAACAGTTGCAGCAGGCGAGCCTTCATCTAAATCGAAAGCACCAAAGAAGAAATCGAAACACAAGAAAGTCATTCCTGAGCCATACTCAGGAGAATTTGTGGTAGCTCGGGACGTAGAAAACCTTCTCGGACAGGAAACTGTGAAAGAAGCAATCGCCGGCGGGACAGAATGGGATGCACCCTTCACAGGCAAGGAGGAGATCGAACTTATAGTCTCTGGTCTATCTTCAACTGGTGCGTACAAATTATTCGGTTACATTATTTATATCATACGGTCCAGTCTCCATGGCGTCGACTTCTTGCGAACCTCTCCTGCTTCCAGACCACGCTCTGCTCCCATACTTCTCTTCAGCAAACGCTCCCGTTGCTGAGGTCCAACCACTCTGGACTGTCCTCGCATATGGTCTGTAGACGTATTCTGGCCATGGCATGGTTCTATGTAGTATTTTATTGAAAGGACGATCTCAGAGTATTGCAATTTGGCGTTTACCACTCGGCTTCCAACGGTTGCGCATCATCGTAACGGGGTATACCGATTCATTCATAAGCAAACTGCTTAGGCATTCTTAACCCAGTTTTTTAACGTCTACAAAATGATTTTTCTTGGTACACTTGCTTATGACTTATACGCAGGTGACTCGTTGTCAATTGCGCCGTCACCGCGCAAACCATGGGTGATTGTAACACCACTGGCTCTTCCTGGAGAGAAGATCCGTGTCCGTGTCTATAGACATGCGCGATTATACTCCCACGCGGATCTGCTCGAGGTTGTTACGGCCAATCCGGAATGGCGCGACATGACGAGAGTTCAGTGCGAATATTTCGGAAAATGTGCTGGTTGTCAGTATCAGGTGAGTGTTACTTAGCTTCTTATTGCTGATGAGCTAGTATGTTTGATCCACTCTTTCAAGATGTTGTCATATGAAACCCAACTACAGCTTAAGCGCAACGCAGTAGTAAAGGCATATGAAAACTTCTCCGGTAGCAAGCTATGCCGTCTCATACAAACCGTTTGCTGATTCTGATCAGGTCTCCTGCCTTCTTCGATTTCTGAAATTCCTGAGACGATAGGTTCCCCATTGCAATACGGGTATCGAACCAAGATCACTCCACATTTCGATGCCCTTCCCAGGAAGCTACGGAAAGACACAAAACACGCGTTTGCGGACAGCGGAGCCAAACCTGACTGGCTGAGGATCGGGTTCAACCAGATTGGCACAAGGCAGGTGATGGACATTGAGGTTGGTCTTTGCTGTGTCCGACATTGTGAGGCTGTGATTGAATATGTTTGATTAAGGAATGTCCGATCGCCACTCCAACCCTGAACGAGGCCCTCCCCTCCATTCGTCAAAATGTCATACAGTACGTTTCTTGTGCACCGGTTGCGATCCCTCGCTCATTGATCCTCTGTAGAAATGCTTGGACATACAAGAAAGGGGTCTCCTTGCTCCTGCGTGACTCTTCAACAATTTCAACGGAGCCTATGACTCCGAGTTCCCTAAATACAACATCTTTGCCAGAAGTTGTAGCAAAATCAGGCGATTCAGTCGCCGTCTCAGTCACTCAGTGCGATGCCATTGACGGCCTAGCAGCGCCGCTCGAGGAGCACGTTTGTGTCACCAATCACAAAGCAACGGTACGCGAACGTGTCGGGGACACACTTTTCGAGTACACTGCTGGTTCTTTCTTCCAGAATAACAACTCGGTCCTCCTCCCACTCACATCATACGTCCGCGACGCAATCTTCCCTCCATCCCCTTCTTTCCCCACCTCTGCCCCTACTCACCTCGTCGATGCCTACTGTGGCAGCGGCCTCTTCGCGATCACACTCGCGCCCTACTTCCAGCAAGTCGCAGGCATTGAGATCTCTGAGGAATCCATCCGCTGCGCGACGCGGAACGCCGAGCTGAACTGCCTGCCCATGGGACGCTGCAAGTTCATGGCGGGCGACGCGGCGAATATCTTCGCGACGGTGCAGGACTTCCCGCGGGAGCACACGGCGCTGATCATTGACCCGCCGCGCAAGGGCACTGACGAGAAATTCATCGACCAGCTGTTACAATTCAATTGCGCGACCGTCGTTTACGTTAGCTGTAATGTCCACACGCAGGCGCGCGACGTCGGGATGATCCTGCGGAAGTCGGAGCAGAGGGGCGGATGCAAGTATGTTATGCAGAGCCTGAGAGGTTTTGATCTTTTTCCACAGACAGCGCACGTAGAGTCCGTGGCCGTTCTTCGACTTGTCTAGCACAATAATTACATTACAGGCACTTACATTGTTTACTGTTACTTGAACGCAGCCTGTTCCGCCACACTGCGTGGAACTACCGCGAGTATGTACTAAGATCCAGCTGGCACCACCTTCTCACAGCAGCATGTAACAACGCGAACCCAGTTGCTTATTATTTTTCAGCATGCTCAGTAGCTACATCACCCATCGGTTCTCCCACTTTGATCCTCTGCCCTGCATGCACAGCGAACTGGAACCTGTCTGGCGCCTCAAAAATCAATACAATCGTGCTCCCGAGACAGAATCCGCCCATCTCTTGGGCTTTAGTGAGCGGCTGTCCCCCCAGGATGGGCGACGCTCCAGTGTACACCGCTTCGGTGTATGTTCCCGTAGGCAGTTTCCGTCTGGAACCTACGTTCGTTCTGAGAGCCTGGACATTGTGAGCATTCAATAAAGTAACACGGAAGATGGGGCGGAAGCAAAAAATGCGTACCTGGTCGAAACTGATTTTGATGCTGCCTACATTGGTAGCTCCGACCGGCACCATGCTGAAAAAGCCATATCTCCAGCGACCAAGGAGGGCAACGCGCTCGTTCAGGACAAACAGGTTCTCCAGCTGCTTGACCATCCAGGGTGACACGGAGAAGAGGTCGCCTACATGACACGTGGACCATTCAACCTCGTCGTAAAAGATTGTCTGTGACGCGACTTACCTATGAAATGCCTCCTTTTCTCCACCACCCACGCAGCTGGACTGTGGAACCGATGATAATCACCGGGTGCCAGATAGATTACCGCGAAGTACAGAGCGTTGCCTGGCTTGACGCGCACCCTGCTCGTCCTACGCTCGATGAATGGTTGCACGCCCATCTCAGCAGCGACAGACGCGTCGTGTGCAACAACATCTTTAAGTGGCTCTTGAGAGGGAACGGACGCATCGATGCGTTGTCCGTAGAGCTCCGCCGCGTGTTTATGTGGTGACGCTGATGGCGAAGCACCGCCCTTTGACTCTGCTGGCGTCGCGGTGCCCGACGCCACAGGAGTTGGCGGTGTGGAGATCCCGAGGAACTCATCCAGACTGTATTCAATACCGTTGATTTCGGCAAAGTCGCGATCATTCACTTCCGCCATCTCCCGCTCCGGAAACTCCACGTCCATTGCGCGAGGCAAGTTAGGTCTCTCGATGCCCAGGAGCGCATCCAAGGAGTAGGTACTGCCCTTTATTTGTTCGATTCGGCCATTCACGATCGTTCCGAAGTGAAGAACTTTTCCGTCGGCGGGGCTAACCTGAGCGGGTTGGAAGCATGTGGTCAGGACGACTAGAACAGTGCGCGACAGAGGCGGAGTCGTACCAGTATTGTGTCCGCTATCGGACGCGTGCCGTCCTTTAGCTTTCGGTAGAAAAATTCACCGAGGCTTGCGTACTGCGTAAGGTCCTCAGGATTGATTTCGTTCAGGTTGCACCCGAATATCCGCGCATACAGGCGAAAACCGATGGGTCGGAACCATACTGGCAGCTCCAATGAATTGAGATAGCCCCAAAGGCGCGAAAGGTTACGCAGAGGGAGAGCACCCAGGACGTGTACCTATTTCGTGCAATCTTGTGAGCAACTTTGAATACTGCCAAACGAGCAGTTCGAATGCCCTCGCAAACGTGCAACGTGCGACAACCAATCCGAGGTATGAAGAGAGGCATAGTGTGACGAGTCTAGGAAAGAATATCCATATATGCGAAAGCAGGGAAAAGAGGACGTACGTGCCATGGACCCTTCAGATAAACGACCTCGTGACCATGCTCGTCAATGTGAATCTCCTTCACAGCCGCTCTCTTACGGTACTGGAGGAATACGAGGAGAAGCGCCCCTACAGCTACAGGCAAAGGATACCATTTCGTCGGTGTTTTCGTCCAAGCATCGATCAGCCTTCCTATGCCAGCACTCAGTCATGCTAATATACGCCTTCAGGACGGGCCTGCACGCACGATGCAGCGAAATTTTCGGTCCACTCTTGAGATCTTCATAGAGTTTTTGGCCGCTGGTGAATGGCCTGTCACCAGTGCGCTTGAGGATGGCCTCTACAGCGCGCCTGGATCTCTCGTGGAGACGGTCACGGTGGAGGAAGCGAAAGGCAGATGCACGGGCGATCGCGATCGGACTCCGGTTGTGGGTGAGCATCAAAACATCCAAGAAGACGGGCTCGTCTTTCGACCAGCTAACAAGAGTATTTTGGCGCTGCAAGCGTTGTTGTAGGCGGTTGAGCAGCGAATATATGCGCTGTGCGCGCCAGTGTCAACGACGCGTCGCATCGGCAGGCAATCACGTATCCGTTTAACGCCGCATACTCATTCAAAAACTTACAGTCTACAAACTACAATGAAGTCTGATTTAGAAAACATGTGATGAACGTAACAACCTCCAAACACCAGCAATTCAAGCATACTGCAAGAAACAGTCAGCATTCTCGCTCGAGCGTTAGAAACGAGATACGTACCCGAGTGAATGTCCCCATCGTCATAAACGTCTCCCTCTTACCGTTGTCCTTCGACTTGTATAGAGATTTGACTGCTTCGCTCATGTGCGCCTTCCGCTTCGCCTCCTCCTCCGCAAGACTAGCTGCCACAGCCTTGCTCGTCGCCGCAATGCTGGGGTTCATCGAAGGAATGGGTGAGACATGTCTCTTCTTCGCTTCTGGCTTTGCAACATCCGCCGGTTCTGTCACAGCCTTCCGTTTCTTGCGCTTCGTCTTCGGTGGCTCAGCAGCCCGCCGACGCTCCATGGCCTCGCGCATTTTCGCACCCTCCTCTGGCGACGGGTTGAGGGTAATAATATCGACGGTGCGATCATACTTAGTCGCACACTGCGGGCAGACGTCTAGCTGCTTGCTCTCAGCCTCTCGCTCCTTCTCCTTCCTTTTCTCGTCCAGTTCTAGCTTGCTTTCCCGCTCGGCGGGGGAGGCGCTGCCAGACACCGCTTTCAGACCGGCAAGGGAGAATACACATCCGCAGGTCGACATATACACAAATGGCTGCGAGCCGTTCATCTCCTTGAAATTCAACGGACACATGAACGTTGCCCGGTCCAGAGATTCGTCAGAAGTGGTTGAATTGGTGTGATTATGTGTTAGCCTGAGCGTCGTCACATCCTGGAAATAATAAAACCCCGTCAGTTGAAAAGCGCGGCAAAGATTCGAGTCTGTCACGCACCTTAAGTGACCTGATATGACCACAGATTTCTTCGCCGTCTCCGTAAGCACCCCTGTCTAGCAGGAACTCTAATAGTGAGTCCTTATTATATAGCTTGCCTAGAGAACAGGATACGATAGGTTCCTGCAGCGGACGCTGTGGAGAATGAGAGATGAGCGTTACGAAATCAATCAGCACGTTCCACCGATACATACCTTCGACAATGCGCAGAAGAACCAGCGCGCGCGAGTCTGATTTGCTTTGTCTGCCTGTTCGGCCTGCAATCAAAGTAATAAGAATACCATCCCCTTCGAAGTTGCCACATCACGTACCTTCGGCTTGCTCCTGACGAGATCTCGTCGATCAGGGATACTGCCTCCATCATTACCCATTTTTCTGGAGTATCTGAGATGATGAAAATGAAGATGGGGAAGTACGAGCAGAACGTATGTGGGAGGCAGGCGTATGCACACTCGATCAATATATGGGCATTAGTAACCACGCTCGGCATTTGCCGATCTTAATTCACGTGACCGAGATTGTATTGAACTTCGAACAGACGCCACGCTGCAGCCTCCCGCACTGGAAGCGTATATTTATTCTCTCGATACGTCCACCTCTGCATCGCAGCGTCATGCTGCAGGAACTCAGTCATATGGATCGCATCACACAGCTCCAGGATGAACTGCAACAGGCAAGCTCTCAACAATATACGACGAGGCGAAGCGGTTGATTTCTCGCCCAGCTCCTCACGATAATGTCTAGCACAATCGCGTTCCTCACGTCCCGAGCGAACTTCATGCAAACCAGCCCCGACGTTCCGATTACGAAGATGCGTCCGGAGGGCAAGGTCGACACGCCGGAGATGGCTGAAGGTTGTGTATCATGCGGTCTTGCATACAGCTGAACTGAAGTCGCGCTGCACTGGCAGCGAACAGGAAGGAGCTGGTCGCCGACCTTATCGTGAAGGCGAAGCAGATTGACTATCTCATACAGTCGCTTCCGGAGCCTGAGCCAGAGGAGGTGCAGGTACGAGACTGCGCTCATTTCTCTGATGTTTGTCCTGAGAAGATCTCAGGCGAACCGCTTTCGAGTCCTCGAGGAGGAGATGACTGAGGCGAATGCTGAGTACGTGCGAGCAGTTAACCGCGCAAGTGAGTTATTTTCTGCCTCACAACAGGAAATGAATCGATCAGTTGACCGTCGCGCAGAGAGCTTATACCAGCAGATATCGGCTGTCTTGCGAACTATGTTAGATGATCAGGATCTGCCGGACGACATGCCTGGTTAAATGTTCCAAAGAGGCTCTAATTGATTGCTCACTTCGTTCACGCCGTGCTGTCGTCGGCATCACCTGGACTGTGTCAGCGGTGCTACTTTGTCATTTCACAACAGCCTCTGTCAATACACTGTACACCACCGACTCATCGAGATAACAGCAGAAATCCTTCCGTACTCGCCCGCTCTGTTTACAGTGGAAACAGAGCGGGCGAATACGGAAGGGCGGAAATCATATAAGTACGCACCTGCATTACTGTCGCAGTGATGATAACGATTTTCCACCAACGGCGAGAAATGATCAGAAGGCGTTGTCCCACTTAGGTTGCTCTCCGTTAACAAGCCAAAGATCATGACAGAAAGTCTAGGAAATTATGGTGCCCCGGCGTTAGCCAGGCGCCACCTTCCTGTCTCATGGGCACAGAGGTCGGTTAGGGCTGCAAACGACTGGGGATCACAGATTGCGGACTAATGGCAGGTGAATTGGTTCATTGTTCTCAGCACATAGTGGCGCAAATTTAGGATGGCACATCTTCGATTGCCGCCTCTTTGGATACACTATATATCATGGCGCACTATTATGGGCTTTGCGCACGACTTGCCTCGCAAGGAAACAAAATGGGCGCGCATACAAAGCGATGGCTAAATGTTTTCATTTAATTCGAGAGCTGTGTATCGTAAGTGGGTACTGGTGGATGCTACATGTAGTGTTTGAGGCAGCTCACTTTCGACTTCATGCACATGTTGTCACCCAGTTTGCAACCATCGTCTGACGATTCCCGCATCGAAGGAGCGGCAACAAGTAGACACCTAATACTTGCTCAGATGCATAGGTCTTTGAACTAGGGCTGCTTCTAAAGCAGCTAAGTCATTTGTCGGTCGTCTGAATCTTCCACAGTGCGCATAGCACTACTGGCACCTCAAACCACATGATCCTGGTTCCATGGGCGTCGAAAAGTTTCCGATGGCAGTTTCGTAGTATATTAAATGAGTGCTGACGGTGAAACTGATACAGAGTGCAAGCTCAGAAGGATAGCCGTTAATTAAGTTAGAGAGCAGCAGCCCCGCCGATCGTGCGATCAACATGTAATCTAATCTAATCTGTGGCCACCTCGGGACGCTTAGTCCTCTGCCATCTCCTCGTCCACCTCAAGTCCACCTCGCCACTCTCGGCGACCATCAGAGACCGTTATCGCTAGTCTCTCAGTGATATTTAGCTCTGACGGAGAGTGATAACAGGGAATTACAGTAGCAACCACCACAACTCACCACCTGAACTCGCTGAATAATCAACATGACGGACGTCTTCACCATTTTGAGTCTGCCAAAGACTTCCGACGCCTTCAGTGCAGCATTCACGTCTAGCACACATGTTGCCGATCCGGGGTCGGCTTCTCCTCCACGCAAGATGGCACGCTTGGACGTCGATTCCGATTCTGCATCTACCTCCAGGTCTCGCGCCTCCAGCAGGCCCCAGCCGCGCGAAGGCGGCGGACCTGTGGTGATCAAGTTCATAGGACTAGCAGGTATGATCACGCATCTGAATCTCAGTAAATGATGGCTGGAAGTCAGCAGCCCAACCGTCTACCAGTGCTCAGGGCGACAGAGATTTCGCTCTTGTCAAGCGAAGCATCCGAGTTTTGTTGAGCAAAGATAGTCGCGATGTTCTGCCTGCCACTTATGATCAGATCTACCGAGCGTGTCGTTCTGCTGTATGTGTGCATGGACGTGGAGAAGGTTTGTACGAGAACGTGCGCCTTGAGCTGGAGAGATGCATCGGAGGTCTTGCGAATGGCCTGCTCCAGAGCAGAGCGGAGGCGGTGGAATGGCTTGTTGCCTTCAATGATGTATGCGCTTGGTTCGAGAGAGCAGTGGTACAACTTTCAATTATCTCTTCGCATGATTTTCACTGAGGCATATCCAGGGCTTTTTAGAATCCACATTGACGTACCTCGATAGGACATACGTGACAAGCAGGAAGGAACTACGCGACATTCAGTAAGACCCCACGTAATTCCGTCATCGCACATTAACCTTATGTCTGCATAGCACTCTATCATACGATTCTTTTGCTGCACGTATCTTCGAGAATGCCGGCATCATGGAGCGACTACGCGCAGGTATCAAATCATGGCTAGAATGGGAACGCAGCCAACCGTAAGAGGGCTGTCTCTTTGCATATTTTCACGGTATTTAATACTCTGGGTCCACAGTGCACCTCACAAATTGAGGGACCAGATTCTGAAGCTCATCCGACACTTGTTTGTGCATGGCCAGTACCATGCAGTTTTCGAGTCCTTCTACATCAGCCTTACGCGGTCGTTCTACGCCGCCGAGTCTGCGGAGCGCGCCGAAGCACTGAAAGGCAATGCACAGAAGTTTTTGAAGCATTGCGAGCACCGCAGGCAGGAAGAAGACCAGCGTGCGAGGGACGTACTGCCTGAGTCGAGTCGGGGAGAGATTATAGATGTCACTGATAAGGCACTGCTGTCGAGCAGACTTGTCTGGCTAGCAAAAGATGGTGTGTTCCATGTTCGATTCAACAGCTCGTACGAGTTTGCTAAGGTGTTATCGTCACTCAGCACTCGGCCCGTTGATGGAGAAGAAAAACGAACAAAACTTGGGCAAGATGTACCACTTGTTCGCTAAAGTAGATGGATTGAATGTCCTATGTGCTGCCTTCAAGCTGCATGTCCAGGTATGTGGAGGACACCCAATGCGCCACAAAGCAGTATGCTGATCGCTTACGATAGAACACCGTGCGCAACATTGTCAAAGATGTCGAGCGCGACGAGGACATGGTCCCGCGTCTTCTCGAATTCAAGGCATTTGCTGACCGCCTCGTGAACGACGCCTTCGCTGACACAGTCAGCGACGGCCAACAAAGTACTGCGCTGCAAGCCAGCGCCTCCATCTCCGCGCGCTCGCCGAAAAAGGTACCCAACAAGGACTTCGGCTACGCGCTGATCGACGCGTTCCAGTCTGGCTTCAAGACACGGCGGAACAAGCCTGCAGAGATGATCGCGAAGTACCTCGATCGTGCGATGCGCAAGGGGCAGAAGGGCAAGAAGGACGAGGAGTTCCAGGCGGAGCTGGACGCAATGCTCGGACTGTACAGGTTCACGGACGATAAGGATGTGTTCAGGACGTTCTATCACCGCGCGCTGGCGAAGCGGCTGTTGCTCGAGCGGTCGGCGTCGGACGACTTTGAAAAGGCGATGCTGAAAAAGTTACAGGAACGTGCGTACGCGACTTTACGGTGTTGCATCAATCATAGAACTGATTGTTGTGTTCATTTCTGCCAGAGTATGACCCTGAATTCGGTATGGGGGACAAGATGTTCAGCGATCTAATGCTCTCTCGCGACCTGATGGGCGAGTATCACGAGCAGCGCGCGCGATTTGGTGATGAGTCTAGCCAGAATCTGTCGGTCATGGTCCTTCAGAGCAGCAACTGGCCATTTGCGGCGCGGAAGCAAGACGTTGATCTTCCGCCAAATGTGTGGTGTCGCTCATGTTATACGGTTGAGTGTCACAGCTAACAGGGTTCGCAACATCACAGATGCAAGATGAACTGAACGAATATGCTGCCTTCTACAAGCACAAGCACACAGGGCGCAAGTTGGATTGGGATCATGCACTCGGCACGGCTACGCTCAGGGCGAAGTTCAAGAATGGGGAGAAAGAGCTCTCTGTCAGCCTATACCAGGCCATCGTCCTCCTGCTCTTTAACGAAAGTGCCGAGATTCATTTCCGAGATATCAAGGAACAGGTTCGGATGGGTCAGTATTTTGACCTCAGCTGATTATCATGTGGCCACTGACAACCCCGCAGAGGACTCGGAACTACGACGGACTTTGCAGAGTCTCGCATTGGGAAAAAAGCGGGTACTAAAAAAGGTGCCGATGAGCAAGGACGTAAAGGATGACGACGTCTTCCAATTCAATGCCGACTTCACGGACCCCCACTACCAGGTGCACATCAACTCCATTCAAGTCAAGGAGACGGTGGGTTCCGTTTCATCTCCCAACTCCGACTCTGTCTTGCTCACATGTGTACCACTAGCCGGAGGAGAGCCGGCGCACGCAGACGTCCATTGAAGGCGACCGGAAGCACGCGCTAGATGCGGCGATCGTGCGAGTAATGAAGGCGCGGAAAGAGCTGCACTACGAGCAGCTGAAGGCGGAGACAATCATCGCGGTGAAGAGCCACTTTTCGCCCGAGGTGAGCGTGATTAAACAGCGCATCCAAGGGCTAGTTGAGCAGGAGTACCTGCGGCGGGACGAGAAGGACATGAACCTGTACATCTACGTGGCTTGATTCGGATTGTGCGTGTTTGTATGCATCGCTTGTCCTCCTACTGCTGCGCTGCGCATAGAATTGTATTCATTCATGACATTTTCTTGATCCTACGCTCCGGTGAACGGAAGTGGTATGGATGTGGCGCGGTACCGAGGCGAGGGGCGGGAGAGGGCAAGACAGCCGCAGCCAGCTGATCGCTCGTGCGCTGCCATATCAGGGTAGGCGCCTGCACCCTTCTTCTCGACTTCGCGTGATGGTCAGTCCACGGGGCCCGCGGTCTCAATCTTGTTGCCTGTCCGAAAAGATGGACATCCTCGTCATGAACCACCATGTCCCCCGTCCCCTCCCCGTCCTCCTCCTCGTCTACGCAGCCCATCCCCCGCGATGACTCTCCGATCGCCATCGGCCAGCATGTGCGTTTCGACGCCGACTGCGTGCTTATCCCCGACCCAAGCCCGGTCTCGCGCATGCCCCGCCTTGTGACCAAGTCTTATTCCGTTCCGCTCTGGAGGAAGCGCGGCCAGGATCCGTCGTCCGTGTCAGACTCCGAGCTCGATCGCGAGGACGAGCATGTCGTGCTGAAGGTCTCCGTGCCCAGGTGAGTACTTCGGTCGTCTCGCACGTCCATGCTGACGCCGCACAGCATCGCAATCAAGTCACGCTCACCATCAAGGTCGGAGGCAGCTCAGCAGCCGCTGGTGCCGTGCATAGTATACCACGATCATGATTGCCACCCGGTTTGCGCGAGAGGACACCGTCGGCAGGCGTCGTTGCCCTCTACTCCGCGATTGGATGTTGTCACTGTCCCTCTACGCCCCTGCTGTCCGAATTGCTACCACATCACTGAAGAGTGTCTCCGCGAGGGCTCAGCATGGGAGGAAAAGTTCACGCGTGGTGCGCGGCGCTTGCGGGCGTCAAGTGCCGACGCTCGTCCTGCGCATTCTAGCCAGACGTTGTTCGACACGATACCGGGCTTCGACTCGATCATAGCTGTGGATGAGGTGGACAAGCGTCGTAGAGCTCGCGTTAATGAGAAATCGCTCTCCACGTCAATACCCGAGTTCGATCTGCACAGCGACGACGAGGAACTTCTGCTTCCCTCATTAGCACACAGGGCCGCGACTATGCGACGCGCTCTCGGTAAATCACGTCGCAGCGCAAGGTTGGACCATACAGCTGAGCTGAAATTGGCTGCCACGAGAGCCCAGGCAAGCACCGTATTCTCGCCAGTCACGCCGCCTGATTCTCCTCTATATGGTGAAGGCCACCACGCGCTTCACCTCGAGATGGGCGAGAGTCCGCCCCTTGATCTGCCGCTTCATGATCCGAGGGAGGATCAGAAACTACCACCGCCACCGCCACCAATCCTCCCCTCTTACTCCAACTGTACGAACGGTTCGATGCCAAATCTCCTCTCAAATACCCTTCCTCGCTCTAGATCCTCGACTCCGAGCGTGTCACCGATACCTGGCGCTATATTCCCTCACTTTTCATCTATATCGACACCTGTGCACATGCACCTGCTTGGGCGCCCTTCGCTGGACCACATGCACACCGGATCGGTGGGCAGGCGGCGGCCACATCTACACCTGCCGGGCCCGGGGTCGTTTTTCAAGGTCTCTGCGGAAATTCTGAAGGGCGTCAGCATGAGCGGGGGCGCACCGCTCTCGGTGTGATGTGGGCCATACTGTAAATCAGTTGATGTGTGAACCTCCGCTGTAGGCCGTCAGAAACACTCGCTGAATGCGCATGATGTGCGTGCGCCACTGCCGCTATTCGCCTGCATCAAGGTGAAACTGATCATTTTTTCTGCCGAGAAGAAAGGGCGTCTCGGTTTTCATTTTAGGAGAGAGTTTAATGCTCTGTTTGGTAAAGTGGCATATCGTGTGATTCATATTGCTTTGAGGGACTCCTTGGATATCGTGGTGCGTTGTATGCATGTCCTGGTGCTGTTGTTCTGGCCTCTTGTCTGCTGTGCTGTCGATACTGTTATAGTCAGGTCTTATTGTCTTGTGTGAATGGTAACGTTTGCAACAGCATGTGCTCCGTTGTGGCGCGATCAAATCTAGCTGGCGGTTGAGCTTACATCGCAGTTCGCAGGAACGCGTCCCATTGACTGACTGCATCACGCCATCAGCAGAACCGTGCGGACGCATCAACCATCAGCACCGCCCGCTGAAGCTTGGAGATGCCATCGGTCTGACTCTGCATGAAAGAGTTACACAGCGGTGATGCTGAGCGAGAGTGGCCGATGCGGTCGGGGACGACGAGAGGCAGCGCACGGATTCCCATTGTCGGACGGTCCGCTTGGAGCGCGATTACATGCTGACGATGTTGATCCATGAGCTGAAAAATCCAGAGCAATGTCGGATAGTAAATTAGGGACGGATGATTTGTTCGGCAGCGCCAGTATCGCGTTCCCAACCGCACCCGTGTAATGCGCCTGATATTATTCGGGGCCATACAGCTCGACGAGAGTCCGGGACAAGCGTAACATCGACACCCGCTCGCCGCGTCGATGATAGCGTAGTGACGAGCCAGATAATTGCAAAGAGACCGCTAACAGTTGTAGTCATTGTTTCACGCCCGCGCGTGCCTGGGCGACAGCGGTCCCGCCGAGTGCCAGCGCTTGCCCTCCCCTCCGCACTGCCGTCCCGCCCATCCACTCACCTTCATTTTCTTCCCCTTTCTTACCCCGTCGCCCTGCACGTTCTGTGCGCGAGCTGTTCAGTGAGCGTCCCGGCCATCACCTATTGTTCATCACGGCCTGACATCCCATCACAGTAATCTGCCTTCTCGGCGGTTCGCTCTGGGCTGACATCAACCGGTGTCCATACATCTCTCTTCCCCTTGAACTCCTCCGTTCCCTATTTTCTTCCTTTTCTCCCCCGTGTATATCTACCAGCCATGGGCGCGTGCTTGTCGTCCGGCCCGCTCGACAATGTCACTGAGGAAGATAAGAGGCGCCATCGGGAAGCAGAGAAGAGTCTCAAGGAGGTGCGTCATCCCGCCCTCTCGCACGCGTGCCCATCGCTCACCTGCCCGGTCGCGATTTCAGGCAAAAGCCCGGCTGTCCAAGCAGGTCAAGGTGAGCCCGCTCTCTGGCAGCCCTGTGCTGCAGAAGCTCATCTGCGCAGGTCCTCCTACTCGGCTCCGGAGACTCGGGGAAGTCCACCATCCTCAAACAGATGCGCCTTATCCATAAGGTGCCCTTCTCCGACCAGGAGGTTGAGTCATACCGGCAGCTCGTGTTCAACAACCTCACGCATGGCCTCAAGTACCTCATTGATTCGATGGAGGATATGGAGCTCGAGGTCTCGCCAGAGAACGAGCAGTATGTGCAGCTGATCACTGATGCGCCGGACCTAAAAGACGGCGAGGCATTCCCGGAGCAATATCATGAGCCGTTGCAGAAGTTGTGGGAGGATATCAACGTCCAGAAGGCATGGGAGAGAGGGAACGAAGCTGCCCTGCCGGACAAGTGAGCATCCTCCGGTCTTCCGCGCGCATAGATGAAGCTGAGTTATGCGTTCACAGCCTCATCTACTACTTCCCAGACTTGGATAGGCTGTTTGACCCAGCATATGTTCCAAACGAGCAAGACATCGTCCAGGCTCGTGCGCGGACCATTGGCATCACAGAAACGGTGTTTCAACTCAAGGACCATGAGATGCTCATGGTGGACGTCGGTGGCCAGAAGAGCGAACGTCGGAAATGGATTCATTGTTTCCAAGATGTGACAAGTATTCTCTTCTTGGTGAGTCTCAGCGGGTACGACCAATGTCTGGTTGAGGACAAGGACGCGGTATGTTATTCTTCATTATCGAGGCAACATCCTGGACTGATCAACGATCAGAATCAAATGCAAGACGCGATGACCATCTGGGACTCGATATGTCATTCGCAATGGTTCAAGCAGACATCAATCGTTCGTACACTTTGACTTGAGCATCATTTGTTGTGTTGATGTGCATATATGCGCGCAGATCCTTTTCCTGAATAAGAACGACCTGTTCGAGAAGAAAGTTGAGCATTCGAACATCAAGAACTTTTTCCCGGTGGGTGCCAATGATCTCATCGCCGCTTCCCAGCTGGTGCTAATACATCGGCGATAGGACTATGAGGGCCAGCCGGGCGATGCCAGTGCAGGTCGGGATTATTTCAAGAAACGTTTTGCACGGTTAGCGCAGAAGGCGAACCAAAAGGAACGAGAAGTCTATATCCAGTACGTTCTTCGGCTGGGTGGTCCTTCAAGGAGCGATTGGGTGGCTGACATTTGTCCAAGTACAACTACCGCAACAGATACCGCGATGCTTCGGATAGTTATGGCTGCTGTCGAAGGTCAGTCTAATCTTTACATCTGAACTCGTTTGTAGCTGACGAGTTTCTGTGCAGAGTGAGTGTCTTGTTCTTTCTCTATCCCCCCGCATCCACACCTTTCTTCCCTCCTTTGTCACCTTGACCGCATGCTTAATACGACGGCGACCCATCCTTCAGCATCATTCTTCGACAAAGCCTTCAGACTGCGGCACTGATCTAGTGTGATGCCATTTTATTCATTTCTTGATTTATGCCACGTCATCATCTCCCTGGATTTTTTATTACGCGATGCCACTGTTCTGCTGTACTCATATCCTATCCTCCTCTTCGGCCATTCTTGTTTTATAATTCCTCGCCGTCCGCTTCGAGAATTCCACGTCTTCTTTTTGTCTCACTACCCTCCGCGTTGTTGTTTTTTTAACTCATTTTCCTTCCCGGAACCCATTCATAACTGTTCATGACCATTGCAACTCATCCACGTCTTCCTTTCTGGTGTCCTACTACGCGTCTAATTTTCGTCCGCGCCTCCATCGTAACCTCCGGAATATCATGCTCGGACTTGGCAATGTACCCGCACCGCTGCGCTGTCCCTCGTCTTGCAGCACAATCATAAGCAATAATGTGGGTAACGTTCCCACGTGGACTGCTATTGGCCGAAATCTCACTGCTATGCTTATTGGTCAGATTCGCGAAATTATGCTGTAACGATTCCAGCACGGACGATCCGCCCGTACCCGGCGTGCACATCAATGTTCACATCTGCATCCGCATTCGTGCTTGTGCGTGTGAGCTGTTCGGCAGGACTCCGTACAGCGCGGCGGTTTCACTTCATCGGGACCCACGAGTGTCGCCGAAGATGCGGTTCTGGAAGACTTCTTGTGGTCGCTTGATGGGACGCATATGGCCGTATGTCTCGTATGTCTTTCTCGCCGCTTTTTATAAACCCTCATCATTATCCGCAATATGATACCACCTGTACTAGCTATAATTCAGCTACCTCTGACTGCTTTCCGGAAAATATACATTCGCTTTCGTTCGCTATGGCATCTCAGCGTCAGGGGCACGGGCGCCGAACGAGGCGTGCTATGAGTGGCTGGTCATTGCTGCGCAGTATCTCCTGAAGGAGTACGCCACCCCGACGCTCTAATTTGTGTGCGCTCCGACGATGGTGTGGATAAGCGTTGGCCATGCGTTTCATAGTGCGGGTCGGCGACGGCTGCGGCGCCCAGCGTGCGCTAGTGAGAGCGGCAGGAGATCTATGAGATAAGATCATTTTTTGGACATGATACTGTGAAAGCCATGGAAGGATTTACGGCGGCGGCTCGCTCCGTGAGAGGCATCTGAGTGCTGCCTTCCCCGTCGAGGACACGCGCACGTTCTTATGCTTCCGCAATACAACGGCAGCGGGACCTCTGCGGTCGAGACTCCTTCAGTTGCTTCCCCAGAAGAGAGCTCACTGCTAGGCAACACATATTACACCAGAAACTTTCCGAGACAGGTCACACCGATGCATGCCAATAGACAACTTATTCTCGTCGACCATGGGGTACATAGGCGAGGAGAAACATAACGCGCCGCCGTCCGCATGGTTAGGTAAGACGGAAGATGACGTCGGAACACAGAAATGTCCATTCTGTCCGAATGATTGTTCCGGCAGAGACACAACTCCGCCGTTCATCGATATCGAGGAGATGAACGCCGGCACGACACCGACCGTGGTATTCAATCCCCGAGTTGACCGTCAGGTACATCCGCATATATTCCTGATGCAATATCAAGTACAACACACGAGAGAGAACAAAATGTTTCCCGCTCAAATGCCCTGCCCACCCGTGACCTCAAGGGTGTGTCCCGAGACATACGAGGCGAGTGGTGAAGCAAGGCTGCACGAGGTTGATAAGCATAAGCATCAGGTTTCAATCTGGCTTCGCTGTCAGACAGCACTCACAAGAGAATGCCCGCGGCGGCCTCGTCGGGCGTCGCACCTCTGCCGAGGGGGATGAGCGCGCTCGGGTTTGCGCCTCCCGTGACGGCCGTCTGCGACTTCGGGATACCGAGCGCGACTTTCTTGCCCGCGATTTCGATCGTCGCGCCTTCCTCCTTCGCGGCCGTTAACCTAATGGATATTCCTCAGCTCAGGGAGACTGCGATGCACGGAGCAAGGTACCGAGTCTGGACGTAGCCAAAGGCGACGGTGTTCGCCCTGACGTTGAAGGGGCCCCACTCCTTGCAAATGGTCTTCGTCATGCCGACAACAGCAGCTTTGGCAGATGCGTAGTTGACCTGGCCTACGCTACCATGGAGGCCGGAGACAGAAGAAACGTTAATGATGGAGCGGTTCTCAGTGTTGCCCTGGGACGTATGGTATCCATGAGTTAGAGTGTCATGCGTGGGAGGAATACCCCAGTCTACCTTGATGCGCATATACGGGGCGGCCGCACGGATGAGACGGAATGGCGCACGTACGTGCACCTTCATGATGATGTCGAACGCGTCGTCAGGCGTTGTATGAAGCATGCGGTCGTACGTGAAGCCCGCATTGTTCACGATGTGGTTCAGTTTACCATACTTCCTAGTAGGCGAGAACCGATTTTAGTCTCGGAGTTTGCAGGAGACGCATGCATACGAACTTTATGGTAGCCTCGAGGACCTTCTGCGGGAAGTCATCTGCGCTGACATCGCCGCCGATGGCAAGAGCGTCACCGCCCGCTTGCTTGATCTCGTCTACGACGGCTTGCGCCTTTTTCTCGTCCAAGCTGGCATTATGATGTAAGTCACGTGATACATATTCCATAATGCAAGTTTAAGAAGGGTTGCATCAGAACAAGCGTACGCACTCCGTCACGACGACTTTCGCGCCTTCTTTCGCAAAGAGCAAAGCAGCACTGCGGCCGATACCCTATGAAGTTGTTAGCAGACTTATGTTTATAAGAAATCATGACTGTGAGAGACGGCTCACTTGCGCTGCGCCTAAACATGACAGAGATCATATCGTTAGACACACGATAAGATACCGAGCAAATGAGTATAGAAAGACCGCGACATTGCGATCCCCGTGCATCACGCGTCTAACTACTCACCAGTGATGATAGCAACCTCCCCAGCGAGCAAACCACGCGAGTACGTGTTCGAAAGATGACCAGATACCTGCGCGAGACGGTCGGCCATTGTGCAACGGGACGTGGAGGAGAGTGGGGGTGGATGATGGGAGTAGAGACACAAGGTGTGCGACCCCAGGGTCGGAAGAGACGGTGCTCGACCGGTATGGGGAAATCATGTGCGTTCTCGCGCGTGCTTACCCCGGACGAGGCATTTGACGCCGCGGCCTTGCTTTCCTCCGCGAACGACTTCTCGCTGAGTGGATCGCGCGACAATGCAAGTGCAAAGTCCCGCAGTTCAGCGAAATGCAGCGCGAGATGCGCACTCTGTCTCCCTGAGCTGGTAAGCAACGCGGCTGTTGCGCCAGTTTAGCTATCGACAGTCTGACCGTCAGTTTGCCGAAGTGCAAAGAGGACGAGCTACACGGAGCAATCCATTCCACATGATTGCGAAACGCCGAGCATGATACTGTACAAGTTGCCGGCGCCGCTACTCCAGATATCAGCAGCATCTTGACAAATGAAGTTTGAAGCTTTGAAGACACAACCATATAGTAGTAGGAAGCATACTAACATGCATGTCCTAAACAGCATGCACTGTCATCGATCATCATCGTCGGCACTCATGCTTTGCAATTGGATTCCACCCAGCTCTAGGAGATCGTAATCCCTTCGGTTTTAATACAATAGTATAGACACGAATGTTACAATCGTAACCGTAGGAGGATCTACGTTAGAGTACATCGTGTCGACTCCACAATCGTGGTCACAAATGTAATGCAAATGAAAGAATCGCCTTCGCGTTATCAAGCGACCCGTCAGTGCACTTACTGAGTTCGCCCGCACACATCAAGCATTAACATACCGTACACGCTACAAGAAGCTCCCCTTCTTGCCCGTTCCAAACCGATCCCCAAGACCCCGAGCCTCCTTAATGAGCTTGTCGCGCGACTTATCGTCCATGAGCCGTCCCGAAAGCGCCATATCCCGACTATGGTCCCAGATGACCGATGGGCCCTCTTCACCCTCGCTGCCCTCCTTCGTGGAGGCCACTTTCGAATGCTGTTCAAGGAGCGCACCGCCCCGAACTTTTTTCTGCAGCATCGCAACACGATCAGCACGCAATTACTCGAGACGCAAGAGAATCACCGACCGTATGCTCTTCAACGCCCCTCCTCACCTCCTCCTCGTGCCTCCGCCTCTTACGCATCTCCCGCTCTTCGTCCGGGCTGACGGCGTTCACGTCCGTCACGCGCCGCCGCTTCCCCGCGACTTCGTCCGCGATGCGTTGCTGCCGCTCCGCAGGGGTCTCCGTCCAGAGCGAGCTGTCAGTGTTGCGTGCGGGAGCGGCCGTGCGTGCGAACTGGCGCGGGCGGTTCAACTTCGTGGGATCGATGGCTGTGGATAGCCAATGAGGTTAGGTTGACGGAGCGTTCCATGAAAGGTGGGTGGACATACAGGCTAGCAGGTCCGACGAGGATGGCGGGACGAGCATCCATTCTTCACGCTTGAGGGCTTTTGGTTTGCTAGCTTCCTGAAATGGGCATGTAGATTAATTTATGCTCTGTTCGCATATGCATGATAGAACGGGAGTGGAAGAATGCCAATCTCAAGACAACAGCCATGCATTCATCCTTCTCAACGAGATTGACTGGCGTGAATGAGTATTTGGAGTGCAACTCGACAGCAAGCTGCAGCATATCCACTCGAACTCGAACTCCTGCACAGTTCCGCCCTGGTGAGGAGGGATGAGGATCAGATTCTGCGGGGAATTTGCCGAGGTTCAGGAGAGAAGGAACTGAATTCGAAGGACACCAAAGCCCTATACGGCTCAAACTTCTGCTTCGCAACATAATTCACCACGTCCGCCGGTGATCTACACACGTACTCTCCCATACCGGACTACTCACATTATGTCACGGAGCGGAGAGGTGCAACATGCAGCACGAGGGTCTCAATGATCACACCGCAAATGTCCACAGATAGACGGAACATTAGCACAAAGCTTACCTCCATCTGCTTCCGCCGTCTCTCTTCCTTCTCGAGGAACTCCTGGACAGCATCCTTCTCTTCCAGTACCACCCCTCCGGGCAGCGGTCTGGGCCCATAATCGTCCTCGTCCTCCTCGTCCTCATACGACCGTTGCACACCACCCATACTAGGTGGGAAGGTGGGGCCGATCGTTCGCTTGCCTGCAGGCTCCCTAGTAGCATGCCCACCTTGCCGAGCAGCTAGTAGGTCGGGAGGTAGCGCCGGAGCATATTCGTCTTCGTCTTCTCCTTCTGCAGTCGCTGTTTGGGCGGGTTCCGAGAACACCGCTGGAGGAATTTGCGGCCCAATTGACTCGTGCTCTTCCTTGGGAGTCGATTCCGCAGGCTTGGCTAGCAACTCTGGAGGAATCTGCGGCCCAGTTGGCTGGTGCGGTTGTAGAGAATCATGCTGTGGTTGATTTTCGACCGCTTCTATATCCTGGTTGTTGCTGGGAAGAGGACGAGCTGGTGTGCTGGATCCAGTCATGCTCGGGTTGACGACTATAAGGAGACTGAAGTTGAAGCCGCCAATTAGTGCAAGGCGGTAATGAATGACATTTAAACACGTGGGATGGTGGCCGCTGAAACCGTCTGGCTCCGATCCCGCTCGAGTGCGGCAACTTCATGTATATGCGTCCTCACGTCCGTCTTCGCCTGAAATTACCACCGCGTGGATAGCAGATGGCGTCGACGCATCCGCACAAAATTGCTGGCTATGCCGCGGATGCCCTGCACAGTCTCACCCCTTCGCAGATCAAGTTTCTGCAGGCATTGCCCAAGGCAGAGCTGCACGCACATCTGAACGGATCGATACCTCTGTCCACGCTGCAGAAGCTTGCTCACGACTATCACTCAACAAACGCTCACGCTGCGTCTGAGAAGGACGTTGTTCGCGCAGGTATTGAACGACTCCAGCGGGGAGTCGTCCTCAGCGAGATCCACGAGTTCTTCGGGCTCTTTCCCGCCATCTACGCCCTCACTTCGACTCCGGATGCGCTCGAAAAAGCGACAAATGCCGTGATGCATCACTTTCTAGGCGACTCGTTGGATGAGTATCCCCAGGCAGCGTACCTGGAGTTGCGGACGACCCCGCGAGAGACGCCATCCATGAGCCGCTTGCAGTATCTCGAAACGGTGCTCAACCAGGTGGAGAAGTACCCTGAGCACAGAGCGGCACTGATCGTGAGTCTCGATCGGCGCATGAGCAGCGAGGTCGCGGCGGAGTGTGTAGATTGTGCCGTGAAGCTCAAGGCGCGCGGCAGGAGGGTCGTCGGCATGGATCTGTGCGGGGACGTCACAGTATGTGTCTGAACGCACTATCCTGCTTGTTGGACGTGTGCTTAACTCGTGCACTCGTAGGCAGGAAATGTGGCAGACTTTGAGCAGCACTTCCGCGCCGCAAAGGCCGCAGGGCTCGGCGTGACCCTCCATATCGCAGAGGTACATGCCCGTATCCCATACGTCGAGGTCCTGAATACTCACATGCACCCACAGATTGAAGACACACCCGCAGACGAGATCCATAAGTTGCTCTCCTTCAAGCCCGACCGCCTCGGACATGCTACCTTCCTCGATGACGCCTCCAAAGAGGCCGTCCGCAAGAGCAACGCGTGCATCGAGATCTGCCTGTCATCCAACCTCCTCTGCAAGACCGTACACACGCTCGACATCCACCACATCCGATACTACCTGCAGCACGACCACCCCATCGCTATTTGCGTAGGTTGCCCTTCGGTCCAACTCTGTTGCGAGATCAGACTGCTGATGGTTCGTCGTGGTTGTAGACCGACGACATTTTACCGTTCCGAAATTCGCTTCTCGGCGAGTACGCGCTGCTCATGGCTGCCCCGCCGCTCGGGCTCGGGCTGACAGAGGCGGAGATCCACAAGGTGGCCCAGATGGGGATGGACTGTCGTTTTCCCAGTACTCGCAAGCCTACATCATAGAGCACATACATTGACATTGACCAACGCTAGCAAGAATCTATAGTCCGCCGCGCCAATTTTCCGCCACAATCTGACAAACGCCGCCGCGCGCCACATTGACAAGCCTGCCCTAAACGCGTAGGGTATATATAAGGCCACTCTGCGTTTCTGGTTCCCATTCTTGTGCTCGGGCACGTACTGTCGCCAGTGAGGTCCATACCGAGGCACAGTCTTTTGCTGATTGCAAATTACACATCCGAACACGTCTGTTGGCTTCGGCCTCCAGCAATTTTTGGAAACCCTCCCTTTTCCTGTGATAACATTTTGTTTGAGGAAGCTGGATGGGTAGTAGAGTACTTCGGATTGTAATTTGTAGTTGTGCAGAGCCACTTGCAGTATATTGAGCCACTTAAAAAAATCATTGAGTGCTCGAGTGTCACTGGCAGTTTAAAAGAGAGAAGTGCTATGTATGCAAGTGAGTTACATGTACTAGTACTGTAAGATCCGTGTATGACTGCAGTCCGTCGTTGCAAGCGTGAAGGTACAGAGCAGTACAGTATGACAAAGTCCCAGCGAGAGAAAAAATCCGGATAAGTTACAGCTGTCCTCATGAGAGTCCTCAATACCTCTCCATAGCTGGTGGATACCCACGTCCTTGGCCCATCCCGCCGCTATATATCTGCTTCCCACTGACGCCGCCAACGAGGCTTGCGGTGTGGCCACCGTGATAGCTGCTGACGATGTCATCCTCGTAGTCTCTGTCAGAACCGCCAAGCAATGGGTCCTTGACTTCCCAGACCATCGCTTTCGAGCCGACGGAAAACTCCAAGTCTTCCCGCTGCGATTCCATTTGCATGGAAAGCTCAGCTAAATAACACGGGACTGTAGAACGGCGACGTACCGTGATGCTGTCCCAGTACTTGTACACCATCATAACACTAAGGAGCATGCAGAGCGTGAAGAAGAACAGCCCGTCGAGATAGTGCTGGATCGCATTGCATATCGTGGCGCTGAATGCGAAGAGGATTATCTGCGCGATCGTGAACGACACTGCACCAAACACAATGTCGCCGATAGGCCACCGCTCCTCGAGCGTGCGGAAGACGAGGATGAGCTGCGAGACGACGTAGACGACGACGCAGAACAGCGGCCAGATAAAGTAGATCACCCAGATGCCGATGGGCTTCGTGTAGCTGAGCCCGGCAGTGTTCTTGAATGTGGCGATGGCGATGAAGAAGCAGACTCCGAAAACGGCTAGTATTGAAAGCCGGAGTAGCTGGAAAACGTTAGACAACGTTCAAAATGGGGAAACGTTCTTCTCCGAGGGACTCACCCATAGCGATACCGGCGTGCCATCTTCCGCGAACTGGAACCCCACGAAACCGTTTATGAGGAGACAGACATATGCGGCAGCTACGAGGCCGGTATAGGCTGCTGCAAACCACTAGCCTCTCGTTGGAGCTGGTCGAAACAAAAACGCAAAGAGAACTCACGGGATAGCTGACATTCGCGGTCGGGATGATAGCGGAGTCGAGAAACAGCGCAAGCAACTCAATAATGGCATAAAGATAGAAGAACAGCAGGATTTCCTTGCGTCCTATTCCAAATCAAGTCAAGTTCCCTCGGCAACTCAGTAAGAGCACGAGCGGACGGAAATTGAAAGTTCGCACCAACCGCCGTGTACTTGCTGCGGATGTGGAAGATCATGACCGCCGTCATGATGATAGCGACAATGTGGATGAAGCCCGTGGCTGGAGCGTCCGTCCGTCCATCAGATGCGGCATGCGCACCAGGGGGAGTTGCCTACCTGGCTGGAAGATAAGCGTGCCAGCGATGTCAACATTCCTGCTGTAGCACTTCGGCTCGATGCCGTCGCTGGAGCCAACCATGGGGCAGATGACCAGCGCGGCCGTCTGGCATATCTCGTCGAAGGACCCGAACTTGATGGACATAGCGCGCAAAGGAGAGGCGGTTCGAGCGAGCGAAAGGGGGGGACCGGATCCGTCTACGCAACACGAGAGTGTTGGTAAAGAGAGACCGACGACGACCAGAGAGCGGCGAGGACAGCGGGTGGGATGTAGGACCCGTGTGGAACGACGCTGAGGCCAACGTTCGCGCTCGCATATCCCGGCTTGCCGTCACGCATTGTCACGCATGTGACTGTCGACGGGCGACGTCCGTCACAATACACGACGCGTTCTCGTGTGGCCGCCTATCAGCTGGCTCACTAGTCGGCACTATAGCTTGCCCCGCGAGCTGTTCTTCCGGTACTTCAAGTTGCTGCTGTTCTCTTGCTGGGATGGAGTCGTTCAACGCTCAGAATTTCTTGCTTCTCCTTGTCAACGGTAGCAGTTCTCAGGTTGTGCAGCTGAACCTGTTGCTCGCCTCGATCGTCATCGAGGCTAACGCGCTGACGGACTGCCTCAAATATCGGCGGCACGTTCACATACCGCCGAGAATAGACGATGATGACTTCGGCTGGCTTGACAATGGACACGTCTCATGCTGGCTTAATACTCGTGGAGACCATTACGCGGACTACAGTGTTCCGGCAAACCCCAACTCAAGTAGACCATTTGTCCAAGCTGAGTGTCTCTACAAATTGTCGCGCCATAACGCACAGCCACGTAATCGGCCTCGAGCGCTACGCGACCCGATAACACGTAATAGTGTTCCACCGCAATCGCAATGAGAAGATCCGCGGGTACAAGTAACCCAAAAACCACATATCTCATGCGGCTGACTCCGAATAACACTTTCATCACAGCGAACTGGAACCTCGCCCAGGACACGTACGTGGGAACCATATCAAAGAGCCCTGTAGGTGTCATCGCCCTCGGTGTCGTATCGCCAGCCTGGGTCCCAGCCATGTCCGGAGAACGCAGAACTGCCTCAAGTTGGCCAATGTACGCACCTGTGCATGCGAACGTCAACCCCACGCACATATTGTTAGGAAGCCCGCACATCGGTCCCCCCGCGCTAGGCTGGCGACTCTCACCAGACTCCATACGTGTCATACTGGGACATGAAACACCGATCGCAGCGACCGAATGAATGAATGGATGGATAGATGGACTTCGGCGGACACGAGGTGCGCGCGTCTGCGATGCCTGCCTGGGGCTCGCGCCGTTACTGCAGAAACGGTGAGACGGTCTTCTGCATTTGGAAGGCAGAACCGTCGCACGAGCCTCCCGTGGTGCCATACAAGCTTGTTGCCAAACCACGACTCGGCGTCTACGGTGTGCATTGATGTTCCACGACGGAACGCGCATACCGCATTCGCGTGACGCGGCGACAGCTACGACAGCTAGCGATATCTGGCAACCTCGCAATACAGAAGCAATTTGTCTAGTTATATGCTCTCGGATCACCGTCGCGGGCCGGAATGGATGAATCATATCAACGTGCTCAGTTGAATTACACATAAGGCGTAGACGGTGTTGGGATGCTGACTTGGCCACTTGGACCTGTCACTCTGTGGCTCCGGCTTTCATTTGATGCACTGTTAGATTGCTCAGTTGCTGAAGCGGAACGCCTTTCCGATGGACGCTGGTTCGCGGCAATGCAGGCTCGTGATGTCCATCATTTTGTCACCTCGGGTGCGCCGGTAAGCCACCGCCTTCACTACACCATTGTGACGGATATTTCAAGCTGTTTAGCTGTCACGAGGAAGGCGTGTTTAGCTCGCTTCCGATCCGATGGATGCATCGCGAGATGATGCTGTTACAAGCCACGTATCACTCATTTACGCGAGCAAGCTTCAAGCCTCTACATTCAGCATTTACGTTCCTAGTGATTGATGCTTTCTCTCGCGACCGTCAGTCGGCGTGAGCATGCGCTTCACCGTAAGAAGCATCGTGCCAGCAGCCTAGCGCATATCGATTTGCATCGATACTGTATCACTAGAAGCGTCCGTCCCTGTGGGTAATGCGGTGATGGAGGCGAGTCCGACACCCGACCTCCCACGGGAAATTGTAGAAGGTACGCGGGGAGGGGACCTACGCCGAACGGGCAAGGCTTGATGCACGGCGCCATACTAGCACGCTTCCATCGGAGGGTAAAGCATGGCAACGGCCACTGGTAAAATGCAGGGTATGATTTGAGGAGATGGCTAGTCAGATCTGGAACGTCCGTGATCTATCTTGAATCTCGTGTGTTTTTTTACGGCATGTTGATTGCGAATGTCGCATAATCATACTTTGGATATCTGCAGGGCCGGGCAACCCCGCTTCCTGGGGATTCCGACGCTTCATAGAATCCCAACGGCAGATTTGAGACTAGCTTCCGACCTGAAGCACTGTGCCCGACGGGGCTGGGGCTTGCGAATGCTCCACTGTAGGACCACAACCGGTGATAATATGACCATTGCAGAGCGTGGTACATCTGCGACCGCCCATCAGCTTCCGCGCACAATTAGCAGGCGCGGATTCACCCGGTGGGTAATGTCGATGATGTGCAGTGTGACATCTCGGGAGCTTGGGTGGTGGCGAAGGGAAAACGAATCGCATTTTCGTTCTTGGCCATGACAGCGCACCAACTCTCATAAATCTGCGCTGATGGGGCCGGCAGGCGAGCAGCGAGGCAGGGCATAACATGTGCATCGGTACAATCACGACGAGAACGCGACTGAAGTCCCCAATAATTTTCGCTGACGCCCAGAGGTTGGATTGCTGCGCGCGAGGATGTGAGCAAAGGGACTAACGTTCCTGGCAGTTACATGGATTATGACATCCGAAGCAGCCGAAGGATCCAGAACGCGCGTAATAGTTGGCGGTTGGTATAGGACGCCATGAGTCTAAGCGTGACAAATAGATGATCGGCTTTGGCAATCGTTTGCACCGATATGGCAATGCACTAAGAATCGCATGTGGTGTGGCCTACCGGGAACCGGACGAGAGAAATCGTATGCACACGTGGAAGTAAAGGTGGGCGGGAAAGAATACAATGTGCGAACGTATGGATTTGTGGCCGTGCTTGGTGACAGGCATGCCTCTGGACGCGCCACTGATCGCAGATGAGGGGCTTGTGGCCAACAGGGGAACCATCGGCACGGATCCACTATGGAGAAATCGAGCCGATAGCATGAAATCCCGCAGTCCCATCACTGTGCCACATAACCAGCTCCCCATCATCCGGCCGCGCAAAGCCTCCGTCCTGCCCTTTTTCAACCCGAAAGATACGAATTGTCGTTTGCAACAACTCCGCAGCCAATCTGGCGCTAGATCGGGGCTGGGTACGAGGTCTTCTGCCTGATCGGGACAGAGAAACAGAGAACGTGACCTCCTCCTGCCGTATATGGGCCGTGGAATTTGGGAAAGGTTATGGGGAATCCCCAGCCGCAGTGCCGAGGTGGCGGGGAGTGAAAATTGCGGGGGCGCAAAAAGGGGAAAATACGAAAATGTTGTGGTGGAAAGAATTAGGCTAACGGGCTTCGGATGGCGGATCTGGATGGGCGGCGATGGCGGATGCTCGGTCAAGGACGACAGAATGGCCAGTTCGTCTTCTCGTTGGCGACACAACAGCTTTCCCCTGTTTTGTCTCTTTCCGGTTATTTTCAGCCATATCCTCCATTTTCTTTCTTCGACCCCGTTCTCTGCCATGATCTTCACAACTCCTTCACCGTTATATGTCATCGCGACACTTGCCGTTTTCGCTCTCCTTTTCTCTGAACCGTTTTCCGGTCCTCCTCCTCCTCTAGCCTTCTGCCATGGCTCTTTATACTCCTCCATCTCTTCCTCGTACCCCTTCATCCTGTCCAATGGACGCCCCTTTGCCCTCGCTGCCCACAGAGTTCTACTCATCGTGGTCTACATGGCGCCAGACCAAGGTCGACACGCCTCTGACGCCGCCTTTGTCCACCGTCTCTGCTCGACGCGTTTTACCTCCTCAAACGCATTGCAAGCCAGTGTTGCCACCAATAACATACTTTGACCACACTGCGTCGCGTGATTCACCAGGTAAGACGCGTCCAATTGTCTTGCAAGTGCCTTCATCTACTAACTTCTCCCAGTTACGCCACCGCAGGCAGACGACTCATATGAGTGGCATAGCCATGGATCGACTTCTGTGAAACTACCACCTGTTCAAGCGTACTCCCCCGCATTGCATTATCGTCATTCTGTCTCCTCTGTCGAGGAGAACCAGGCAGAGTGCTCCTTGCCTTCCCCACCACTAGCTCTAGACTGGTTCACGAGCTCCGAACATCGCTCTTCTCAATTCATCGCGGAGAAGATTTGCGAAATGATATGTTACCTCTGGTTCTCCAGCCTGTCCCCATCCTCCTCATCGCCATCAAAACGTACTCGTACAGCTCCTCAAGAGCAAGAGCCTTATATTCCTTCCAGTAACTCTGCGACAGCATCGCTTCAATTTTCTGTGTCCCCCGCCTTTGTACGCTTCATGCAGAAAGTACTCGAGACAACGCAAGTTAGCCAGTCTGTTATAGTTCTATCGCTACATTATATCTACCGCATGAAGGCGCGTAATCGTTTCACGTCCGGGCAGCCTGGCAGCGAATACCGGGTCGCCATTGCGGCTCTCATGATGGCGAACAAGTTCGTGGACGAGTGAGTTTCTGTTCCTGATGAGTGACTTGTCGATTCTAATTATATGCTCAAGCAATACGTATACGAACAAGACGTGGTCGGAGGTTTCCGGCATTGACCTCGCCGAAATCAACAAAATGGAGAAGGAGTTCCTACTCGGCATCGACTTCGGCCTGTACGTTGACAAGTCGACGTACGACTCATGGTTGAACCTATTGCAAGGACTTGTCCTGGCGAAGGAGCGAGAGCTGCAGCATTGGCGGCGCTCTTGGAGGCCGGCCCGTGCGCTGCACAGGGTCCACCCGCACAGACACACGCTCCCGCATGCTGCTCGGTTACATTCGACTTCACATCGGGCGCGGTCGTCGTCCCCTACACGCTCCTCGCCTTGTGTTCCCTCCATGTCCTCTCGTGACGTCTGTTCGCCGCTCTCAAACGCCGATCAATATCCGGCATACTCGACAGGCGCGAAGCGCACTGCAGTTGATGCGTTCAATACGTACCCGCAGCCGGCTCCTCCGCCGAGTCAAACCCGGCGGTCTACGGGTCTTACGCTGCGAATACCGGAACTCGAGTATTCGAGCGGGCACTCGAGTGAGAGCTCAGCGTCTCCCATGGAGCCTTTGCAGTCGCTTTCCAAGCTGTCATTGGCGGGATCTCCTGTGGTCTATTCTCCTGCGGACGGTGGAAGAGGGCAAGTATGGATGTCACCTGTGGGGCAGTCAGAAGTACCGCAGACGTTGGTATCGGCATACTATGTCGATGATAAGCGGTCGTACGCTGTGCCGCAGGTTAGTTGCAAAATGGGCTGCATTCTATCTCCGAATCGCTCACGCTCCATGCTTTAGAACCTGTACTTTTACGCGCTGGCATGTTCTCCAACTGAGGAGAACAGCGCGCGGAAGGGCAAATTGCGATATCACCAACCCCAAGTCAGCTGCTCCGCTATGTCGAACTTACAGCCGACTGTGCCTATGGTGGTCCAGTCTGCTTCCGCAAGCCCATATGACATGCACACGCAATTACCAGCCGCCCGTGTATTACCGCCGCTATCCGAGGTGTCGAGGCAATGGCCGCAGACATGCGAGTCGCTCGGCGCATGTCACGCACACGTGCAGCGTGTTTGCGAGCGGCCAGTGCCCGAAAGCGTTCCTTCAGCGCCATTCGCCAACGCTGGGCCTCCGGGCTTCCGATTCTACGCAACTACCACGCCGGCTTCGCCGCCGCACTACTACGAGGCGAGTGACCGGTATAACTAATGAAACGCATTCGGACGTTTTTGTGTACCTTATTACATCGATGGTAACCGCGTTCAGCGTCCGCTCAGCCATTTGTACTCTTGTTCATCCGCCGCGCATCTCGCTTTCTCACAGAGACAGTATGATTTCACCTGCCGCACACGCCGCTTCCCTTGCATCATTATAGCATCTGCCATTCTCCATCGGCTATACCCTCCATCCCAGCATACGAACGGTCGAATCGTCGCATGTCACCATAGAATCCTCATCATTCTTCGCTAGATATTGTTGCGAAGTTCATTAACCTTATGAGTTTATGTATAATGTTGCACAGAAACGATAATACGAAAATTGTACTGTTTCATCATTCCCGAAGGTGCTCACATCTCTGACTGGGCTGAGAAACATCGATATATACGCCATGTTCGCCGGCTGCTGTGGCATCCTGTAAGATCCGTCTGTCAGGTCGTTCGACCCTGATCCACCTGTATAATTGGTTTACGAGAAACACATCGCCTTCTCACATCGGGAGTTTTGTCATTTAATCCGGGAGAAAAGTACAGACAAAATTTGAATTGACCAATGAGATTCGCTACAATAGTACTTTTGTCCCGGATTAAATGACAAAACTCCCGATGTGTCTGATTGTCAGAGCACTGGCCCCGCGCGTGGACTGGATCGTAAATGGACAGAAAGCTCCGAGTTCGGAGCAGTATTAGCTTGGGCTGCGTCATAGAAGGATCAATGCCTAGAGTTCCCGAGCATATCCACATTTGATTACGGATGAGTCTATGGAGAACTGTCGCACGGCGTCAGCTTGCAAGCCGCAGGGGGGGTTATCAGCATCGCTTGTTCAAACCCAGCAATTGAGGCAGGTGGACTTCGGAATGGCCACGATGGCCAGTGAAACGAAGCACGTGCTTCGGGCAGGAACTCGTCTGGAATGGACAGCCGTAGGAACGAATGCACGGGCGGCCTTTTCCAAGTCATTCTCTATGGCGAGGATCTGCCAGTTGGGGACGTCGTCTTGGAGCCGCAACTCCAGGTTCACCGGGCGCATAGAGAGAAGTCGAGCTCATGGGGGAACTGCAATTAGCACGATTCGCGCGGCCGTCAGCAGACCAGACCCTGGATATCTGACCGATGCCTCAGCATTGCCACAAGTATGCAATCAAGGGTACTGATGCCTGCGCTTGACGTGCAAAGATGCACGAGCTGCTGGCGGTTGATGTGGCCGGGAAGTCACGCGGTTATTAAGCGTATTTGCCTACCAAAGAGACGTATTATTACGATCCAGGATAACACATTGCGTTGCTGGGACGGGCGTGCCTGCATCGCATAGTCTGTGAATCTCTCATAGGTGGCACAATTAGAAGACGCATGTATATGCTGGGCGCGTCCGGCCCCACTATATGCACAGCTCCCTGGAGAACGCAGAATCGGGCTAGTCATTTGAAACGGTCGAGGAAGGCACCGATTCCGCGTCGCCAGACTCCGCCTCTCGGCGCGCCTGCTGTTTTGCACGCGCAAGGGCGATATTAGATAGCGTGAAACCTTGGGTGAATTGCCAGCCGGAAAGTACGCCGGTCACTGCGAACGCGCAAGGAGTCAGCCAGGAGGTCCGCGCATACAGTTGGGAACGTCCGCGGTACTCACGAGCCCCACAGGCGATCGTCGTATTTCTATTGAATCGGAAGAGCTTGGTCCCGATGACAACTGCGGGTGCATAACGCGCGTGAAAGGAAAGTCCCCCATGGCCATTTGATGTTGTAGCGTAGGTGCCATCAACGGATAGGTACTCACCGCTGATGAGAGCCGCAGTAAAGCCTGCGAAGACACCATCTCTTCTGGCGTCCTGTGAAGTGTGTTGACGTTCGTAGCTGTTCGCAGGCAGTTGCGTCGTATTCTCACCTTTTTGCATATGTCCACCGTATCCGCAGGGAGGCCATATGCTGCGTCTTCGATCTTCGATGTGAACATGGATGATTGCTTGCCGGAGGGAGGTGTACAAACGGAGATCAGCCACCGGCTCAGTCCTGCCTCAACTTCAAACCAGCCAGACGCGTCCCGTCACACTACTTACGTTTACGAACGGATGTCACGATTCTGAGATGGGTTGTGACGAGACGTGACTGTACGCGTCCTCGCTCGACACACGCTGCAGCCGTTGTTCCTCTCTCTCGCGCCATCCTCACTGAATGTCGGCAACGAAGCGAAAACTCAAGCATGACCCCTTGGATGTGGCTCAGACGATCACAGGTAAACCGGCTGCTCTGCTCAGCATGGCGTGTCTAAGATATGGGGCATTCAGATATCCTGAATGCCCTCAAGCCTGAGCTTAAACGCAATCCCCTTGCCCGGTCTACATGTGCCGAACTGCATCGGCTCGCTTCGCTCGCCGAGCCTCTCGTCCGACAGCGCCCACGGCCCACTGAAGACTGGATTCGCATTGCCAACACGCTAGACTCCGAAGGTATGGCGCGCGCACCGTCAGCCCATGAGATGGCTCAGAGATCGCAGGTGTCTCTCTGTGGAATACATCGGCTTCTGCGCGAGATGATGATACGGAGGATGGTCGGGCGACCATTGCTGCTCGTAAGCATCAGTCCGTGTTGAGCGCTGGGAACCCACTCAAGCCCCAATTATGATGTCCCCACCCACAGTGAGGCTAGCAGGTTTTCGGCTGATTGAGGCCGGACTGGAACCAAAACCGGGCGTGGAAAGTAATTATACTAACTATAGCCGTGGAAACAAGGTATTCATAACAACCGTTACAGCCCTTATGCATATACTTCAACTGGCTAGTAAAGCCGGTGTCAGCCTAGCAGGTTCGTGCGTCCAGGAGCTTCCTCGGGAGAACACGGTGACGACCCTTTTGACTGTCGCAGCTAGCGGAAACCATGATACCGCAGCTCATGTGCTCGCATGTGCAGCGCAGGTTCTGCTTCGCAATTTTAGACCTACACCGCTCAGTGTCACTCACATCTCCGTTTCAGTACGAGGAGGCCCTGAAGAAGGCTGAGGACCCCGAGGAACAACACGCGAGCAGCCGCGCGCGTGCAATTGTTGTCTATTATTCGAGCAGAATGGAAGCGGCGAGTACCCGTTCATCAGGCAATGTCACGCGCTAATGCGGATATCTAGGCTTGGAGAGAAGATAACAATACTGTAGCCGAATTTATGTTGCAGAAGATCATAGGTAAGCGCTATCCGGCGGCCCTACTCAGACTCATGCGACCTCGCCTAGAAAATGAATACTTGGCGCTGTTATTGCCACAAGACGTGAGATGACTCCACACGAATTGCGGAATTCCTATTGACGGATCATCATAGCGGGGATCACTCGCATCTAAGCTATTGGAGATAGGCAAAGCTCTACTGAGAGCAGGTTCACGAGTCACTGATGTAACTTTGCGGGGAAGGCGTGCCGGCGATGCTGTGAAGTGGTTACAGAAGGCATTTACTGTTTTGGAATACCTGGATGAAGCAAGTAGCCCGGGTAAGGGCGATTTGAAGGTTTGTTCAATCGCGTGGCATTCTGTTGTTTACTAATCAGTTGAATAACTCCTCCGGCAGAAGTCCATTCTTCGAAGCCTATGTGAGCGTCAATCAAGTGGAGCAGGTTGGTTGCACGTCCTCACGATCCGGCGATTCGGACAGCTCGGGCGTATTTCCTCTCTTCCTCCGAAGATGAAGAGAATCTGGTCCGTGCTGAAACAACCCTGAACGAACTCGCTTCGTCAATGGACATGACAGAGCTTGTCAGTTGCCAATTCAAGTGTATTGTTTGGTGATGTTAACAATGTTGGATGCCTCATGCTCTAGACGTCCAACGAACACCAGCAGCTGCAGTGGATGAAGATAGCTATTCTGAAGAAGCGGAAAGCTCCGCAACCAGTGCTACTCGAAGGTGATTCTCTCTATTAGTAGCGATGGCCGAATTTTACTCATCAGTAGTACAGCGTTTCAGTCTATTGTGAATCACATGAAACTGACCGAAGGCAACGTGACTGAGTGCCGTAGTTTCACCCATTCATCGATCAGCCACTTACATGTTCGTCTCAGCGTGCTGCAAGAATTGAGGAGCTTGAATCAGGAACAGTGAGTGACATGTCAGTTCAGTGACTTCAAGCGGCTAGGTGGTTGAGGCTGTCCAGCAGCGTCCTCGTAACCGCCGTCCATCAGCGCTGTCTGCAACGATGCATAGAGGCCGAAGACAACCCTTTGGCCAGCGGCCACGTTGACCGGCTAATACTGTCATTAATCTTCCATTGCTCTAAGGATATAGACCATTCCAGAGCGATGAAAGATCTCGACGCTGCCTTCGCGAGTATGTATGGCGATCTCGGATGCGGTACAACACTTATCCACCCCAGATCTAGCAAATGCCGAATTCGAGCTGTCCAGGACATCAGCCACGGCATGCCTGACGGTGAGGCGAGATTACTATTGCGCGGATACTGGTGTTCAGCAAGACTTCAGCTGCTATGGCAGTTCGGAGATCGTCTATATCAGGCGAAACGTTGGCCGGCGGCTGCCGATTGGTTTCTGGCCGGCACCCACCAGCTTTTTGCCGCAGTGTCGAAGCTCAGTGACTCGAGGTGTCTTCGTAAAGCTGCCCTATGCTACGTGCAACAGGGAAATTTCGCTCAAGCGGCTGCCGTGATCCGTCGCGCCGCTAGTGATGAAGCCGCAACTCATTATGTCAAACTGTTAGTTGCCGTACATGAAGGTGCGAAACGTAATCCCGCCCTTGATTTCCCGCTTTTACCTGATATATATCATAAACTCTAGGTCTTGAAGATGAATGTAAGATTAATTCGTGATGAAATGTCAGTGCAGTGTGCTCATTACCGCTTGGCACGATGCAGCCATCCGCGCAGTGAAGGCGATGGTGACTGCATCCGATTTCAACCACAAGATGCTGATGCTTGCCACTCGGCTCGCGAACGAATCCGATATGAAGACGCTGCTTCTATCAGTTCTAGAGGAACTGCTGGAAACAGTCAAGGCTGGTGATAATCCCGATATCACACCCGAAGCGATCACGCTGGTCCGATGCATCATCCGACTGCTCGTGAAGCTCCTGGGGGAGCCTGGCTGCCACCAGTGCGTTCTTTGTTTCAGGATGCTTCCTAATTCAGTGGTCTCTCACGTTTGTCACTAGGACACAGTTGGTTCCGGTGTTAGTCCGCCACTTCAAGACCGGTGAACTTCCGATCAGTTCGTGCTTGCTGATAAATCTGCTTTGCTTACTGGTCCGGCTACAGCACAAGCTCTGGTTCAGAACTTAGATCCGCGGACCAACGCTGCATTGATCTCCCGAGATATATCGTGGCTCTGGCGCACCGCGTACAACATCGCAGTCCAGGGATGTGCCGAGTGGGAAGACTCACTAGAATGTGTTTCCGATCTGTTTGATATAGCACGACAGGTAGGATGTGCCGCCGTTGCAGGTCTTCACCGTGTAATCTCATCCTCGCATCCAACAGCTCCTTGAGTGCTACAACGATTCCGCGCTGACGGATGTCGATGTGGAGATCCCCATACATATCATGGAAGCATCGTTCGCTGCCATTGCAGGAAGAGGTTTGGTTATTCTACTGGGAGCTGGCAGACGATGAAGCTCATGCTGATTTCAGTCTTCGCTCTTCGGCCGCAATTCGCAAATGCCCAGGTAATAGAATTCTGACGTGCGATCGATGCGGCTTGCGGCTTGCTGAATGCAGCATCATTTGTGGCACAGGCTGAGCCTATGCAAGCACTGTCGGAGGACATCGCCGTCAGCAAGAAGCGCATACGGGCCGTAATCGACAGCACGAAGCTACTTGACGCCGAGGACATCACACGTGTAGAGTCATTCATTCAAGTTCTGCACGTTTTTGAAGCGGAGATTCTGTGCAAACTGAAGGACTGGGAACGCTTGCTTCCCACGATCAAGGTACAGGATCTAACATCTCGCCTGCCTATTTCGGTTTGACACGCCGTGGAAGGACGCCATGCAGTCGGAAGTGCTCGCTGCGGACTATTTTGAAGCTATCACAGATATTCTGGTGTGTTGCCCTACACAGGTTATAGAAGCATCCGTACTCAAGGAACGTCTGCAGTGGGCGGAGCAAGATTGCCCGGTACATGGTAGGTAGCGGCGGCATGCTAGCTAAAGAGCCGAGCTTACCCCTTTTAAGTGTTACTGACAGCGCTGGAAGTGAGTCGAACATTTGATGTTAGTATGGTGCTGACAATACTTCGTGCGATTCTCGTAGGCAATACTCCATACTAGCCTGGACCGCAGTTCCCTCTCGATCGACAAATTCGCGAGGTGGCTACGAGCTATTTGTATGATGCTTCTATCGAGAAACACCGCCGCCGATAGGGCGAAAGCGATCGGATACGTCGAGCAAGCGGTCCATGTCCTGGAGAATCACGGCACAGAGACAGATTCTGAAGTACAGTCTTCTTCTATCATAGCCAAGCTGAGTCTGATAGATGGCGCGAGGCTTATCCGATGGATGAACGACACTGGTTGCTCGGCACAGCATACAACACTGGTATTGAATGCCTACAGTTCGTGGCATACTTTCTGATGATCAGAGCAACGTGCAACCGCTGAACATCTCCGCAGTGCGTCATCGCTAGATGAAGCGAAGCGATGGTTCGAAGCGTCCAGTACCGTGTGCCGCTTTATACCCAATGGGAACGAACGGGCCGAGAAGGTTGAAACTCTCCCATCCGCTTCTCCCCATATCATTACTAAAGATGCATTAGATATCGGAAACTTACTCACAGCTGCTGGCGCGCTATACAACCCACTCCGTCGCTCGGCCAGGCTGAACTTAGTGGCTTCTCCATCCTTCTGCCTGACTCAGCGACTCTGCTCTTCCTTCATTGACTGACTGGTCCCGCCTGCACCTTCTTGTGGTACTCCGCACTCGGCGACTGGCGACTTCTTGTTCCAGATTCTCGCTCCCTCTGACAATTTCGCATCTGTAAGGGTTCTGTGATTGTTCGTGTGATGAATAACATCTCGTCTAGTTCACTGTTCTTTCGATTTGGCTGATGACTTGCTCCGGCGAGCGTGCTGAGTACTCGGTCCAAACCGGAACGCGAACGCTACTTGGCATCGCACTCACCATGCAACAAGGCGGAGCAGGATGACAAGGAATGCGCTGGAATCGTGGATCGCTACGTGATTGTATCTGAATGGCGTAAACCGGAGAATCCCCAGCCTTGCCTCATTTGCAATAAGACTAAAGCCGACAGCCCGGCATGCAGAGGCACTCTAATACCGTTACATTATAGCACAATACAGCAGGTGTGAGTCTGTCAGACGAGTAGCGTGATACAGCCCACTGAATAAATGGGAACCGAACGGGTAAAAATTCTGTTCTTCGCCGTCTAGCCACGCGTAGGGTCACTTGTGTCCTTTGCTGTCCCCACATCGATAGCGTTCTGAAGATCGAATTGGTCTCACCCTGAAACGCGAGCATACCGCTCAACGATGCTCCGCACGGCGCTGAGCTATCAGTGGAACATTCGAGATCATCGAACCGTCCAACGCACTGAAGGTGACGAAAGATATCGCCTGCTAAGATTTCGCCGCAGCGCCGATGGGGAGGTTGGCGACCATCGCAGCGGCAATGATCTGATGTGCCCTATCGCGCAAAGGAAACGATCAGAAAGGTAATCCAGAGCGGCAGAACGTGACAGAGCGGTATCTAGCAAGTGAAAATTTGTCCGGCCGAAAATTCTCGATTTTGGGACCCTACGAATATTGTAGCACATAGTTTGATAGCCCGCGATTTTATTGTATCATGTTTGTAGTGTCTGTTGCTGGACCCCGCGTGCGTTCGATCGACATCGACGCGCGCCAGTGGCGGCCTGTGTCTATGGTGCTCCTCCGTTTTGCCCCTTCCCCGACGGGTGCACTCCATCTGGGTGGCCTCCGCACGGCCCTTTACAACTTCCTGTATGCGCGAAAGCTAGGCGGAAAATGGATCCTCAGGATAGAGGACACGGACGCGGTCAGCGGAGTCCTCAATTCCATCAAGCGCGCACCAGGCTCATGCATCGTATGCTTCGGTTCATCTGTAAATTATAGACTCGCACTGTGCCGGGCGCTGTGGATGGAATTCGCGAGGCTTTGGAGTGGGCCGGCTTGGAATATGACTATGGTAAACAGCAAGGCCGTATGCATTCTGCCATGAGCTTACCACGGGACTGTCAGGACCTGGCAAACAGGGACCACACGCGCCGTACTTCCAGGTGAGTCCTATGTGCTGCAGATTCATTTAAATCGCATTCATTGGTTCATGCCACGTAGTCCGAGCGATTGGATCTCTATCGCTTCTACGCTGACAAGCTACTGGCGGTACGCTCCAAAATGTACCTCCGAAGGTCCCCTTACCGACATACCTCGCGTGCTCTAGTCCGGGCATGCCTACCGCTGCTTCTGCTCTCCAGATACTATCGCAGCCACGCGCGAACGGTTGGCCCGCTCCGGTTCGAACGCAACTTACGATAAGGCCTGCCTTCACGTCACGGAAGAGGAAGTGGTCAGACGAATGAAGGCAGGTGAAAAATTCGTGGTCAGGCTCAATGTACGCATATGTTCAGCTTTGAGTGCTGCTTAAGAGATTGAGACCGTGGTGAATAGGACGGCAACCTCCCTTCGAGGCCGCCTCCTTCAGACCTGATCTTCCGCAACCTGCGTGATGCACACGCCTCTCTGCCGACGGATCCCGTTCTCCTCAAATCCGACCTCTTTCCGACGTACCACCTAGCATCCGTGGTGGACGACCATGAGATGGGCATCACTCATGTATTGCGAGGCGAGGTGGCTATATGCGTCTGTTATGCAACGCACTGAGCGTGGTGAGTTGATCAGCGGCTGTTCATTTTTACAGGAATGGCTGCCCTCTCTGCCGCTACACCTCGACCTCTACGCATGCCTCTCCCTTCCACCTCCGCAATTTGCCCACCTTCCACTGCTGCTCAATCCGGATGGGTCGAAAATGTCAAAACGCAAGGGCGACGTCCAGGTGATCGATTACAAGGTCGGTGCCCATCGGTAGGATCCTGGCCTCGTGTAGACAGGGTCTCATCATGTCGAATTTGAATCACTTGCAGCGCCGTGGGTGGGAACAGAGCGCTATCCTGAACTGGCTCGCCCTTGCAGGGTGGGGTGTTGCTCATGATGCAGAGGCGTCTTCGGATTCAACATCGCCAGCGAAACATGCTCCGGACAGCACGACAGTGATGACGCTGGATGAGATGATCAAGGAGGTGATGTCATGCTTCACGAGCTCTCGTACCGTTCAAACATCTCATCGTATCCTTCGCAACAGTTCGATCTGGCCGCAATTACTCACCGACGAACGGTACTCGACCCGATGAAGCTAGAATACCTGAACAAGCACCACCTCATGCGCATGATGTCCACTCCTGAAGGTCTGTCCAACCTCGCGGAGAGAGTGCACATTCGCGTGAAGGAGGCATTCCCCCATAGGTAGGCATGCATCTCGATGCTTCTCTACGGTCTGAAACTATCCTCAATTAGCCAATATACTACGGTCGACTCCATCAAGGAAGTCATCGCGATGCTTCAGGTAAGTTGCTCAGCCCGCCAGGAAAGGATATTTCCTCACACCGCGCAGGGACGTATCATGAATCTGAACGACCTACCATCGCTTGCCTCATTTCTGTTCATCGAGCCGGACTATACAACGGAGGAGGCGCAGTCAATGCGCCAGTCGTTGCCCTCGGACAAATATAGTGAATTCCCCAAACATATTCAACCTTGCAGGGCCACTGACATACAAATAGATGCTGTCGTGGTAGGGTTGAGGGACCGTTTGCAACTGTTGGCCGCTCCCTGGCAGACTGTCAATTTTGTCGACCTGCTGCATGAAGAGCACGCCAAACTTGGTATTAATCAAAAACAATATATGACCATCGTAAGACATGCTCTTACGGGTATGAAGGTACTGTGCATAGCCTCGCTGCTGCATATCATTTTCTGAACTGGTTACTAGACTGGTCCTGGACTGGGTGCAGTCATCGGTGCCCTGGGTCGCGAGAGAACGATCGAGCGACTCAACAGAACGTTAGCCACGCAGTAATCCTTCCGATCCACTGAAATAGCGACAGACCTCCAATTACAATGATATATGCTATGTTACACATGTCATGGTCAGTAAGTACAAGTGCCCAATATGTAAGATGAGTATCACAACGTCTCCCACCCTCCGCTGTCTACCGTACCCTCCAGCTTCCTCGCGATCAACGTGGGCACGCCGTGATTCAGCCACACTCTACGCACTTCCTCCCATCTCGCATGATGCAGGAATTGCCTACGCCCGCGCCTTATGAGCATGGTCAGACACATAGTTCGGTCCGGATGGAAGTCAACTCACCTCATAGAGATATCAACCTCGCCATGGCTATCGAGGTAGGGCGATTGTCCGAATGTCCCATTATTGGCATACAGATACAGGACACAGCATCGCTTCGCAAGGAAGTAAATGCCGACAGGCCCAGCGCACCTGCTTGATTGTCAGATTCTCCGCTGTGCTGCACCTCATGATGACAACTTACTCTCGCGTATGCATGTTACATTCCCCACGGTAGCCGTTCTCGACATCCATGCAGCAATGGCTTTGCATACAACATGTTGTCCCGCAGATTAGGCAGATCGCAGCATCGAGGGGGACAGTCTTGCAGCGAGCGCACGTCATGATCTTCTCCTGGTCGAGATACAGATGATCCAGAACCAACGGCAGCCGTGCCAAATGGTATGTGCAAGGATATTCCAGAATGACTCCGCAATTCAACTGAGAAGCTGCATGAGAAGTGCCATAATGCTGGCACCACACCGATAGGGCGGTCTGCAGTGTATCCTGATTAGGAAGATCGGACAGCGGGGGTATATCAAGCATCGTCAGCAACCGTCGATATTCGCAGACATCGTCACTTGCTGGAGGTGTGGGGAATGCGGATGGAAGCATGGCACGGCATAGAATGGCGGCACGTCGTAAGAAGGGCAGCGTGAACATATACAACAACTTCTCGACGCGAGCTTCGCCGAAGGAATGGAACACCATCTCGCCAGCTTGCTCGAATACTGGCGAGTGTCGGACAACAGATATGAAGAACATACGAACATCACCGAAGAGATGCTCGTACTGGCGTTGTGCAACGCTAGTCACATGATGGCTTCGAGTCTTGTTTAGGATGTATACCAGGCCGATGACCGTCCGTGCAAGACACGCATAGTAGGTGAGGATGAGCACTTGCCGCAACATATCGGGTGCTACTGCGGCAGTTTCAACGAGAATTGTGAGCGGATCGCGGAGAAGTAGGGGGTACGTAAACGAGGTGAGGGATCCACGACTCCACTCTGGTAACAACCGTTTGATAATGGCATGGCGCATTGCATCCCTTCCTTGATCTGGCCTGTGCTTGAAGCTGAGAGTGACGAGTTTGGTGAGACATGTTACCAGCCCACGGATCATACGATAGTGGGAATCTGCTAACGAATCAGCAACGATGCGCCCTGGAGAACCCATGCCTCGCTGCGCTACTTCCAATGACGCAATTGTATAGCCAACCAACTCTTCCGGTAGATACATCCCTGCGCCGCGCTCGCCGGGTTCTGGTTCTGGATGGTCTCGCAGGTGACGACTCTGCTGCGAGATGTTCTTCGACACTATCATGACTGTGTCGACCATCTTATGCACTTCTATGTTATCCGGAGAATCTGGAATGCGAACAAATGTCTGATACATGGTGTCTTGCGCGGCCCAGAACACGAATTCTCCTGAGCCACTGCGGAACTGCAGCGACTCGAGCACTGGATCAGCCTTTGACTTGAGGATACTGATGCCGGCTGCGCGCGTCCACTCCGTGAATGGAAGGCCATTCAATTCGGTGCTTGTCGAGTCAGTCGCTACCGGAAGGATGACGTTTCCCAAACTTTTGCACAAAGGGCAGATATACTCTTTCCGGGGTATACTTTCAGGGTGGTTTCTGGTCGCCTGCGCCCGATGACGTTGTCTGATTGAGCCACTGTAAACAGTAAAACAGTCTAGGTGCATCATATGGCTGCAAATCGACGCATGAAGGCCGAATCGAGTATACTGAGCGGGAAACCCCTCGAAGCTGTGAGTGCTTCGGGCTTTGTAATCTGTGGAAAGGCTGACGGAAGGAGGGAAACTCGTGTGGACTGCATGTTCTTCTGCCCGGTCAAGTGAATCGTCGGCAAGCAGGGCTTCATTTATGTAGGCATGCTGACCATCAGGCTGTCGGCGGAGGAGTCTACTAGGTTGTAGGAAGCCAAGAGAGCCGAACGGCTTCGCATGATTCAATTCTTCTTGGCAGACAATGCAAGTGCCATAGGAAATTGGTGCTTCCGGCATGCCATCCATATCTTCATCCTCATCGTCGTCGATATCTTCGAAATTGGTTGCGAAGCTGGCTTGCTGAGCCTTCATTTGCCTCATGATAGCCTCTTGTCGAGCCTTCGCAGCGCGTTTCTTGGCTTCTGCTGGGTCAACAGCATCCATTGCGACCTCAGGGATCTGCCTTCGCTTCATGACCTCATCTCGTTCGTGGAGAGCAATTTGGTCCAAGGTCCAGCCTACGCGGGCCTTGTACGGCTTGTACTTATCGTGATGCTCCAGCACGCAGAGGATATCGAGAAGGTTCTTATCTTCTTCGAAGTGCTTACCCACTGTAAAACCACTGAATGCCGATGGCCGCTCTGTGATGGCGAGCATCACCAAGTGCACGAGCTGGTCGAGGACCGCCTCGGAAGAGGGAGGAGCGGCGCCTTCAGCGTCAGTGATGACGAGAATGTTGTAGATACCATAGAACATGATTTGCAAGAGAACCTCAGACTCGAACGCAGACGAGACAGTGGTGAAGGGGCCTTCCGTGATGTTCATCGGCTTGGGAACGATTACGGGATCCTCCACGCCTGTCTTCTTCTTCAGACGATTGCGCAACACAGTCTCCACGTCCTCACGCTTATTCCGCGTGTAGTGGTAGAAGAATGGGTTCACCTCCTCATACGCTTCGTCCTTGAGTTCGTACACCCCCGAGTCCGCAGTCGACTCCGGCGGCTTGAAGTTCGCCACTTCTTTGAGCACCCGTTCGAAGGCAGCGTCGTCCACCAACCGCTCTGCTACGCGTTTCGTCACATCCGTGAACGTGCACGGCCCAACCGCAAGTGCGTGTACGATCTCCCTTCGGATTGCCAGAGGCATCGACAGCTTCGTGGCATTGGCGGTCTCTGTCAAAATTGTGATGATGACATACAGCAGCTCCTCCACCATGCTAGGCAGTTGCGCGCTTTCGTACACCAGATGCAGAGTAGCACCTTGGAAGTACTCTGTTAATTGGAAGCGGTCAAGCATGCTGATGAGAACCGTGTTTGGGTCCAAGATGACCAACGCAGTTTGGAGCAAGAACAGGTCGAGATCGTAGCATAGCTCCCGTAGCATAAAGTCGCGATAATGCATGAGCTGGCCTCTGATCGCAAATCCGTTGCGAACCCAGAGACCCGTCCTGATTTGCGCGATCATAGCTAGGACTATGTGCAAAAATGAATTAAACAAATGAATCCCATGTGATGCAAAAAATGATTCACCTCGCAAAGGGTAGTCAACGATTGTCAGGATCGCCTGTTCACTGACATTTCGCATGCACACGTCTCTCAAGCTGCTCATCCCAATCTCTCGTAAAGACCCCTCGCTCAAGATATCGACGTGCTTTAATAACTCGGCAAGCAACCACTGCAGCGAGTGGTGGAAGCTCACCCATCCATCCATGACGTCGAACTTGACCACTTGGTATGTCCTGTTCGCGAAGTTCACATCATGGAAGAGGACAGGCGGGAAGCGCGTGGTGTCCCGCTGACCGTCCGCCACCGCAGACGCCATCAGAATATGGTGCATGACGGTTGTAATCGCAGCCACAAGCTCGGCAGCAGTCGCCCGAGAGAACGCCTCTCCGTACACCTTGATGACTCGCGATAGTGAGAGGGTGACATTAAACACGCTGATCCAAGCATCTGCTTCGTATTCGACGTGGCTGGTGGCCGCACGCTTGTTGGGGTTCACGCACATGAAAATCTGACACGTCTTCGAGAAGTGCGTGATGTACTCCCGGTTGTGCGCGATGAGCTGCTGGACGGACTCGTTGTGGCAGAGATACCGAAGATCGCTGAAAACGGGCATGAACCGCTTGGACTTGAATGGGTACGCATCCACTTCGATGTCGACATTTGGATCGGGAGGATAGACGATCCGTTTGCCTTGGATCTGGTTTGTGAAGAAGGCAGTAATGATAGAAAGGAGACGGGAAATGATGTTATGCTGCCGGACGATGTATAGCGCCACAGAAGGGACGGTGAATAATTGTAGCGCAAAGTATTTGATAGATGTCTCGGCTTCACGGTCCACGAGGAGGTACAGGTCGATTATCTTGTGATACACACTTGCAAAGTGTGAGGCTGAGTGATTAAATATCAACGACAGTACATTACAGACAATGCGTATGAAGTTCACCAATTGCGAGTTTGTGCTCATGGCTCAATGTGATCAACGAGGCATAGATCTCCTTCAGATTGAGGCGCGGCTTCTTCCACAATCTGACATGATAGAGAAAGAGCCAATGCATGCGTGACGGATCCTGGATATCGGCCAAAACCTTTGCGGTGTCGTGTGTAGGCAGAAGGGAGTAGTTCTTCCTCGGAGACAACAGCTCCGCCGCGATGACTTCGCGCAGGATCAAAGTGTCAGTCCCCAGCCGGCTACGTGTGAGATCTAGCAGCCACTCGATGATGACCTCTGCCACCTGCTCGCGGAAAGTGTCGTAAGCTCTGCGTACGGTCACGCCGAGATCTATCTGCGACAACGTCTGTGCAAGTTCCAGAAGACGCACAGTGTTACCATTCATTTCTACCACTTCGCGGCCGTTGTCGTCTAGTCGATCGATCGCCTCGGTGGCCTCCTCCTTAGAGCGATTGGTGACATCGCATAGCAGCTTTATCAACTCGTCGAACGAGTGTTTATCGTCATTCCATATGACAACACTATACTGCTCCCTCATCATGGGGTCTCCAGAGAGTTGTGCGTGCAGGTCGTCGTCGGTTGTGGGAGGACTTGTCTCGTCTGGCGAGAAATCGAGAGTGTCCAGAATGAAGTCAAGTGCATAAGCGACGGTCCTCGACATCGTGTCTCGCAGCTCCATAGGCACGGAGACCCTGTACGGATAGTCTCTGACTGGTGGAACATCTTGGCCCAGCATTACTCGTGCACTTGCTCTAGGAGTCGACTGCAATGTCTTGAGAGCGAATGCGCTTAAATAGTCAGAGATCTCAGGCTTCGGGGGATGGTACGGGCATTGTATGGTAGATCTCCAGGCTTCGACGTCGCCGCAGTCGCAACAGCCTCCAGACTGTTGAGCGATGAAGAAACTGACATTGTGGTCAGAATGGTCGGTCGCCTCAAAGCATCGCGAGCACAGCACACAGCTATCATCTAGCGCGCAATCTCTGTGTTACATTACACTATTAGCGTCTACTACCTTGAGATCAGAGCAACCCTCACTTGCAGCGGAAACATGCCTCGCCCCTTTTGAAGATGTGGCCACACGGCCGGCCTGGGATTACCGGAGGATCTTTCTGCGACGTTGCAGAGTTCTGTACTTCGCTTAACATAGCATGCAAGGGCAGACTGGAGTTGGAGTTGGGTAGAAACAAATGCGCATATGGTCCCCAAAATGCATCATACAGCTCGGATAGGATCTCAGCGCGTGTTGCAGGTGTGAACACGTATTTGCGCGAGCCTGGCATCGTCTCCAGAGCGAAACGCAGACGCGAGAGCGGGTCGGTACTTCTGTCGCGAGGATGCATGGCTGCGAGCAATCTGGATGAGATGGATGACAGACTAGTCATGGCAGGCCTTGCTTGTGCGCGTGTACATCAGGTGCACGGAAACTCACTTGCGTAATCAGGCTTGAAAACGGCCAGCCAAACGAAAATACACCGAGACCGTCGTATCGAACCAGAAAGAGGAGATCCTCGTGAATGCAATGAGGAGGTCGAATGGCTAGCCAACGGTGGCGGTCTGTGGCGGTCCTACAGACAAGCGCTCGCTCGATCATCGCGCTCGACATCACCGTTGGTCCGCTCACTGTTTAACACAACTAGCCAGACATGTCCTCAAGAACATCCTTCCAAAATTCTGCTACTGGCTCATCGGCGTCTGCGTCGTCTCTTGTCTCTATGGCCGACCCGCCTCTCAGACAGATGGACGGTGCAGCAGTGGACTACTTTCTGATCGAGATGGTCCACACGTTACGTGCATCGTCGGCGGTCGCAACAGCGCGGGCGAAAAAGGTAGAACGAGATATGATTGAAGCGGGACTATTGCCTTCCCCACCCCCCGCTTCTTCGTCATTGAGAGACGTACAAAGAGATTCAGCAGGAAGTCTCGCGTCTCGAGGTGGTGGAAAGGCTACAGTCGAAGACGAGGACGAAGGCGTGCGAACACGGTTAGAGGCGATAGGAATGCATGTCGGAGCAAACATGACTGAACGGTGAGAGGCATAGATGAGCGAGATTAACGTACGCGCTGAAGTGCTGGTCTCAGTCTATGTCATGATCGAGGGCTCTTTGCGGATACTCTCGATGCTGTGAAGTTCATCTGTAAGGATCTCTGGGCCGCATGCTGGGACAAGCAGGTGGACAATCTACGAACGAATCACCGAGTACGTGTGAATCATCTCCTGTCAGTGCAGGTCTCAATTTTTCTAGGGTATTTACGTTTTGCAAGACCACACCTTCAAGCCTATCGCACGCATATCAAGCTGGGAGGGGCGAGCAGAAGCATTGAAAAAGGCGAAACTAGTATGCATCTAATTAGACTGTTATGGAACATGACATAACGTTACCCTAGTACGTCACAATGTCTGCTGGTATCCTTAGAGGTGCCCTCGTCAGGCTCGGTTATCAGGCCACTGTTGTCCCCGAAGTGACAGTGCTACCGCAATGTAAGACTTGTACTCTAGGTCATTGTACGATCCCTCATCTCGTTCCGCTATAGGCAGCTTCCAGCTTCGACTGCCGAAAGGCCCGTAAAGACAGCAATACCGCTTGGGTTGTAATGTTTACTCTGCCCCTCTTCTCTTACTCGCATACCACCTACCGGATGCAAGACGGGACATGCCGGGATCACTTTGCCCAATCCGCTGCCCCTCGTGAACGGAGCACAGCAAGATGTGTGATCACGGGCCATTTCACGGTGGACGAAGGCGACGCTTATGCTCCTATCTGCCATACCGCAGTACTATAAGAATACCGCGAGCACGAAGGCAGGACTCCTGCAGTGTATACTTCTCATTGGGCGAAGCAATACGACCTGTACCTGTACTGTTCGAGCATCGTCGATCGCGTTACATGACATGATGATAGATGCTGCAATATACAGTAGACTCCCCGAGTCACCGGACCATTGATACTTCGGACAAGCTGCACTCACGCAGTCTTTGAATCATCGAGGAGAGGCAATGTCTCGGAACCTAGTGGATGAGCCTCAGCCTGAGCTACTGAACCTTCAGAGTCCGTCCACGCACGCCTGAAATCCTCTGTTCTTCCTGAGGGGTATTGCGAAACATGCATACCCTCCTCACTCTCATCTTCGTCGATACCGCTGGTCTCTTCGCCAACGTGCTGCTCGTCCTTCAAAGACCCTTCCGAAGATGCTGCTTCATCCAACGTCCAGAAATCGTGCGTCCCGTTCGTATGCATTAGTGCGTAGCACACGACGCTCCCGCTAACAATTGTGCCTTCGATCAGCGTACGGCGTATGGAGATCTCTCTGACTTTCTCAATCATTCCGTCTTGCCGTGCTCTGGCGTGGAGTGACATCTCGTTGGCATCGTCAATCTCATACGTCTTGAGCAGCTTGAGAGTGTAGGCAGGAGGCACAACCGTGTAATCGATGCAAACTGCGAGCTCAGGCAGCGGTGTGTCGCTAAATTCGCGTTTGGCTAACTCGCGCAGAAGAGGTAGGTGCTTTCGCGAGTCAGTCATAGCCAATAGACGGAGAAAGGCAACGTCCCTTTTTGAGATCCCGTTTGGTCTTCCTTCTACATAGCAATAGCTGGCATCAGCGATTGACGTATTTAACAAACCGAGGCTTACCCTTTCTCCCTTGTCTTGTTAATTTACATGCATTCTTGTGGTCCCCTTCTTTCCAGTCGTTCGCCTGACACTCCTCTGACAAGACGTCCAGCCGCAGTCGCCTCGACACACGAGAACGAACATACCTTTGAGCAATAGAACGTTGTAAGACACGCCGAACATCGCCGGATCTGCTCCTTCGTGCCGACTATATGACACTAAGATACTGTCAGCATAAGACGCATCGCTTAGAGCATGGCGACGCACGTTCTCATTGCTGCACATGTGTTGTCCTTTTTGAGCATCGAGCCGTCTCAGTATGCGGAATCGTTCCGCACTCAGCTTCACAAAGTCATCCCAGACATCCTTCGCAAGACTCCTCCTCACCCTCTCTTTTTGAGTTTCGCGGATTTTGGACATTGACGCATTAACCGCCTCAACAACCGAAAGGTAAACCATATAGCGTGACAACACATCTCCAACCACGTCGAAGAACATTTTTTGGTTGCCTGAATCCAGGCTGTCAAATTGAGGGCTACAGTCCACCCATGCATGCAGCAATCCCGCGCCGACGGCTTGTGAAACCCACGTGAACCCATCTGTGGCATTGAGATAATTATGCAGATAGGTGAATCCGGAGACCATGGCATGCGGAAACATGGATCGTTAAGTCAACGTATACAGAGATGACGAGTAGGGCCTTTGTGACTGTCCAAATCACATTCTCGCTCAAGAGAGCGGCGAGCATTGGGTGCGTGAAACATGGTGAACAAGAGAGGTGACATAAAAGGCGCAGGTACATGGCAAGCGTCAATCGTTGAACCGACTTGGATGTGAGAGTGTCCTGTAGACGAGATAATGAAAGCTTCGCAATAATGCTCGCATTCCCTCCAGCTGCTTTGATAACTCTATCGAGTCGCTCCGCGTCAGCGAGCTTGAGTAGGTTTTCTATCATGAGGAGAGTCGTGGGAAGCCCTTCATTGGGAGATAAGGGTCCTTCGCTTTCTTCCATCCACAACTTAGCGGCGGTCTCAATGCTTTCCGGTGTCTATGTAGCATTTTCACCCTGGTTCCATCGTGTTCTAGAAGAACACACCAGGCCGAGGCGATCTGCTCAATTGTCCCTCTCCTTTTAGAATCGATCCTTTCTTCATATGTCACTGTTCCGGAAAAGAAGAAGACGCTCCACTGGAGGACTCCCGGCCACGCGCTAGCCATCTTGTTCAGCAGAAACGGGTATTTCCTGTGAATCCTATTCAGACCATACATAGCTGTATAGGCCAAGACGGCGGATAGCCAATATCTCGTTGCCGAGTTTGGTGCCTGGGCGGGGACACGTGTTTCGTGTAGATGGCGGAGAAATACGTCGAGGATTTCATTGGGTGAGATCTTGTCCGGGATCATCACGCATGATTCACTGAGAGCAACGGTTTCGGCTAGCGAGACTCGTAGCGCTGCATTGAGAACCTAGAGGGTAATGACCATATCAAGGAAAGTCGAACGAAAGACTCTGAAATGATCGGAGACTTACAGCTCTTGGGTCCGTTTTCAATTTTGCCTGAGCCGCTGAATACTTTGCACGTCCGTCTTCATTTAGATATGCCGTCAGAAGGACATACTGCACTTCAATCCATCGTTCCAGGTTCATGGTGGTGTTCAGGATCGATGCAATGCACGTGCATACCGCGAGGACGTTTGAAGAGAAGAGCGTCACAGGTCATATGATCTGTTATGCGACGCGATTCGGTCACAACGAGTTTGGTTTGGACGGTCGAGTTCGAATTGAATGTGAACGTCCATCTGTCACTAAAGACAACTAGCTTCGTTCAGCCGCTCACTCGCTCTTGCTGTTGATTTTTTGTCACTTTAGCTGTCTCAGTATGCTGCTAATAATCTCGCGGCGAATCTCGGCTATTTTGGCAATGCTCGCGATAGTCTTCACGATCGTGTGGATCTACCTTGGAATCAGGACTGCTCATGTCATCAACCTCGCTGCCTTTGTGAGATCTAGCGAATATCACAAACTGGCTCTTGGAGTTCTGAACAGCGAGGCCGGACTCCATGGTACGCACAAGGAAAAAGTGGACCCTATGTCTACTGTTGTCTCGCCGTTGCTACCCGCCCACAGGATAAAGGATACATTACGCATGGAAGATACCGTGGACCTCTTCTCTGACATTTACGTCGTGACGCTGCCCCATCGATCTGATCGTCATATCATGATGGAACGTCTCAGGCAGTCTCTCGCACTCAACTGGACCTACGTGGATGCAATTCCCTCAAGTGACCCAGTCATTATGGGTATTTCAGAATGGGTCGGGAGGCTGCGACAGAGGGTCTCCACCCTACAGCCTCAAACGGAAAATCAAGCAGAACAACGTTTCGAGTGGCCTGACATGTCGGCTATAGACGGCCGGTCTCGATCCCGACAACTGCTTGAAACCTCTGCCTCTCCCGAATGGCCATTGCTTTCGTCCGACGCACGATTTGCAGACCGAGGCATACCGTATGACTACCTATCTCCAGCATCGATGAAGCATTCTCCGACTGGAACACTTGATTCTCGATTGCAGGATTCACCTCTGACTTGTGCAAAGGAAGACTTTGTCTCAGGCCCAACATATACTTCGTCCCTGCCTGCATACAAGCTCCTGACTCCTGCTAAAATCGCTTGCTGGTATTCACATCTGCGGGTCATTCAACGAATTGCAAATGAAGAGGATCGTCGCATTTCGGAGAAAGGCACCGCGCAGGCCGAGGATGTCTCTAGGGAAGGAATAACGCTCGTGCTGGAAGACGACATCGATATCGAACGGGATATCCGGGATAGGCTTCGTGATGTTTGGAGCGCGTCGCCTTCAGAATGGGACATCATGTTTTTGGGTCAGTCACACACCATAGTTTATGTGCATTGTATTGATAAACATGAGCTCTCAGGTCACTGTTGGTCTAACGAGAGCCATTATTCTGCACTGCCTGCCAAGTTATCTGCAGACCGGCCGCAATACCGCCCGCGGAATACTCTCCATCCTTCCTTTGCCCCGAAATGTACTCACGCGTACGCACTTACCCGCACCGGTGCGCGCCGGCTCTTGCTGCATTTGCATTATCCACCGTTTGCGTATTCCCGGGCTTTGGATCAAGCATTCTCCTGGCTGGTTCAGAGCGGCCGCTTGAGAGCCTTCTCCGTCGTGCCCAGCGTGATTGTGCAGCGGAAGGCAGATGAAAGCGACATTGACCCCGGAAGGGGTGGGACAGGTAGTTCTTGGAGAGAATATCTCGATGATGGTGTCTTAGGGAGTTAGATAATATATCGGTGGTCAGGCAAAACATGCCTCGCGCCGAATTGTATCCACTCCATCGTGCACAGTGTCAATCGTATAGTATAGTGACGGTTGCGCCACCTGGCGTATGCGCATGCGAAGAACCGGCCGCACGTGTGGCTGGCCTGCTGGGTTTAGGTCAAAAAGCGGTGCAAGCTGCCCGGTGCATCAGAAAAGTGCGTGGCAAGGACACCGTACTAATGACTGCAAAGAAAGCCGCTTCAAAAGGCCCAGTGAGTATACATCGCTATGTATTATGGAACGCCCTCTTAAGTTTCCACCTCGCGTATATTTAGAATCAATTCTAAAGCGGTTGAAGGAGGTACGCAGAAACACGCCCAATAAGGACTATGGGAAAGAGCCAATATTTATCGGTTGTCTACAGTTCGCCACGAAGGGAATGTGTCGCCCCAATAGGATGAAACTCTCTCCTTTACCCATCTGCGGAAGTAGCACCAGCATTGTCCCACAAAGACATCCCCCGGCATGCATTGGACTGTTTACAATTTGGATATGAAATCTCTTGCCGGACAATCTGCCGATGTTTCCACTGGCAGCACGACAATGAGGTAGACATAATGTCATTCAAGAGTGAAGTGCTTTCGGTGGCAAGAGACAAAGTCGGGCATGACAAGAGAGGAAGCCGAGCCAGACGGTCGACCATAGCAGGAGGACTCAAATGAAATTGACATCAATTCAACAGGCTCCACTTAATATCCGGAAGATGATACTCGCTCACTGAAGTTTGGTACGAGCAATTCAATGGAATTGTCAAGGTACATGCCTTCCGCGAAAGTACTATTTCTCGCAGAATCAGCCTTTGAAGGCAGGCTTTTCGAGCAGCTAGACGGTCAAAAAGTATGTCCGGACTCGCATACATTCGTTCCATCGTATGCAATAGAGAAATCAGCTCCCAGCCTGTGCAGAATCCTCAGGTAGGAACGATGATAGTGCCATGAGCAGGGTCAATATCCTGACACTGGGCAGGTGAGCCGACCGAATGGAGAACATGAAGAGTCGTGGCAGAGAATAACATCAACGCAAGGAAACGATATAGCGCCCTTTTTTGGCCGGAAGGATCGCAACATAAGGATCTAATCCCCAGGGATGAGCGGAAGAGTGTTATGTGATGTGCTCATATGAACCCCAGGCGGGGAGATTGACGTTTTTGCATTTCTCGGTATGATCCTACGTGGTACCAAACAATCGCTGTTATCAGTAACATTGAGTGAGGAATGAAGTCACGCACCGGAATCAGTGACGCGTTCCCTGACTTGAAATGAGACAGGGACGTCTCGCTGGTTGCGCGGACACAGATAGTCAGAGACATTTTCCGGTACAGAAACAATTAGTAGACAAGTCCTGTCCTGGGTAACATAGATCGTGTCATATGCCGTATTTCCGGAGAATGAGAAGGAGGCGCCCGTGCGGAGATAAATGGAACGGGTAGAGAGGTCTAGCATGTGGGAGCATGAAGAATTCTGTCTTGCATTGCGTCCTGAAAGTTATACGAATAGCCTGTACGAGGAGGTTGCCATAAGAGAACCTGGCACGCATTTCATAACACAAACAGGAAACGATCGCACCAACGTGTATTCGTATGCGTTGATTTTTTGCAATTTAAATAGATCGGGCCGTGTAGATTACTAATGACACACAGGGCGCTGTTGAGTGCACATTATCTCCCTGCCAGCATACAGACGGTTCGCCTTACCGCGTGTATGGATGCCCAGCCCAGTAATCATGTTTCATCACCGCCGCTAGCTGATGCACGTACAGATGCCGTATCGCCGTATCTTAAACGCGGATGTGGGTATCATCTGGAACTCAGTGCGGTTAGACCACTGGTCAGTCTGGATTGGCTCACCATTTGAATATAGCTCATATCACAGTAGTTACACCGGCTTTATGTTATCTGCCGGTAGCATCTATCTTGGAATGAGCATAGCCTGGAATGAAATACTTGCATATGGAGCCGGGATCTGTCCGTCACAATATGAAATCATCCCCAAGAAGACAAATTATCCAAACACAGATGGTAGATGGACTCATGTAAAGACTCATCGATGTCAGGCCCTTGTCCCAGTGGAGAGTGTCATGGGTAACGAACATCACGGATAAGATCAATTCATATTCGTAGACGAGGCAAGAGCAATTACCTCCAAAGGCCGATCATCGGCAAGGGCATCGTGTTTCAAGGGCGAGGGGGCCAATATTTGCACCCGTTGGGTGCCTTAGTCTTGCTCGTTCCCTGCTAGTAGTCATCTAGAGACCGCATAATCCATGCTGGCAAATTGGAACTTAAGAATGAACGATACAGCATCCAGTGCATCAATCCCTTGATCGATGATTGGCAGTTGACACCAGCCCGCATTCCGGCCTCCGAGGAACTAGCTACTTGTGCAGCTTTTTGCCCGACTCAGAAAGGTTCAAGAAGTCCCCAATAATGGTGATTTTAAGCACGTGATTACTTGCGACGAACTGCCATCAACCAATCAACGTTGACCATCGCAAGCGACCATCCTGCAAGTACTACAGCTCTGGTGATAAGATGAATGAAACAGCAGAGGAGTTAGCAAATTACCTGATAGAACGCCTGAAACTGTAAGCTCTAAAATCTCCCATCTTGATGACGTGTTTATCCGCTGATCACATACGATCGCGCAGTTCACCACCGGACTCTAGAATCGTTGTTGGCTTAGCAGGCGTTCCAGCATCAGGAAAGTCCACACTCGCTCATCGCATAGTGGACCATGTCAACGCGCACTTCCGCAGAAAAAGCGGGGTCGTAGGGAATGTGCAAAACGATATCGCTGTCCTCATCGGACTTGATGGTTGGCACTTGACTCGGGCCCAGCTCGACCAGTTCCCCGATCCCAAGCTCGCACATGACCGGCGGGGTGCGCACTGGACGTTCGATGGAGAAGGATATGTCGAGTTCATAAGGGCGCTACGTCGACCCATGGTTGCAGTGGATGCCAAGGGAACATCGTCCTCAGAAGTAGTATATGCGCCTTCATTTGATCATGCCCTTAAGGACCCCACGCCGAAGGCTGTGCCGGTATATCCGTACCACCGGCTCGTCGTGATTGAAGGACTATACGCTTTTCTCGGCATCGACCCTTGGAAGAGGGCAGGAGAGTTGCTGGACGAGCGGTGGTGGTTAGAGATCGACGAGGCAGAGGCCGAACGACGCCTTGTTGCACGTCATGTGCGTAGCGGCGTCGCACAAAGCATGGAGGAAGCGATATGGAGATCAAGAGAAAACGACACACCCAGTGAGTTCACGCAATGTCTGTTACGGTCGGACGTAGCTCATATGCCGGCTCAGATGGCAGGTTTCTGAGAGAAAATATGCTGGAACCGACTAGGACAATTCAGAGTATTGAGGATCCTGTACTTGCTGCGACTTGATTTGGACCCTGTGCGGAAAATAAGATACTTAACCCAACAGCATTAGACATGGCCCGTTGATGGAAGATCCGGTCGCTGGTGGAATAGGATCATCAACTCTTCACCAAAAAAGGTCCATGAACGTATGGAATCTGGAAGAATACTCTAGATGTCCCATGCAGCTTACTACTATACATCCCGCGCATTGATACATTTCGAACCGAGAAATCCCAGGGCGAATACACGAGAGACAGAGGATCACCTCCCGCCTTGATGATCAACTTTCCGCTCAGCCGTTACTGTAATAAAATGTTGAATGAAGCGCAAGACACACGTTAAATAACGAGCGTAACACATACCCCATGGCCTTCTGTCCATTGGACACTGTTGCTTGGACGCTGCCGTTCCTATCCACTGCAGCAAACAGTGCATGTGAAATACATGGCTGCATTCCCCCCAGACTGAGACTTGTTCAGAAGCACAATCCACATCGAAGGCAATTAAATCGCATACTCAGCGGGCAGTCATCTCCAGGCATCTTGCATGAGGGACAACAGCCTTCATAGGGCACGCGGCAGATACCACATACGTCGCCCTCGGCATCATCGTCCACATCCGCAGAGCCAGTGTCCCATCGCCATTGTGCAATTGCATGCCAGTTCTTGATCACTACCTTCATAGCGGTGGGGAGAGGCTAAGAATGAACGAATATGCTTTGTCCTCGATGCACGTCCGTGGCTTAAGGTTAAGCTGAAGTGGCTGAACAATCGCGGTCACGTTCGTGTTGGTCACACACGTCACGCATTCCTCGACGCGTCGCATTTCGTGCGGGCCTTTTTGATGCTGCGCAGCGGTTCTCCTTACTCGTCCTTGGATTCGTGCGACAATGCTCAGCCAGACGACACATGCCTATAGTGTGTTGAACCATACTACGACATGCAATACTAAATAGGGATGTCACGAAGAGGATCAACCGCTTTGGTCGGACGTCGGCACCGTCAAACAAGCACTCCTTGAGATTTCTCTGTATCTCTCTATGCTTCCTCGTGTGCACATATACTATGACGGGCGAGTGGCATGCTTCCCATGCCAAGTGATGCTTGCCGACTCCCCTCGAGAGCGTTAACGCTGGGTGTATCAAGGTTCATTATGTACGTATATCAAAGCGAACTTACCAGTCCATCTTCCTCTAATCGACATCCTGGTATTCCATAAACGTAATGTTCAAGTCGAATATGCTGTGGTCTAACTTACGAATTCGATCATAGTATGAACTGCGCGACGGACTTTGCCCATTCGCTGATGAATCTATTCATTAGACCATCTGATTGCACTTTTAACTAAGCTTTTGCTTTGCGATTCAATGAGAACCTATATTGGCGCTTTTAGTAGCATATAACTCAGATATATCGGAGGTGTCCGCGCAAGGCGGAGTTATCTTTCCTGTGAGTGAAGTTGTTTGCATACACAGCGCGCGTAAAGTGTTCACAATGTTGGTATACAGATATGCGCGCGTCTACCGTTGACGTGTACATGCGCTCAGTACGTACTTATCTTGTAAGATCTTTGGGACAGGGCAAAGGGGATCAGCCCGCACGCAGAAATCTTCCATCGCCTCAGTAACGCGAATCTCAATATGTTAGTGCAGTTTCCACAGTAAGTGAGCTGTTCCGCATGCTATGCATTTATCTTGAGTTCTTAAGCCGATCCTCTGCAGCATGTTCTCGAATCCTTCACCTCGTGCTATTCACATCGGCGCCGGTGCCGCGAGACGAGTCGTTCAATTGTACGGGCACTGACGGTCATCCAGCCAATGTCCCACAACGTTGTCGCAATCTACTCACTACCTAACCGTCTGCTTCAGAAGCGTGATGTGTGATGAGAATTGCAGCGGATTCTGTCTGTAAATCTATTGATGTCTATGTACAATTACAGACTTTTACACATTCAAGGACAGTAGTGTCGCTTCGGCAGCGTCGCTGGTGACTCGGTAAGAACGGACCGGCGTGAAGTGTGCGTAAATGAAGCTGCGGGTGTGGTCGCTCCAGGAACGAAAGAGATGACCGCTCTCAGCGAACGCGGATTCTCTGCGCATATACTACACCTGCCGCTACTAGTTGCGGGAAAAAGTCCGAAAAGTGGTGAAACATGCAAGGCCACCACACAAATGACGGGCGCTTCTTTCCGTCAAGCCCAAGCGCGGCCGGGCGCTAAACTCGCAGAGATCTACGCTTTCACCGCCACCACAAGCGGCAACTTCTTGGCTTCCAGTTGATCTCCGTGTCTCCCTTACGTGTATTGTACGTTTCGCCTCAATCAAGCTTCACCTGCTATATCTGTCTGCAGCGACTATGGCCGCGTTGTCGTCCGTCGACAACCATGGTCGCATGCTCAAGCGAGCCGATCCCAGCACGATTCAAGACAAATTCATGGTCGGCTATCAGGGATGGTTCACCTGTGCGGGGGATGGCCCTCCCCTTGGACCAGGCCACCATGGCTGGCTGCATTGGTTCAATTATCCTATACCTGATGGAGGGCGTCCAAACACGGACCTATGGCCAGACCTCTCTGAATACTCACCGTCGGAGCTGTATCCTGCTCCCGGTCTCAAGTACCCTAATGGGGAACAAGTGTTCCTGTTTTCCTCACGCCATCCGAGGACAGTACAGAGACACTTCCACTGGATGGCGCAGCATGGGGTTGACGGTGCCTTCTTGCAACGCTTTGCTGGGCAGACCGATCTGGAGGCTGGGAATGAAGCCATCAGGAATCAGCGTGACGAAGTGGGCGATCGTGTGAGAGAAGCAGCCGAGAAAGAAGGCCGAGTATTTGCAATCATGCATGTATTTTTACAAACTACCCAATCCCGTTGGTTGCTCACCGCGAATACAGGTATGATGTTTCCGGTGTGCCCCCTGACCGTATCCAGCGGGTCATTGAGCATGATTGGATGCACTTGATTCACGATAAGGGGGTACTAGACAGCCCTAACTACCTGCGCGAGCACGGTAAAGCAGTGGTGACCTTCTGGGGCTTCGGCTTTGCCGACTCCGGTCACGATCCCGCTGTCGTCCGCGCTATCACAACATTCGTTCGCAACAACACACCTGGCGGTGCATACATCATGGCGGGGACACCGGCCCACTGGCGAACATCAGTGAGCGATGCAGATACGAACCCGGAGTTTGTCAAGGTCTGGTTGGAAGCATTTGATGCAATCTCTCCTTGGACGATTGGAAGGTACCATAATGAGGAGACTAACAATTGGTTTGAGGATCAAAAGATTAAGGGTGATGTCGAGTTGATAAATGAGAGGAATCGACTCGCGGAGCAGGGACACCCCAATGCAAGGCACATCGACTACATACCGGTTGTTTTCCCAGGTGGATCGGTAAGAATTAACGTTGTTTGACAATGATATGTCTCACTTATCGTTCGGGACACCTCGCCTGTGTATCTGACGTCTTGACAGGGTCATAATCTTTCTGAAGGTAAATGGAAATGGAACGATGCTCCTCGCCAAGGTGGTCGCTTCTTGTGGCGGCAGCTATACAATGTTCGCCGACATGGCGTACGTACAATCTATGGGGCTATGTGGGATGAGTAAGTTCGATTCTGCTTTCGCTTCGTCACGAATCTGATGGAACCGGCGTGCCGCGCAGATATGATGAAGGGACGGCCTACCTACCCGTCGTGCCGCATAAGAGCCAATTGCCAGTATCGAAGACGCATAAGTTTATGGCACTTGATGAAGATGGCTACGATTTGCCTTCAGACTGGTGAGAGTCTAGTCTCTATCGACGAGATGATTGTGTTTTCTCAAATACGAGTAATGTCTAGGTACATGCGCGTTTGCTGCTTCGCTGCGGAAAGCCTTCGAGGCGAGCGCACGATTACCGAGACATTTCCCGAAAAGGAACTTAGAGATTACTGGTCGTCCCACCCGCGCTATGAGGAGGGAATAAGCAGGTTGCCGTTTGACGATGAATGTGGAAAGCAAAACCAAGCTGCAGATCAACGTGCTGAAGGTCCTCCGCCTCCTTATAACTTTGATACAGAAGGCGTACGTGCAAGTGCTCCAATTCCGCCGCCTTCAACACGGCCGATCAGCTCATCATCTTCCACGATCTCGTCCGGGTCCTCGTCTTGGCAGCCACCTCCGATCAACCCCAGTTCCCGTCCTACATCGTCAGGTCCTGGATCCAGCTCACAGTCGTTGAATTTGCTGGTGGATGACTTCAGCAGACAGTCCATATCTGACGGAAAGGCCGCTCGATTTGGAGCGCCTCCGCTACATCCAAATCATCCAGCTGCGAGCCGATCCGTTCCTCCAGAACCTTGGTCGCAGTGGCCTCCGTCCCAATGGGGAGCCCGCCCGCCTCCTCCACCGCGACCTACCTACACACCTAGTTACCTACCAGCTGCTCCGCCACCACCCCTTCGACCTCGGCCTTCAGCGTCGTCGGGCGGTTCACAATTTGGAGATGATGATCGTGCACGTCCTCAGCCGCCTTCTCAACATCAAACTTACGCCTCCGCGTCGAGCCCGCCATTTCCGCAACTCCCACCCAACCAACCTTATCCGCCCGAGGTCAGCGTTTGTTTTCACAGACTCACACGTCAGCGTCTCACGCACTCTTCTATCAAACTGTCAGGCTCCGTATCAGGGCTATTCCTACAGTCCGGGCCCTTCATCGCCGCCGCCCAACGCAGGCTACTACTCCCAAGCAGGTAAGCCTTTCCGGGGAAACTCAATCCAATCCGTACTAGTCTGACGTGCGTCACACCATGAGCTCCGCCCGGTGCCTTGTCTTACCAAGCTGGCCCACCGTATGGAGGGTATGGCGCACCGCCGCCGCCACGGCCGGGATCATACCCGTACCCAGGTCAGGCTCCAGCAGGCCGGCCGTCGCCGTCCTCCAACCCGCTTGAATATGCGACGAGTATGGTCAACCGTGGAGAGGTGCAGCTGAAGAACCTAGCGAACGGTAAGCTTTCGCAGGTGACGTCTGCGCGTACGTTCTGTGAAGCGCATATCTCATATCCGCTATGATCAGCTGGCACCAAGTTCTGGAACAAACGTACGAAGTGAAGAACGTTGACGTTGCGCGCGGATGCTATCAATAGCTCGTGAGTCACCTGGATGATGATCTCTTCCTTAATCCGAAGTCCATAGGAACGTTTTCAGTCACTCGCGATCTGCGCACTGGCCAGCAATGAAATCAACTGACATGATTCTGACGAACTGTGCCCAACATGCTACGAACTTTACAGAGACAATACATTAGCAGACATAAGATATGGCGAGGTTACAATATGGGTTTAGACGATCCAGACATTATATTATCGATGATCAAGTCCAACGATCAGCACCTATAATTACGCCACTCATAAGAGGTCGTCAAGTACATCCGTCGTAGATAGCACCGCAGTGCGAACGTCTTCTATACAACGCGGACTTCAGTCGGCGATCGGTCACTGAAGGAAGCACCACACGCACCATGGGCTGCGCGTTCGCAGCCGCCAAGACTAGAATATGAGAATCCTTCCTCCGCTGGTATTCATGACGTCCTTTCCCATCAGGCCTGGCCCGGGGAGCCTGCCCTTCCAGCCGTTGGGATGGTACGGAGTAGGAGAGAGGTTCTCGTCGAATGAGTCCCTTTCCTCGTATGCCTGGATGTTGCTGTCCTCGGCGGGCTGTACGGGAGGAAGGGGCACAGGAGTGCTCTTCACAATAGGTGTCAAGTCGAATAGTCTGAGAGAGTCCGGCACCCAGCGTGACGGGGAGGGCGCGCGGCGAATCCGCTTCGGCCTGGCCGCTCTGTCGGTGGACGCCGCGGGTGTGCTATCTTCAGACGATGTCGCGGGTTTGCGCTTGCGATTGCGACGGGGCTCTGTGGAAGCAGTGGTCGGGTCTTCAGGCTGTCCTCTGCCAGATGGCCCCGCGACCGGGGCCGCGTCGCCACCAGTGTCAGCGGGTGATTCAATGGAAGTCGACGCAGAGCTGGATGGTGTCGCAGGCACTTCAGCCCTGGCTGTTGCGGCTTGGTTCACCGGGCGGGAGGCACACTTTTTAGCGTGCCTGTTGAGATTAGAAAGCACGCCAAAGCGACGACCACACGTTTCGCAGGCGAAGGCTGGCATGACAGTCAGTAAATCGTTCCTCGGATGCGGAACGGTGAAAATACCTTTCTCGCCGGTATGCACGAGAAGATGCTGGATACAGTGCAGAATTGTTTGTAAGTGAACAAAATGATATTTGCTTTCAGTACGTACCTTCCTGAGTGTAGACGGTCTGCAACCGGATGACACATCGGTCAGCGTCGCGTCAATCTAAATAGCGAGATACGTTACCTGTCAAAGCTCTTATGACACATCCAGCACCCATGTTTCTTCTTCTCGTTGTCTGCGGACGTTTCGCCACCCTCCTGAAGCGGAGACGCACTGTCAAGAGCTTCTGGAGAACGGCTTTCAGTCTCTGCGACAACAGGAGCGGAAACTTCCGTGGACTGAGATGTTTCCGGGTAGTGTGTAGAGTATGTGATTGCCATTGCAGAAGGGAGTGGGGACCTTGACATCCATGGGGCCTGACTTTTATCTGCGGTTGCGACAGAACACGGCAGTGGGGTAGGAAACACGCTAAGCGGGAGCGCCGTCGAAGGAGCATAGGCATAGCTGGACCTGGTGGGAATGGATCCGGTGGCGTTCATGAAGTCGGAGTACATCGCCAGTCTGTACGATGGCTGGACCGTAGATGACGATCCCATCGCGAAGGAAGACGCTTGCGTGCCGTAAGCGTGCCAGGGCTGTACTGCTGCCTGTGGAGCTCCGAGCCGCACAAAGGGCGCTGTCGGGGTGTGCGACTGCATCCTGGACCTTGTGGCTGGCGACAGCAAGAGGACCTGGAGGTGCGTCGATCGCGAACGTGGCCCTGTCTCTGATTTATATATCGGGGCAGCAGCGCATTGCATGATTGATGGACGCGTGCGATGTCGTCCCAACTCGTCGTGCGAAGGATTCATTCAATGTAAACGTCTTCCGAACCCGCCAGCGATCCAGACATCATGCCTACCTCCGATTATCTTCCACTCGGATGCAGTCAATGCCCACAGCACGGTGAGAAGAACGGACACGCCCATATCAGATATCGAAGGCCACGCGATTGGGCGGGCCTGCCTGCCGTCCCAGCGCTCGCTCTCCTCTCCTGGTGCTGCTGCAGATTCCGGTGCGAGATAACGCCTCATGGAGCAAGGCACTCCAGACCTAAGTTTCCCTTCCTTCGGCGCCCTCCGCGGCCAATCACGTCGCCCTCAGAGATTCATGAATCTCTGCCAGACGCAAACTCAAACTAAGTCAGGGAGGCGCGACCCAAACGTAGCACGAAATGATGGCCCGTTCGATGCCTCGTGCCTCGCAGACTCGGCGAGACGCCCGTTTGAATATATTCACTTCGCCTGCTTCCGTTACGGGCACTTTGGCGGCTATTCGCAGCGCAATATACCTGCATGCATGTGGGCGCTGATCCGTTTCAAGATGTTCGGCTCGTTGTGAAGATTGATCGATTGTGAGTTACCGGCGGTAGCACGTCGGTGTTCAGACGAGCGGGTTGCACACTCACCAGGAGGGCCTTGCTGCATTCGCTTCATTCTCGAGGTAGTGGCACCTTGCCAAGGTGCATCGCCTATGGTTCACGTCGGCTAGCTGTAGGCAGATATGTCTCGACACCTGCGTCGGTGTCATAAAGACAACAAGCGGGGAAAGTCTGTCTCTGCAGTTGGAGCAGTATATCATCGCCGGCAACCGGTGATACTCTCATAGCAGGCAGGCCGGTGGCTTGTGGCGGAGAAGGGGACCATGCTGGCAGTGTGTGCCCGACCGTGTGGGAGTGTCTCGGTGGCGCACCATGTTGAGAAGGGTAGTGATGGGCATGGAGCGCGAACAGCGCTACGCAACAAAGCGTCTGAAGCGATTGATTGCGGTTGCTAGTAGGCATCTAATGACACCGCCGACGCAAGTCCTCGGGATAAGGCTGAGCAGAGCACTGGGGGACGGATAAGGCATAACATCATGGTTCTTGGCGAAGTTGGATACGGACGATCGTCATTTACGGCGTTACACCTGATGATCGCGTCGGTAAGGATGGCGTCTGTTGAGATCGGAAGCGTGTTCGCTTCATGGCAGCGCTCACCAGGCGTCATCCATCTCGTCCATGCGTTTCCTCCGCTGGCAGGGACCGGCTTTCATGCGCTGTGGTGGAAGGAGGTTTGACAACTGAGGATATAACACCAAAACAAGTATTCCATCACAAAATAGCTTTCGGAGCAAGCGCAGTGGTGACCGTGAAGGATGAGGAGAAAGACGATTGAATTGTGCGGTAACAACTCACCTGCCATTTGTGGCCTTGTAACGTGACACGCAGCGACTCGATCAACTCCGCGACAAATACGGCCACGGGCTCACCATCGTACGCGTTTCTGGAGACGCCTCGTAAATGAGCTTTGTGATTACTCTTAACTGCTTCAGGCCTGAAGTGCTAAGGCCTTAGCCTACCTTGAGGACAATACACGTGCCTTGAACGGAATTACTCGCACTATAATGCCCACCGGCAGTACCCGAAATCTCTCGACAGATGAAATGCTCAGACATGTTGTCCGGGCCTTTTTCCTTTTCATAGCACCTTCAGGACTTTATGTGCGCCCCTCTGCATTTCGCAATGGGTGAACTAAGACAGACATCCGATGCATGAGGGACGAGCGCTCAACATCACGTATTTTACACCCATATTAAGTCATGAGAGTCGGGATTTATTTACCTTAACTGTAGTCTTTCTTCTCACGCTTCCACTAAAGCCGGTACATCCACTGCTTGTCTAGTCTCCTTGCAGTTTACCCGTGCACAGCGGCAGTATGCCAGTAACGGCTTCGCAGAAGAGTGAAATCGAGAATGTCATACAGGCACTGCTCAACACGACCAGCTCGCGCAAGAAAAGACGGCTCGCCGACATGTTCTCGGAGCTGCCGGATAGAGATTCCTGGCCAGAGTACTATGAGGTTGCCACAGCGTTTGTACCGCGTTGTACGAAGTTATTGATTCTGAAACGTCGGCTTCAGGTTATTCCCGAGCCTCGCTGCATCTCCGGAGTGGCAGCAGACCTGGAGAAGGACAAGTACAAAGATCCGTTGGACGTCTACAACCACTTGAGCCTCGTGTTCTACAACGCGCTCTATTACAACGAGGAGTCGTCTCAAATTGCTAAAGATGCGGCGATGCTCAAGGTGGGCCTCTACTCAGTTTAGCATCGCAAACCACCTCATCGATAGTAGAGCGTCCTAGACAATGAGTGGAAGCAACGTTCCGTCTTGCCGATCCCACGCACATCACCACCGCCTTCCTCTGCCCAGAAAGTCTATGCGAATGGTCCCACAGCTGGGCCACAGCCAGCTCAGGCTAGTACAGTCCAGACCACGCTGAAGACCGAGCCAGCACCAGCCATGTCGTCGCCCACATCTGCCGTTCCTCCCTCCGAAAAGTCACCCGAGCGACAACCGTCGCCGGACATGGACGTTGATGTTGGCGGGACACCTGAGCCGGAGGGCCCGCCCACCGGCACGCCGAGGGACGGAGCGAGTGACGAGATTGTGAGGCAGCTCGAGAAGGGGTTGCCGAGATGGGAGGGCTTTGCTGATGTCGGGTGGATGGAGGAAGTAAACCCTGTGAGTTCACGAGAGATTGGCGTTTTGGCTTTTCGTTAACCTCTCGTCAGGATCGCCATATAGAGATCATCACGGGCATCCGAGAGTATGAAGACGCAACGTGAGTGTTGCCTTTTCGTGTACTGTGAGTAGTCATCAACATTGCGACTACCAGCGGGTTTCGCCTCGCGGCGAGCCTCGAGGCAATGCCTGAGGATGTCGCCATTGCAGAATTGCCTATAAACGTCAGTGTACTGTGACTACATTTAAGCATTTTGTCTCACGCGCCTTGCAGCGGCCGCTCTCCTTGTCCTTGATTGAGGCGCGTTGTTTGCTTCTCTCGGTCGCTTTACAGATCCGCTGAATGTAGCATCGCAGAGCAGAGTAAATTCCAAGCATTACCCTTCCTCAAAGGCATTTGACCGAGAGGTGTCCGAGCTCTTCCTCAAGGCGCGCAGGTGGTATGAGCCTGGAAGCGACGCATATGGGCATTTGCTCACTCTTCAGGTAAGTGTGAAGACATGTTGTGCCTCGGCCGTGGTTTACATCCAGTAGAGGCTCTACCATGCCCTCACGTCTCTGAATCCGCCGCCAGGCCCGCCCTACACCTCCACCACGTACTTTGCGTCACTGCGTGCAGGACCGGGCACCGCGAAGCCCCTGCACACGACCGACACGGAAGGCGTCCCGGGCGTCACTACCTTCAGGGTCTCGACGAAGGACAGGACGTTCGTCGACGAGGTCCAGTTCAAAGGATGGAGTATACGCCTGGCAGATTGGTTGCACTTGAGCAATCCGGACGATCCTAGCAAGCCGATCATTGGACAGGTCTTCAAGTGTTACATTTCTGACGAGCCGTGCGTAAGGCTGAGCATCTCAACCTATGCATAAATAACGTCCTTTCAGTGCGAGGAAGGGCCAACCTGGTCTAACTGTGTGCTGGTACTTTAGGCCTGAGCAAGTGAGTTTTCGTCAACCTTGCACATACAGCGGCTTCTGATGTCCGTCAGACATTCCACCCTGCTCACCGTCAATTCTGGGAGAACGAGGTGTTCAAGACCAGTGCGGTCACCTATCTCTCTCAATGAGATCCTATAACTAATCGACGACTTGCAATCAGGTCATTTTGCAGATCACCCGCTAGAGGATGTCATTGAGAAGATTGCCTGCCAGTTCACCGCACGACATATCCGTGGTCGACCGAGACCGCCCTTCTGGTACCCCGGGTGGCCGCTATACGTGTGTGACTCTCGGTACAACGATCGCGAGCGGATCTTCGTCAAGATTAAGAACTGGAACTCGTGCGTGCCCGAAGAGGTGCGGAAGAGCACTGAGTTCATGCCCATCTACCCGTTCGAAGACACCGTGTTCCCGCGACGCTTCGCGAGCCCGTTTCTTTCGGGCAAGAACGCCAGAGGACCGGGCGGGATCGGCGACGTCGTCGAGAAGGCGGAGGGCGAGCGGGTCGAAGGTGGCGGGACGGGGAGGAAGCGGCCCAAACGCAACGCTACCGGGAATAATACGATGACACTCAGTAAGTCGGAGCTTACAGATCGCTCCGGGCCGAGCAAGGGCCTTTATGTGGGCGTACCTGCAACGCAGACGACGCCCGCGGCCACCGTAGCGCAGACAGCCCAGCCGCAATACTCCCAGCCGGAGTTGGCGCAGCCGCGTAGCGGACCAGATACCTCGATACTTAATGCTGCTGGGGGTGCGAACAACGTCCTGTTGGAGAAGCTTCCGCCTGAGACTGGTGGGCCAATTCACTATTTGTCCTTATCGTATCGATGCTGATTTGCTTCAGCGAGACACTTCGATCGAGATCCTGTCACGAATGAGGTGCTGTGGTTCGCTGCACCGCCAATGGACCTTGCGCGCACCCCGACGCCTCGCCATAGCTTGGCGTACCTACATTTCCTAGCGAGCAAGAGGAAGAAGGCGCAGCAGGCGGGCGATGCGATGGAGGTTGACGCGGAGGAGCCAGTATCGAAACGTCACAAGGCGCAACCAACTATGACTGAGACCGTCGACAGGATAATGGCACAGTTCAATGCTGACATGAACGATGCCACAGGTCGATAGCGTTGATGTGAAATGTATGCATATGATACTCTAACTGACGTATTTGTCATGTACATAGTTAAAGATGTCGCCTTACCGTGCGAACTATCTACAGTATTCCTGCTTCATGGAACGTCTTCCCCCCCGATTCTCAGCATACGAGTGTTACTCATAGCATCGTGGTCTCCTGCATTGCGGCTGTGGCGTAGCACGAGATACGGGAGTATGTTTGCGCTTGTATGTCATCGCCTTCGGAATCTAACAAAGCCAAACATCCGCATTCATTCGTGAGCATGTCCTCGTATCGTCCTCGTGCAGCCCATCCGCCTCATCGCAGCACGACCGCGACCACGAGAATACATTCATCATGGAGCTCGGGACCAATCTGACAGCTAAGCTGGAGCCGTTCTTGCTGATGTCTAAATCGGCGAAGGGTGCTGCAGCAGCTAAGCTCATTCAAGACGCCACTTCCGCGCCGGGAGTGTATGTGTTCGCTGAGTTGCTTGAGATGCCTAACATCCAAGAGGTATGGATAAACGGACGGATATACACTACCGAGACTTGACACTCGATCCAGCTTGCAACCAGTGAACAGCACTCGCAGCATCACTCGCTCCTTCAGTTGTTTGCCTACAAGACATACCAGGACTACCTTCGTTGAGTTCGTCTTTCGCAGATCATGTCGTGTCTAGCCTAATTAGCAGCATGCAGAATACAAGGATTCATTGCCTGCACTGAATGTTGCTCAGATCACGAAACTCAAGCACTTGACCCTTGTCTCTTGTGCCATGGACTCTCGCGTACGATCGCCCAACTTCCGCGGATATAGCCAGTCGCTGACGCCATTCCGTAGATCCTTCCATATTCGCAGCTACTGGAGACGCTGCATATGCCTAACATACGCGAACTGGAAGACCTCATCATTGATGCGATCTACCTTGACATCATCCGCGGGAAGTTGGATCAGAAGGAGCAGCAGTTTGACGTCGAGTATACTGTGGGAAGGGATGTTGAACCTGGAAAAATTGAGAAGCTGCTCGCGTCGCTGCAAAGCTGGTGCGTGTGCTGCCTGTTGGAGTGTGACGCGATTGTCCTCAACGTCTACCCTCAGGGCATCAACGACATCCGACGTGCTGGCTGCCTTGGACAAGAAGCTGAACGAGTTGGCTTCTGATGCGGTCACGGCCAAGACAAAGAAGGAAGCATACGACCAGGTGTACGAGACGACCTTGAAGGCGGTGTTGGAGAAACAAAAGGAGATCAAGGCTAGCATCCGGGCTGCTGCCTACCCGGGACGCACTGGCCTGACTGCAGCTGGAATTGCGGAGAGGGACAGGGAGAGGGAGCGCGATCGACAACGGGAATTGGAGAAGCAGAAAGAGCAGGAGAGGGCAAAGGCTCAAGCCGAGGGCAAGGAGCCGGGCGGCAGTCAGGACAAGGACAAGGACAGCATGGATGTCGATGAGCCCGCAGAGAATTCCAAGGGCAAGAATAAGAAGTGATTGCTGAATATCGTCGCTGTCGCACGCATATACTCACAATGTTGTATCCCCTTAGAGCGCCGCAGCAAGAAGCAGCGCAACAACAGCATCATAGAAAGCGTAATCGACCTTGAGCATGTTCTGTCCGTGCGTTTCTGCAGACCATGTAGTTGCTACGTCGACCCTGTATAGCGCCATTCCTGTCTTCCACATCTCAATCTGTAGGATTGTCACCCATTGTATATCTCACAGCGACGCACACTTTCCGTGCACTCAGATGTACATGCCACTTGGTCGCCGAGTGCTTGGTCGATCTCGCTTGATCTGAGATCCTCCTCGATCGCGTTGACTAGTCTCGACCCGGAAGAAACACGCGTTCTTTCGTGCGAACAATCACCACGACATGATAGTGCTGTGGCGACGGGCACTTCAGAGGTTGATGTGAACGGGACAGTGCCATGGCGCAGCAAACACAATCACCAAAGTCGTCGTTAGTTGGACAAAGCATATGCACATCATATAGTCAAGATCAGTCCCAATCCTTGTACTACTCTCAGGACAAATGTGCAAGGAGTGGTAGCTCGTGCCGAGTGCGCAATACTCACGAAATCTTTTTTGGCAGCCCAATCTGTAAAGCATCTTTTAGAATGCCTACCGCTATCACAGGAAAGCGAAAGGCCCCTTCTAGCAACCCTGGCTGATATAGCTGATGCTCTCGCTATTGACGATTTGTCGTTTTCGCAGTGAGTGTCCAAAAACTCTGTCTGATATTGCGCTGGATATATTCTCCTTTCTCAGTTTCGCAACTGCGATCTCCGAGCTGTCCTCACAAGAAGTCTCTACCAGGCGTTCATCTCTGCACATGCGGCATGCACGGGATGAGCTTTCTATGCACCTAGCAATAGCTCAGCATGAGGAGATGCTCATCAAACGGTAGGTAGATTAAGGCCGCACTTTCATGATGAGTCAGGATGAGGCGGTTGTCCCTTGCATAGATGGTTGGAAGTCTTGCAGGCGGAACCCAACGCACAAGATGGCACGTCCGCGTTGGAAAAGCGGAAGCAGGCGCTGCATGCAAAGGCAATGGAATACAAGCGCGAGACAGACTCTTTGAAGGCAATAAATTTATTTGACCCTACCTTGTCAGCTGCTTACATTGAGAGTATAGCAACAACTGCCACAGGACCCGCCTTGTACGATCTCAGAACTCTCTGCATTCCAGAAACAATTGAAAGACAAAGAGAACACGCTCGCAGAAAAACGTAGGAAAGTGGAAGCATTCCAGGGTCTTCCCGCGGTGAGCTGTACCCGTCGAACATCTTGTCCGTGCGCTCAACGTGATGGGTCTTCGAAGAACATTGAGCTTGCGCGTCATGAGCTACGCATTGCTAGAGACGAGCAAATGAAACTCATCCAGTTGAGGGAGAGACTATTGGACCGCATGGCAGTTGGAATGTCTTGATGGCCTCGCGTCTCCCGTTAATCCACCGCATCTTGTCATCAGGGGGTCCCGCTGCATGACATCACAAGGCCTGAGTTTACCTTACTCTGAAGACGAGTTTTGTGACAATGGCGGATGTTTTCACCATGGATATCTATATCAGGATTCGGGACTCGCTGTTTTGACACGTCAATGCTAGCTAGGACCAAAGGCCTCTGAAGAATAATTCTCGGACTCATAGCCTCAAATTGCACGAATGCATCCGAGTCAAACCAGACCGAGATGCATTCAATAGGGTTTGGCAAGTAATATTGCTCCAAGAGTTTGTAACGTCCACGTGCTGCGAAAGACACCCGACCTGAATTTGATCGCGTTGCAAACGCTGATTTTGACCTTTGTCTGCGACTCGGGACTTCAGCAAACTTCATCGACTCCTCACTTCACACTTGATAGCTGTTCTCGGGTACTAAGAACACAGTAAATCAGTGGAACCGGTAAGTCATGCGTGGTCCAAGGAAGCATGGTATCACTAAGGTCGTCTGCTCTGCTCATTGGAAGCAATGGATGCGTTACCTTCGTCAATGTTGAACGCAATGACGGCGACACAGCTCGCGAAGGAGACACTTGCTAAAGTAAAGACAGAACATCTACTTTCTAGGTGTGTTCTGCTTCTATCGACACGCACAATTTAGCTGATACCGTTACTTCGAAGCAACGAAAAGGTTGGTTGCCAAATACTCCTTTTCTCAAGCAGACCCAATCGTTGACCGAAACATATGAAGCTGCAAGACTTGAGTGAAGTCCTGATGCGCTCTATGTCAATCGTGCGAAGCACGTTGAACTCTCGAGTACCGATAAATCGTTTACCTCCGGAGGTCCTTGGGATGATTTTCGAATTTGTCCCTGAGTTCCCTTCTGACGAAAGTTTGGAGACCCTCGTCCATCGCATCTGGGGCCCATCTTCGCGCAATCCTGAGGATTCCCTCATTCTCTCTCATGTGTGCCGTCATTGGCGCGCAGTCGCCACGGGATTACCCACTCTCTGGACGAGTATTGATGGAACTCTCGCCTTCCCTCCATCAACGATTCTAAAGCGAGCTGGTTCGCTTCCGCGCAACATCTTCTTACTCAACGAAATTTCCAACTTCGTGGATTATTCGTTCTTTGATGGTCCGAATTTCCGGGAGCTTCTTTGGGACTCGGTAGATATCGAGGAGATGACTGAATGTCTCCAGAGCCCAGCCCCAATGCTAGAAAACCTCGCTTTGAAGGCGGACATTCCCATACATAGCGCGAACCATGTACACAGAAAGTCATTTTCGCTCTTCATGAATGAAACCCCACGCTTGCGACGGCTAGCCCTGGAATGCTTCCCTGTCCTGCCGACTAATCGCTTCACCGGTCTAACACACCTTCATCTCGCCAGTTGCGTAGGTGCCCAGATCTTGTCTGGCATTCTATCCATGCTCGCGGGAACCCCTGGACTGTTGGAGTTAACGCTATACGGCATCGTTGTACCTTTCGGGTCGCCACAGTCCAATCTTCCCACAGCCGAGCTGAAGCATCTACGCCGGTTCTTCTATTTCGAAATGGCGCCTGCGGTCACTTCTCTACTTCTCTCCCATATCAGCTTGGCACCTGAAACGGCGGTATTCATCACCTATGCTCGTCACGAGTCCCGTATCCTCGTCCCACAAGTGCAAGACTTCCCATCCATGCAGGACGTGACGAAGCTTTTTGTAAGGGTTGCACGCTCCGGCATCGTGGTCGCTGCCGTCAGCTCGACATCAGGAGTCATGCAAGAGCTACGACCCATCTGCCTGCATTACAATTCAATAGCCGCTCTCGAGACACTTGCAACTTCCATACCCATGGCCCAGATCCGCGAAATGTGGATCTTGGACGATAGCCACGAATTCGAAGACCTCCTGATGTATGAATGGCTTGGAACAGCGGACAGCATCGAGACATTGGTGATGTTCGACCACAGCGTCTCGTCCATCATCCAGTCTGTCGCATGGGCTCGAGACAGGCAGAGCATCGCCAAAAATAGCCTGCCGACCTTGCGGGTGCTCTTGCGCGATCCGCTTGCAGCGTCGATAGCTATGGCCGAAATAGTCGAGCACCATGAGGAGCATGGGTTCACTCATCTATGCCTGGAGTATCTGCCGAAGTTCAGAGGGGAGAGTGTAGACCACATGATTCCGCGTGGTCTATTCCAGTCTGTTGAGATCGAACATCTCACTGCAAAACCCGAGATGGCGATGCCGGAAATCTGTAGGACGACAGCGCATGACTGCTGGCCTCCGTGGGATGATGTACTGCTGCTGCCGTCGTCTATGAACCTTTTTCCGACTATGGCGCATCCGATGCAATATGTTGGTACAGGGCCGTTCTAGAATTGATGCATGATGATATGGTGGCGTTGAGATTAATTCTCTACTTGTATCAAATAACTATGCCCCTCTTGCTTGATGCATGTTGTATGCGATATGTGACCGTCGTCTCGGAATAACAGCGGTAAATGCGCGTGGCGACGTGTCTCGGTCACGTGTGACAATGCAATATCCGTGCTCGTGGCCCTTGCCCTCGAGAGGGAACAGAACACTCGCCCAAGATTCACCGGCACCAACCGTCCAGCTTTCAGCTCTGCGGCTTCGCTTCTGACATTTTGATCAGCACGTTGTTTGTCTGCCCTACGCACCGCGCGAGCCATGTCTCTTGCAAGCGTCTGATCCTAGAAGATCTGTCGCATAGCGGGCCGTGCTGCAATCAAAATCCCAGCGTGCCTTGTACATTTATTTCCCGTGAGTGTGGGATCTGCATTCGTTCCTTAGCCCATTTCCTTCTACTGCTCTGAAGTGTGTAGCACTCGCCCTTTGTACTGTCATTATGTTGGAAGGAACGAGCGTCGACGATGCCATCCGGGTCGTCGCCGCACCCTCTCAAGCCTCCTACTTCGCCGGCGAGCCGTTCACTGTCACTATCACATTCACCAACACTCGCAGCCCCGATGCTCTCCACCCACGGTCCGCCTCTCATTCTGTCTCACACGCGCACAAACGCAGCGCGCATTCTATCAGTTCTGTGCCTCTTGCTCGTCCTCCGACGTCTCCTGGGATGACGCGTTCTGCTCTGTCGACAATGCCGACCAGCCTTCCTCCGCGTCACTCCGGACCGAACAGAGTGCCTACTAGAAAGGGCCTCATTGGAAGGAATCGCTCAGCGAATGGAGTCAACGGGACAGATGGTCCGCCTACTGAACCTGCCGTCAGGAAGCCGATGTCCAAGTCTTTGTCCATCTCCGTCACGTCTTACGATCTTGATCCCAAGCCGCAAGAACCTGCGAAGGGCAAATCCCCGCTAAGCCAGGTGCGAAACGGCGAGTCTCTGTATCCTAGTGAGTCCCACATGTCCTCTGCGCATCAATTACTACAGCTTGCGCCGAATCAGCGCCAACGTCTCCCCATATATCGTCTCCTCTCACTCGCTCTGTATCCTTTCCCGTATCGCCCGATCACCCACACGCACGGAAGCAGTCAATATCAGTCGGGCAGGCTCAGATCCAAGACGTCCGTTCTCCTTACCCTCCGACGCCCAGCGCATCGACATCCAATCATTCTCTTACACTCGATACTATCTCTGAGAGTTCTTTGTCTCTCGTCATGCCGCCTCTCACACCGGCGATTCCCTCACCTATTCCAGAGACCGCGCCTTCTAATATCCGGACGCAAATGCCCTCAATACCGACTGGTATAAACGGTAAAACAAACGGTACAGTGGGTCCTCGAGCACCAGCTCGCCGACCCCCACAGCTCGGCCACGGGCCACCTCCAATACCTGGCGGGTCTCAGCAACCGCGCAGCGCACTCTCAGCATCCTTTCCAGTCCCAAATACTGAACTGATCCTCTATTCGTACGCTCAGCTTGTTGGAACACTTTCGCTTGTACCCCCTCCTGGGACAGTTGGCACCCCGGAGCAAACGCGCATGCTGAACCACGTCAGGTCGAGTCTTCTCAAACGCCAAGTGATGGGCGGCGGTAGCATGGACATCACGCCGTCGCTGAACTCACAGCCATTCTCTCAGTCGTCCTCCGCCCACCTCGGCCGGCACTCGCGCTCACGAAGCGTGTCTGTCACCTCCTCACTCTTCTCCATGCTCTCCCCATCGGCCGCCTCGGCCACCCAGTCTTTTGCGCCATCGCACCGTGCCCGTGCGCCTTCCGTGTTCTCGCTCTTCTCGACCCAGACGAGCACGGTCGCGACGAGCGGAGTCGGGCTGGGCTTTACAGGCAGCGAGGGCGGTGGCGAGGACGAGGACGAGGTAGACCCGGAGACACCGCTGCCGACGTTCGAAGTGCAGCCGGCCATGCTCGCCGTCGACCTCAGCCTCGCGCCGGGCGAGTCGCGTAGCTGTGCGTGAGTTTTCCATTCTCTGTGTGCGCGCGGCAGCTCATCCTCACGCGTTCGCTGCGGCAGATACGTACACGCTGGTATTACCGGAGAACCTGCCCCCGACATATAAGGGACGCGCGCTGCGGTTCTCGTACCAGTTCATACTGGGCGTGTGTCGGGCGTCGAGTTCTGGAGGGCGGCGCCCATCTGCGGGAGGCCTGGGGGCGAACAGCAGCAGTAGAGTGATGAAGGTACCCATACGGGTGTATAATCATGTTACTGGTGAGTCAACTAATTGACTCTGAGAACCTACTGATATGGACTACATGTAATGATTTCTGCAGTGGGACGCCCGCCATGTCCCTACGATCTCCTGTGGCCCGTGTCATTCTGGAAGATGCGTGGAATGCAGTGCTCGCCAAAGGTGATAGAAGAGCTGAAGCATCCAGCCAAAAAGCAGCGGCAGGCACCGGCGATCTCTCCAGGTGCGCGCCTGCCTAACTCGAACTCCAGTTGTCCTCGCTCAATCCATTTGTAACCCAGAGGGGAAGGTTAATCCCGAGTCGTTCGAGGATTTACAGAGCTACGCGAAAAATCTGCTTGCATCGATCAAGGATGGCGGCGGACGGCCACACTGGAACGGGAAGTTGCCAATGCCAATACCGATCGAGACAGTCGACCTCGAGCAGGATAGGGACCGCGAAGAGGCCGGTGGGCTGTCGGGTTGTCGGCAAGCGGTAGATTTGCTCACGCGGAATCCGCGGAAAGGTAAGTGTTGCTAGAATCGCGATGTGAGCAGTCTTGCTGACGGGCGCGACGATAGCGTCGTATGACGTGAACAAGGATGGTGTGAAGGTTGCTGTGCTTACCTTCACTAAGTCTGCATATCGACTTGGGGAGACGGTGCTTGGTGTCGTAGAGCTGAATGAACGGGCGAGCCGGGCAAAGGTACTCAAGGTGCGTCGTGCCGTGCACATAATCATGTTATTCTCTTGCCAAACTACAAAGCACTAACCGTATGCTAGCTCTCTGCGATGCTCGAGGCACATGAGTCGCTCCCTAGCGCGCTCTCCTCGCTGTCGCCGGCAGCAGCCCGACAGTTACGGCGTGTACATGCGGAACACCACAATTCTTTCATGCCAGCGACGCTACGCACGACGTTTGCACTGGACATTCCACCAGACGCGACACCCGCGTTCCAGGTGGACGTCAGCGCTGGACCTGATCACCGCCCTGGAGGACTGGAATGGAAGGTCCGGCTGTGCCTGCTCGTCGCAGTGGCGCAGCCGACATCAAAGGAGGGCCCCGGTGGGCTGCGGCTGCGACACCTGGTAAGGGACGGTCCAGGTGGCGAGTGGGGTTCGTCGTGGAAGGCAGCGTGGACGATTGCGCCGATGGAGAGACCGGACTTGCACGCAGAGGCTGAGGCAGCGAACGCGCCGGGACAGATGCCGAGCGCATCGGGGTCATGGTTATCGTACTTCACGGCACCGCTGCTGGGCCCTGCGACGGGGTATCATGACGGGGACGAGGTGGATGAGGAGAAGGAGGGAGACGATACGGTGGGCGAAGAGGGTGAGTGGCGAGAGGTAAGGACAGAGGTGGTCGAATGCGAGGTGCCGATACGGGTATGGCCGGGGAACACGGCGTTCAAGGCGACCGAGGTGATCTTTGACGTTTAGCAGCTAGGATAGTCAGCTCGAGTGAGTGCAAAGACCGTGCGACGGTATCTTGGAACGTGGGCCGCAGTGCGCGAGTATCAACGCACGGTTATTCATTTCATTCGCGCTCGGTGTCTTGCATGGTTGAGTGCCGGCGGTGGGGAACGCTTTGGGAAGATCGTCAGGACCCAGGCGGGCGGAGACTTTGGTGGGATGATATTCTGTGGTGCGGGGAGGAGATAACTCGGCGCTCTATATATTATATATTGTTTTTGTCCCCGGCATCAGCCTAGCATGCACACGATGCTGTCAGCGGTCCTGGGCGTGGGTATCGCTCTCCGTACTAGTCCATACCGCCAGACAATTATGCGCTGATGCCCAAGCGGCGGCGACGAGTGCGCCCGGGCTGCAGGGGGTCGGATCATTGTGAGAGTTGTGGCGAGTGTGCATGAGTGTCTGTCAGCTGGGAGCGTCGAGGATGGAGGTTGTTCTGGGCGGGGTCGAGCTAGCCGGAGAGAGCAATTGAGTCGAGCGTGCAGGAGGGGCGGGGCAGTGCGCGTGTCCGTCTTGTGACCGCGGCCTGGGGCACAGGGGCGCCTGTCCCCCGCTCTCCTGACTCGCCCGGGCGACTGGCCATGCTCGACGTCGCCCTCTCTTGATCATCCACTATATCCTCGTCCTCGTCGCCTCTGTAGACCCCACTGTAGCCATCGCCAACGCACGCATCGCCCGCACCTGTACAACGCACTTACGTAGACCTTCGAGACCGAGATCCCGTCTAGACTGGGCCGCTTAGACTTTCGTCTCCCGCGTTAGACTCAACGACTCACGACCCGCTTCTGACCGCATCTATAATGTACGTCGTCGGTTTGGCTCGCATTTTTCCTCGTTCTGCTCACTTTCATTCCCTAGACTGACGACTGTAGAGGCCCGTGTCTTGCCAGCGGCGAGAGGAGCACGGTAATAAACTAGATCCATCCACCGTCCCCGACAGCATCAGCAGCCGTGGCGTCCGCACAGACTCTCGCTCAACTCCGCTCTCTCGGCCTTCCATCAGCCGCTACCATGCAGCAGTACATTTCCGACGATGCTGATCGCCAGAATCGGTTCCTGTCCGACCATGGCACAGAAACGCCCAACAGCCTCCGTGAACGCGCCGCGAGCCAGCCCCCGAGGACATCCAGCCATGCGTTCTTCTCTTCTCCAATGCAGCCTACGAGAAACCCTTCTGGCGGCGTCTGGCCTCGTCTCTCAGGCTTGAACCCTAACAATATCAATGGTGCTCTTCCTCAAAGCGTTCCCACGCGCCACGCTTCCTTCTCTTCCTCTCCTCCTGCCAACTCGCTCACCTCTGTCATGCGCGAGTCTCGCTTTGCGTCCACGTTTGAGGATGACGAGTCCGAGGCGCTTTCCGACATTCAAGACGCATACAGCGCGGATCCGTACGATCCTTACGACGACAGGTTCAACCGCCCTTCCTACCAGAGCTCGCGCGGCCGCACGTATGCAATCGACCTCACACGCAGCAGGTCGCAGTCCCTCGCTACCTCTCGGCCGGGCGCCATAGGCAGCGGTCTCCCTCACGGTTCTTCCAGCCTATGGAATGACTCCGTTCTTTCTAACGCGAAGAACATCCCAACCTCTCGGTACAACGGCGAACTCAAACCACCTGGAAGTAGCCGATACGGTTCCCTCGGTGCAATTGCCAGGTCATCTTCCACTGGATACGGGTCGATCACGGATCCCTCGAATATGAGCCCCTTCGTTCGAGATGTGGGCCAGATCCTTCTCGATGATGGATCCGCCTTCCGCGAGCTCTGGGCAGGGATGAATCCCCCGCGAGATGAAAACGGCGGCGGCGGTAGTGGAACTACCAGCCGGCGTCATAGCGTAAGCGTGGTGCAGTCGCGAAGGCCGACTATAGTTGGATTCAATGCCCCAGCTGCGAATGGGGGCGATGGTCCGGAGGAGATGAATCGCCCTGGGCCCTTCCACTCTGCTACCTTCGCCGGCGGAGGGGGACTCATGATCTCTGACGACGAGCTCGCAAGCGACCTTAACATGCTCAGCTTCCGAGACGACGCTTCACGCGATACCACCAACGCCCGCTCGCCGCCATCTACCCTATCGATGCAACCCCCAAGCCAGCCGTCTTCGCTCCCGATCTACGCACCTCTCTCGCGCAGTCCGCCCTCAGCGCGGGAGCGCCTTTCGCCGTACCAGCCGCTGCACCTCAACATACCCAGTGGCTCCTTTGCATCTCGCCAGCCGACCGGCTCGCCAAGCGACAGCGGACTCTCAGGCGGGAGTCCTTCGCGTGGTGGGCACGTTGACAGTTATGTGCAGGAGGGCATCGCGTTCGGCGGTGCGCGCCAGGCGCGGTTCGTCCCGGGCCAGGGCATACAGCACATTCCCGAGCAATCCGTGCTACCGTCACCGCTTTCCCCCGTAGGCGTGCGCTCGAACGGACACTACGGGCAAGGCCCCACTCACGCACTCGGTCACCCGCACTCGCCGCAGATGCAGCGGCGTCCTTCGGATGCGAACAAGACGTTGAATGACCTGGGCAAGGGCGTGCCGCTGCACTCGGTGCCGACGTCGTGGCCATTGTTCATCGTCGAGTTCAAGGCAGGGCGGACAGACTTGTTTTACTCCACCGACCTCACGCAGGATCACATCCGTGTGGGCGACCTCGTCATCGTGGAGGCGGACCGTGGAAAGGACTTGGGCACGGTCATCAACGACACCATAACGCTCGCAGAGGTAGAGGCGTTCCAAAAACAGCAGAAGCTGATGAATATTGGGTATGCGGACGCGCATGGCGTGCCGACGAGCCCGAGTGGAAGTGGCCCGAGCGGGAAGGAGATCAACCCGAAGGTCATTTTCGGAAAGGCGACAGCGGCGGATATCCAGTGAGTTGGGCTTTTAGTGCAGTCTTACGTGCGATATTGACTGATTGATGCGTGGAAGGACGCTCGCCATCAAGTCACAGGATGAAAACAAGGCACTGGAGCTGTGCCGTAGCAAAGTGCGACAACGTAAGCTTCCGATGGAGGTTGTCGACGCAGAATACCAATGGTGCGGCTCTCAATGTCTGTTGTTATGGCGCATATATTGACTCATTTTTCTCGTAGGGACCGTCGGAAGCTCACATTCTACTTTGTCGCTGAGAAACGGATCGATTTCCGCGAACTCGTGCGGGAACTGTTCCGGTGAGTGCACAGATGCCCTCTCACATCGTTTGCGCAGAGCTGATGCTGCGTCGTAGTCTGTACAAGACTCGAATTTGGATGGCCTCTCTCGGCGGCGCCGGAGGCTATGAGCAATGATTCTCTTGTATGTCAACGTCATGACCCGCCCGCTCTCGCGGCGATGACCGACTGATCACCCTACTCACGTTCCTCAAGACAATTGACCTGTTCAATTCAAGCGCATTTAGATATGCATATATCGTAGTTGGGTTATACCTCTTCTCGCTCTCCGTCTCTTTGTTCCATTACCACGTCTAGTGCTACTGTTTGCTGTCGTGTTGTACGCTACCGAGTCGAAAGCCCAAGCCCCAAGAGGACCTCTGTGATTTGTTTTCCAGATACAGCCCATCTTCACCCGTATTCCCCTCTACACATCCAATGCTATACTGTACATTAGTTTCCCCGCCGTATCTGCGTGTCTCTCTGCTCGATATACATCTTACCCCATTCCTATACGGGCCATGGCGCCGGTAGAGTGGGAGCGACGGACATTGCAGCAGTGCGTGCGTTCGTGCGGACCTGTCCAGTAGTGCGGAGTCTCATCTGACTGTCGATGCTCTTCTCCCGCGAATCAATGTATTACTACTGTATATCAATGCACTTTGCAGGTGACCCTTTCGTAGACCGCATGACTCGCCCCATGATGTACGATTCGCGCTGTCTTCCACGATGGGGAAGGTGACGGGGTTCTCTGATGGTGTGTGTACGCCGCCAGGGACGCGGCGTTCGTTACTTCGAAGGTACCCTTGGTATCGCCTTTCGCCGGAGAGAAGGTAGAATGGCCGTGCACCGTTTTGGAGAGCGCGTTGTACTCGGAGCCTTCTTGGGCTTCCTATCGTCGCGGACTCGCCTGGAAGCTGACTAGAAGCTCTCGTGTAAGTCTCCTTTGTGAATCGGTGTCGCTTTTTGATCATCTCAACCGATGCATCTTTTGGCAGCTCCGCCGATCCAGCTACCTGCGTATACGCGCATGCAGCATTAAGCATCTTCAGTGGTCTGTTGCTAATTTGATTTTCGCACGTCGACTATGCGTTGGCTCCGGCGAGGTTGACCGTAAAAGTGAGTGCATGACCTACTCAGCGGTGCATTGCACGGAAGCTTGTGAGCACGTTCAAGTTTGTGAGCGTAGGAGAAGTTCTGCTACCACCAATGTTCGATCAGGGACATCCTACAGAATTCTCAACACGGACTTGGTCCAGCCACGAAGTCAGGATTCCTCCCCCCTCGTGATCATATGTTGCATCGCGCAAGCGATATCACTGGTCATTCAGGGCATCAGGTCCCTGATCCCGGAGACCATAGAGCTTGCTTTCGATTACGAGCTTTTTAAGCTCGTGAAAACGAAGTCCGTCAGCGAGTTGACGGAGACGCGCTGGGCAGAGTGTCGGTCGATGGCCAGACGAATTGTTCTGGTTTCTGTATTACGACTGAAAAGAACAAACAGGCCTCGCCAGTGCCACATGACGGGTACCGGCATATGTCCGCATTCAATGAGTCGCAGCTGCCATTGTACACGAACACAGTCGGTTTATCTCATACAGCAGAGTCCGGCAGAGTGGGAGTGGCGACCCACAGCGTATGCGCATTTACTAAGTGAACTGGTTCCTCTGATTGTTGTGATCCCATTGTGCAAGTCAATGCACTAATATTGTAGGTCCAAGTCAATAGGCTTCTTACGTTTGCGAAGCTTCTCAAGGTTAGTTTATTCAAGCTTCAAGCTATACAGTATTAAATTAAACACTCATTTTTGGGCTCTTATTCTGCATTGTAAATCAGGAGTCCCTTCAATCGGCGAAGTATAGAGTATCGCGAGGCAAACGGGCACTGGTGCGCAGTTCCCTGGACAGTCATTACACTCTGTCACGCCTATGTGGTCGAGGCGAATACCATCCCTCTCAATTCACTTTCTATGCTGTTCTCTTTGTCGTCAACATGCACTACATCAGGGAGGCTCTCTCAAGTTGACTTGCAGTTCCCCTTGATTGCTGATGTGACAACATGTGTTAGCTTATGACTTTGTGATCACCGCCTCTCCGGGCCTTCTGGGACGCCATTCTCTCATCGCTGTCCTCTTTTGATAGGAATCTCAGGTGTGCGAGATTTGTTTGAACTATTCCACGGATTTTGAAGTGTCAGTTAAAACCACTCAGTGAATGGGACACAACAACCATTTTTCAAACAATAAACCATGTACACGAAGATGGATCACAAGGCCAACAGCCGTCCATCTATGTTGGCCCATGCTCAGATACCTATGTGAAGTTTCATCACATACTGTGTCCAAAGGAAGCAAAACGGTTATGATCTGCGCGAGAGATAGGCTGGTTTCAAAGAGCGGTCCTAAGGGGCCGGCTGCATGCTGTAGTAACAAATAATGCGATAGAAGAAGAAGTATCTGCAAGCCGAATGAAATCCGGAACATGTTTGATTTGTGGAATATCCGCCAATGGGAACCTGTTCAGGTAGTTGAGCGAACGATCTTATTTCTGCACTCCACAAAGTTGACATAGCTCAAGCTATGCCGTACAGGAACGGTCTTTTGATGAAAGTCGTGCGCCATCAACATAGACCGTTCGGCGAGTGAATGCTTCGCGAAACAAAATTCCTACCAGGGCCAGTATATCTTCCCTCTCGCGTTACTCGCGATCCCATGGCGGCCAATATCCGGACACTTCTTCTAAGCAGGTCGAGGGCAGGTGCATCATTGGAACAGGCGGTTCAATGCATTCAAAGGTGAACGTCTCAAACCCTCTAGCGGCGACAGCGCGAGTGTTGTCATCAATCGATGAAAGCATCATGCACTTGATTCGCAGATGTTTGATGCCAAGTTGGATACGGGTCCCATGGACCAAGTGGACTGTCCACGCCATGTCGTCTTTCTTGTCTAGGAAGATATGCATTGTCGACAGCTCCGGACAAATGGGCGGTTCACTCGGGTCTCGAAATAAGGAGAGTACATCCACGACTGTCTGCAAGCTCTTCTTATGCACGTAGAGCGTCTCCAACGACTTCATGCTTCCGAAGAGTTCGCGCAAGTATAATAAGTCGCGTCCATCCGGATGAGGCGTGTCAATGGAATTCACCATCCAAAACTCGCGGATATGGGGCATTGAAGGGAATTGAGCCCAGACACAAGTCCAAGGGGTAAGACGGTCGTAATGGATATGGCCCATCCGTATAGCAGATGAGCTGTTTCCTATAATTGCGAAGTGCGCGGACAAGTAGAATCTATCGTAGACCGCCGCAGGCTCCGCTCTTCGCTCCGAGAGATAATCTAATGTCCACGAATCTGAAGCCCTCTGATCTCCTCTGCAGATGAACGAGATGGCTACGTCGGGATTCAGGCGTGCATCGAGAATTGCGACCGTGATGGAGTCCGTGTCAACGTCGTGCAAAACAAGACGACGCAGATATGGCAGCTGAATCTCAGAGCGTCCAAGCTGGGATTGCTTTCGAGGAAATATGTCCTTTGAACGGACGGAGCGCAGTATGAGGTCGACCAGACTAGGAGTACCGGATAGCAAAAGAGACAACCGGAATGCATCAACATCACAGTCCTCGATGTGAAGGTGTGTCAGGCTTGGGAAGCTGTTGACCGGCGCCCAGCCCAGGCCGAAGAGTGTTAAATGGGTGAGCGATGGCGTATGGTTCTCGAACAAAACAATATTCGGATAGCCGTGGTACTTGTAGAAAGGCCCTGAAATTGCAAGGTATTTCAATGTCGGCGCTTTACAAAAGAACAATGTCTCGTCTAAGCTGGTTCCTATATCGGCTTGACACCAGCAGAGCTGCAGCATGCGATGAGCATACGACTTCAACGAACTGACTCCGTAAGTCCATGGGCTGCCGCTGAGCCAAAATCGTAATGGGACTGATTGAGACCTGACCAACTGGGCGTCTCGCAGCAGAAGGTATTCATTGCGGATGCTGCTCCATAGTTCTTGTGTGGCTAAAACCACGCCACGCCAGTCGCGGCAAACTTGTGCTATATGAAGTAAACCCTCCATATCCACGAACGGAGGATTCCATGCATTGCAGGATATAGGTATCGAGTTGACGCTCGTCAGGACGCATTCAAGGAAAATCTGAACCAGCACTTCTGGGGACAGACGGTTGACTGCCCTTACGGAATTCCGAATGTTATCCACGGCTTTCACGATCGCCCGACAGCGTTCATCGATACCTCGAAGCAGGTCCTGAGTCTCCTACTCAGAAAATGCGTATTTATAGGAGTATTTCCACCCACATTTCCCAGACTTCATGGAAAGATCAAAGTTATTTAGTTGCCCAATCCCCGATACAAATAGCTGGAGGAAGCTCGTGATGCTCACCTCAGGCGTGTTTCTTTGGACTGCAACTTTGTTAAGGCAAGCTGCAGTAATTGTTCGACCTGGAGATCCTCTATTACGTTCGACTGCATGGTTGGAAGGAAAATTGTGCGCGATCGCCAACGATCAGAGGGCCCCCTTGGCGGCCTACGTTTCCCACGATGGCACAAAGGGAAAATGTAACGGTTCGGGATATGGAACGTGCCGGAGTTGCACACACACCCCCAGGCTCCTCCCCATCCGCCAACGGCAATTTAAGGGGGGCTCGTGTGAGAGGAGGCCACGTTGCGTTTCTTACTATCGGCCTCAATTCAGCCACAATTCAGCCGACCTGATTTGTAATGTAATGACGTTTTCACCTCGGTCATATTCATTGCGTGGACCTACTACGCCGGTCGTAAACGCTCGGGGCAAACAGTACCTATAAAGTATATGATGCACCCACAAGGCATATCTCAAGCTCCTCCTACATAGACGCGGACGCAAGCCAGTCCACATTGGCAGCCGTTGCGCTCTCACTGGCATATATCAGCGCGAGCCCCGAGAGCTCGAAGCGATCTGCCCAGTCCCAGTCAACCAAGGAAACAACACCGGCTACCGACGTCATTCCAGACGTCCGACGCGCTCATCAATACAATATTGGAGCTTTTTTTCCTACGAGAGATTGAAAGCCAAAGGGAGCAACATCACTGTTATCATGGACCACTCTTTCTCGATGTACAGCGACTCTACTGACAGACTACCGTTCGTCGAAACCGAGAATCGTTCTGTGGCACCACTACTTGTACGCTCAGAGGCACTTTTGAACCGTCAACTGACCTGCCGCCCGGCATAGACTGCAATGGACGCCCCTGTCGACGGACGTCCTTGCCCGCCACGCTACTGACCGACCAAGTACGGTCGTGGATCCTGACACATTTTCGCACCGGCGATCTTTGAGCATTGATATTGAACTTCAATGCGTGAATCTGTATGTATGCGCTCACGTATTTTATTGTATGAGCGTGTCGGCAATGTCAAGTAGTACCTGCTGATGCACTCGACGAAATCTCTCTCTGCAGCGAGCAAAAATCGACCCACAAGGACGCTCCAAAGCACATCTTATGTACACCATACTTACATCTACTGTTAACATAGAGTACGCTACGCTAGGATATAACACAACACAAGGGAATATACGACATAACAGCCAACAGTCTCTAAAAACACAGCGGGCGCAGGCGCGCGGTAACGAGCGTACGTACATACAACAAATAGCAACACGACAAGAACTGTCAGTGCATCGACCGGACGGCTGGGTGGTGGGGCTACAGCGGAATAAGAATATAAAAGAAACCTTAAACGAATGACGCGGAACAGTCCCAGAATCCACAAGCGCGAAAGCTATGGGATACAAGGTCACAAACAACAGGACCATTTGCAGGTCGAAAGGGCGGATAAACGATGGACGGACAGCGACTGGAGGCATTGCGAGTCTGCTGCAGACGAGGGAAAAAGAGAGACGATTTAATCTTGCTATTGCTGACCTTTCAGACTTCGATTTGCTGCACTAGAGACCAAGGAGAGACAAATGAGAGGTAGGCGCGAGCTGGGAGACTGCCGATGTTTGTTGAACAGAGAAGCCGGGGGAGAGAACGGAAAGGATGACCACGACAGGACGAGCGGACTCAACAGCGAGCCCATTTTACGCATTGTCTTTCAAGGGCACCTCCCTCACTGAGCCCACGCTCGACCGCGCACTGTAAAACGTGCTTGACCGCGATCGCCCCGTCGCACTCGACGCTACCGTGCGTCTGTCCCACTCGGCGTCCGCATCAGCGGGTTCGATCTTGGGAGTGAAGGTGGACGCTGATTGTGGTCGAGGGTGAGGATCAGTGGACGAGCAGACAGAGTCGCGCAGCCGCGACGGCGTGACTGTCGCGTTCGAGTCCATCGACGGCCTGGGGGTTCGCGGGTGCGTAGGGATGGGGACGCACAGGTGGATACACGAGCTCGCCGAAGGCGGGCGCGGCGTCAACCTTTCTTCTGCTGCGTCTGGCGAGACACTCTGCATAACATTACGGTGTCAGTCTCCAATGCAACGTTGCACCATCAGACAAAATGGTGCGTACCTCCCGGACAGACATATCCCCACTCTTCACACACTCCGTCCTTGTCATCGGCACCGCCTGGGCAACAGGGAGGACAAACGGATCGTTTAATCCCTTCTCCTGCTCCCTCGCCTCTCTCTCCACATTGACACTGACACTCATCCCCAAATCCACCCCAGAGTCATCTGCGAGCCCAAACACTTTCCCTCCAGCCTTTCTCATACTCCTGCACGACCCGTCGCTCAGGTCACGCATCAGCGGGAACGGCGACCCGGGGCGTTGTACGCGCGCAGGCTCCGATGCGACGGTCCTCACCGAGGCCTTCCTCTTCCCCTCGTAGCGGAACGGGCTCGGGCTCGGGAGCGACTTGCGGGCGGGATTCGGGAGCCTAGTCTGCGATGGCGCAGACGCTTCGACCACGACCGTGTCCTCCACGACCGCCTCAACCTCAATCTGGCCAGCTTCTTCTCCGTCCTCCGCGGAGCTCGACGGTGTCGAGAACCTTGACACGAGCCTCCTGTCCCGCTCTGCCATCATCGACATCAGCGTCGGCGTCGGCGCCTGTCTCCGGTCTTCCTCCTCATCTTCCTCCTCATTCGCAGCCACCGTCCTCGCAGGCACGATGTCGCATGACGACGGGAACGTCCACGCGACCGACACCTCGTCCGGCCCATCCTCCGCCATCATCTCGTATGCCTTCGCGGCCGAACCGCCATCCACAGCAGGCATCTTCTTCGGCACGATCTTATACTGCCTCTCGTTGTCCCTCCGCATCATTGGCGTTGGCGTCGGCGTCATCCCCTCCCTGCTGTCTTCATTCCTACCCTCAATCGCAATGTCCGCCTTCGCAAAGGGATCCTCCTCAGGCGTCAACACCCGCCCTACGCGCCTCGCGTCCTCCTCTTCATAGCCATATCCACACTCGCTTTTGACCTGCCCGGGGAAGCCAAATGCAAAACCCGGAGGAGTCACGGGCGACCACGCCCCCGTCGACGACTCGGGGCTCGAGTCCGTCGTCATTGCGAGGCTGAGTTTCGAGCGAGCGCGCTTCGCCTTCGTAGGCAGCGGCAGCGGGAGCATCGCCGCAAGCCGCTCTGTGAGGCTCGACCCGGATTTGGTGGAGGCCTGTGAGTGCGAGACCGCACGCCGGCGCATGCGCGGGGAAGGAGGAAGGGGAAGAGGGAAGGAACGAGAGTCAGCAAGCGTGTTCGATACCACGATGCGGGGCAAATTTAGAGATGACATAAAGGCAGTGAAGATGGGAAGGGGTGGGATGGGAAAAATAGATAGTCGGCGCATATATGCATGCACCCGGTCATCAGCTTCCTCTCGTGAGCTACCCTTCGGAGACAGCGCAACCGACCCGCTGCCAGACCGGAAGCGAACACAGGCAAAATGCACGATCTCGGTCCAGTCGCAAAACTCAGCGAGGACCCAGAGAAAATCAAAAACGCCCATTCGCTCCATCAAATGGCCGAACAAGCTCTCCGCAGCCGTTGGCGCCCGTCCAAAGATCAACACGCGCACCATCCCGAGCAGTCAGGATCACCTTACATCGCACAAGGCCAATGTATAGAATAAAAATAAGATACACCATAAACGAATACGAAGAAGAAAACGGACAGTGGTTGAGAAGAAGAATATGGCTGACAAAATATGTAAAGCGAGTGGAAAAGAACCAGTACTCACCACTGTGCTGTTAGTAGATGTACTCGCTTCGCTGCCTCTTCTCTCAAATACATACGCAGGCACTTCGAGCGGCTCATCCTCGTCGCCGAGCGCCCACTGTGGCATCTTTTGGCTCGTCGGACTCGGCGGGACGGGTGGCGGGTTTCTCGGGCACATGAATGCATCTCCCTCGCTCCAGTCCATCGCCACCCTCGATTGGCTCTTCTCCACCATCAACGCCGCCGCACAGCTCACCTTTCTCTCGCGCCGTCCGAGGCCCACGCGGAACAAGCTCGTCGAAGCGCTTTTTGCCTTACGTAGTGGTGGGAGGCGCGTGTGGATCTTCGCGGGCTGCTGCGCGGCGGGCTCCGGCGCAGTTGCGTAGAACGCAAAGAGCGATGGCGACGGGGTCGCAGGGCGGGTGTATGATGGCGCGCGCGGGCGTCGCTCTGCGTAGCCGGTGTCTTCGAAAAATGAGGGAAGCCGCGCGAGCGAAGCGACGTCAGTGTCCGAGTCCGGGGAGATGTTCTGATCGGCGGGCGTCTTATAGGATGTGCTGTTGGTGGTGCAAGTCGCCTGTGAGGCGGCGGAGGCGATGGTGGAGATGGTGTCGCGCTTGGAGGGGGAGAAGCTGAGGAAGGAGATGGGATTGGTCTTGGTGCGATTCAAGGGGGGGTGTTTCTCCGTCTGCCTACCGGCCCAGCGGAAGGGCGTAGACGGGCGTGTACGAATGCTGGCGGTGGCGGAAGGTGTCTCGGGGCGAAAGAG